AGAAGCCAGACATTCCTAGTTCAGAAAATCAAGTAGATGAGCCTTTATTGACGAGTTTTGATCGGGCACTAAAAATTGTAATGAGTTTTAAAAATATTATAAATTTAGTCAATGGAGTATATACAATTATTTTTGGTGGGGTGTTTATATTTAGTGTACAGAGTCTCAAGAACCAGTCGAAAGTAATAAGAAGCCAGACATTCCTAGTTCAGAAAATCGAGTAGATGAGTCTATATTGATGTGTGATGATCGACCACTAAAAACTGTAACGTTTTTTAAATATAAACTAAGTAAATGGTATAGATACGATTTCCTTCTATGAGAGAGGACAGGTTATATGTATTATTTAATGTATACAGTGATCAATCTTCTGTAAGACTCATTTTATCTTCTTCATTTGTTATGATTTTACTTTTGAATGACTTAATGAAACTATAATATATAGGTACCTATATTATAGATACCATACTTTTATCAACACATTTTGTTGTTGATTTCATATTCTACAATATAATATTTTTCAAAAAAATTGATGTATTTGTTTTATCTTAACTTTAAATGACCATAATATATCTCATAAACCATTGGACGAAAATTCATTATTAACAAGTCAATTTTTCCAGGCAAATATTATAATTTTATAAAACTATAAAGATAAAAATATAATTCAAAAAAATAAAAATCTAAAAATTCCCGAAGATAAAAACTATAACAAAATACATTTATTATCAAAAATTAAAAATATAGTATTATAATAATTAAAAATATTTATGAAAGTTTACTTGTATTAAAAGTTATACAGTATTATTATTATTAGTATAAGTTTATTTGGTATTTATTTATTTTAAAAAATAAAATCCACTCTCCTTTTATTATTTCTGAATTCGTGTGGATCATTTTTATTTATTTGATAAATCATATCATTATTTTGGATTTGTATTAATTTCAATTCCTTCTTTTACTCTAATCTATATTATATTTAAAATCAAACATATTAAACCCTTCATACTCCTATCTAACCTCCGAACTATGTAGGCAACTAAAATGGATATCAGTTAATATTTTTATTTTTGTTTATGTTATGGTGATGCGTATGAAAAACAGATATTAAATGCCATCAAATTGCATATGGATAATCCAAAAACACTCAAGAACCTTTTAGAGCGTCTTACTGATTTGCTGATTAATCATCAGTATGACAATAACTTACTTGATCAAGCCAGAAAGATTGTTTTAAAAGTGATTACAAAACACCTAGAGATCATTAAAGTTGAAATTGCTGCGATGTCAGTTTTTATTAATCCTTTAGCCATTAGAAATTGTAAAATTTGTATTTAAAATTTTTTTAGTGCTGCTCTTTTTTATATTGTAAACAACGAAAGCCAGTCATTATTATTAGAAGATGTTATCAAAAAACGCATTGTTACTAGAATAATAAGTTTGATATTGTATCACGATTATGATGCAAGAATTTTGACTTGGGCTTTTCTTACTTTGGATCGATTGATGCTTAGATGGGGATTTGAAAAAAATCATCAGTATGTGGTTAGTATAAATATACAACACATTTTGTTTGGTTATAACTTCTTTTTTGTATATTTTATTAATAATTAAAGATATTTTATTTACATTATATATTATATTTATAAGTACATTGGATATAGATTACAAACATTTTATTTCAAGGTCATAATAAATACTAAATTAATATTAAATTTGATGGTAATTAAATAATAAATTATTTTAACTTAACTATATTTCTAAACAGTAACTTTTAACATGACACTTAAAATTGACATGTAATTTTTTAAACCTAGAATTTTGATTTAGTATTTAATAACATTCCTATTTTAAAATGTTAACCTTTTTGGTTAAAAGGGTCACATTTGGCTCATGAAGTCAATATATTAACAGAATATTAATTTTCTATTTTTCATTATTTTCATTTTATTCTTAATTTGCTAGTTAAAAATAAAATGTCTTGATGTCTATGATTAAATAATAACTAATTTAAGTTTATTTAAATTTATATTAAAAGTTTTATAAATTTAAAATATAAAGTCACAGTTGATATGTTTAAATTTCAAAATATTTATTGATATTAGAAATGATAACAAATTCAAAATTTGTTTTATGATATTAGCTGATATTATATTTTTTAATTTTAAAGTTTGTATATTTTAAATACCCATGGCATGTTACCTACAAGTTGAAAAACCTCTGTTTAGTATGCATTGGTATTTGTTAACAAAAAAAAGACTATAGTCTAGAATAAATATGGCATAGGAGAATAGTAAAGGTTTAGTGACAGAAATGATAATACAGAAGAGAATTTAATGTTCATCTGTAAGCAATGATAAACTATTGCTAACGATAAAACCATTTTGAGCAGAGTTCACTTTATAGTGATGTTTTGTCAGCAATATATATGTTATGTTATGGTAGAATAATTAAATAGTCATTATATATTTTTTTAAATAATATTTGTTTAATATTTTACTATTTCTCTCGTTTTTCTAAATTTTTCCTCCAGTTTTTTACATTTGATGAGAAAATCAAAAAATAACCTTCTTAAAGTACCACTCCAAAAAAATTTACTTTCAGAAAAGAGTCTACATTGTATACAATTGAGTAAACTGTCTGGAAGAAAAAATATTTATATAAAAAAACATCTTTGTAAAACCAATACATTTAAATTGATATTTTTTAAATGAACTTCAATAATAATTTGTTAAACAAAATTTAAGATGAACTAATGTCAAATATATAAATTATTAAATTGACACATAATTAAATAATACAGAACTGATTTTTTTTACATGAGAAATTTAATAGAATTTATATTTTTAGATGTATTTGTTTCAATATTTTCTTCGAATATCACTTTGTATCATATCTGCTGATAATCAAGACTACACTTTGAAAATTGCTTGTGTTTTAATTAACTGGTGTGCACTTGGTGGGACCAGAATCCATAGAATTTATCTTGGAAAATCTGGTACTATAAAGGTAAAGAAATCAATATAACAATAATAAAAATTAATAGTTAGAAATAACCAAACTTAAACATAACAATTAACCTATTTTTACTTGATTAACCGGAAAATTAAAGGATATTTATTTTATCATTTTTGTTATAATTCTAATTTCATTGTTTAAAAATAAAACTAAAATTACATTACAAACTATCATATACAATATTATATGTAGGCTTTGTTTTGCTAATATATTCCACATTTATCTAATTTATCTTTGTTTTTTTTTTTTAATTCACTGATCTAATCTAATCTAATATTGACTTTTCATTTTGAGAAGGTATNAATTAATATATATAATATTATGTTTGTATAGAAATTGATTGTAATAATTAAAACTCGGATTCGTCAAAATACATTTGAACAGGTTGAACTAGCCTTTGAAACAATTAATCATTTAACAAATGATTTACCAAGAAATTGTAAAAGATTCCTTGATCAAAAGGGATTGCAATATATGTTTGAATGCCTAAGGGTAAAAATAATAATAGCAGATAATCATATGAATAAAATATAACTCATGATTTTGATAACTTTTTAGACTTTTCCAAATAAAATTTTAATGAAGCAAAATATATATTGTGTATTGAGAAATATTGCTGAAATTAAAGAACTTAGAGGAAAGCTAATGAAAAATCATTTAATTGAAGTTTTATTTGACAATTTGCGTTTAACAGGAGATGAAATTCAGGTAATTAACAATTATTGCATTTAATATTGTATTACTTATACAAAATTTTTTTTATCTACAGATTCGTTATTATGCTGCTGAAATCATTGTTCATTTGGCTTCAGATGGCCATAAAGCATGGACTATACAATCTCCTACAAGATGTGAAGTATTAGATCATATGACACGGGCTTTGCAGAGCTGGAATCTAGATGTCATTCTAGACATAAGATATCGGTCTGTAAAAACACTATTGAAGATAGCCCAAATTAGTCATACACCAGTATGTGTCCAATGGGCAGCATGGACTTTAGCAAATCTTACCAGAGTATATCGTTAGTATAATGTTAAATATTATTTAGTTTCATGTATTTTTAAATTAAATGGTTCATACATATAATTTGCGGTTTTAATTACCTATAATGTTATTGGTTTTAGCTGAAAAGTATTGTTCAACTGTAATAACTGAAGATGGTATAAATATAATGAGTCAAGTACTCAAAGAAAATTATCAGATTAGTCAGCAGGAGGTAATCCATAACCTAGCTCAAACTGTCATCAATCAATGTATGAGTTTTGAGGAAAACATCACAGAATAAGTCTCTGCTTTCTCTGTCTTCTCAAATCTTTGAACTCTAACTTTTTATTTCTATGTCCTAAAGAATTTATATTCCACCTTAATCTTTCTCCTCTAATTAAATGTCTATGATTTATTATATTATCCCTTTTGTATTACCAATTTTTAATTATATAACTAAATCTTAAACCTTTAACTAAATCTTCTATTGAAACAAATGAGTATGATAAATCAATTTATGTATAATATCACTATATTATAAAACATTAGCATCAAACATTTAGACAACATCCATTTAAATACAATACATAAATTGATAACAAATTTGTTTGTGAAATTTAATTATTACTGTATATGTAGTATTTTTTTTATATGTAAACTGTTTAGATTAACACATAAAATATTATATTAGTATTAATTGTTAGAACTTATGTTATTATTGCTATTTATGTGTGTATTTATAATATATATGTGTTTAATATTATTATTTACTATTTAATAATTTTATTATGATTAAATTATCATAAAATAATTAGTTCTGATTCATTGGTGACCTTACCATGTAGATGGAATCATTTTATTTTATTGCTAAATTAAAATTAAAATTAAAAAAAAAAACAACTAAGCCAAAGGTTCTTATGGGTGTGTTCTATAATTCTTTCAGCTAAAAACTAATGATGTTATTATTTATATTCTTATTGATGATCTATCCAAGTATAAGTATACAAGTAAGAATCAATAATTTTCAAATATTTTATACCAAGTGAATCTTTTTTTTTTTTTTTTTGTTTCTATAATTTGATTGAATTTCAGGAGGACTAGAATTGTTCCATATAGGATAAAATCCATAGTGTCTTAACCCCGATAGTCTGCACCCACATTTACAATTTTACTTTCAATTAATCAATGGACTACACACATTTATGTTAAATATTATTATTCTCTGTTTACAATAAATGATATTATTTATATTATATTATAATTTAATATTTATGTACACACTATATAACTTTATTATATTATATTATAATTTAATATTTATGTACACACTATATAACTATATTATATTATATTTATTTTAATGCAATATACCTTTTTGTTGTTAGCAAAATTATAAATAATGTATTGTAGTATATCCAGGTGATAATAATACCTAATATATTTTGTACATACTAGTTATGATTGATCAATACAAATTATACTCCTTGATTTTATATTATAATAGTTTACAGTATATTATTTATTATTATTGTATATTATAATATATACAATACTAATTATACTAAATCATCAAAAATTGTATAAGGTAGTGGCCAGCCTTAATGGTAACAATATACTACCATGGCGGGTTGAGTTTTAATTTTACACAATTTTTAATGATCAGCTTTTTAAAATTGTTTTCAATTGTCATTCTTGTCTGGGAATCTAGGTAAATAACCCGGAAAAGAAGTTATTGTTTGTAATAAATCTTTATCTTAAATTAATGCAAATATATCTATACAGATAAAAAAAAAAAATGAAGTTTTTTAATTTTTTAAAAATGTTTATAGTCGTACAAAAAAATTTATTCAGGTATTGTTTTAATTCCCTTGATATATTTTATAAGGAGTAAATTAAAAGTATATTTTTCTTATGCAGGTGAACTTATAGGTAACCGAAGTCAAAGATAAATGGACACAATTTTTATAAGTATATTTTATTAAATAGTAAAAATATTCAAACACTGTTAATTTCGTGAAATAGTGTGGCGACAGATAGGTTTAAACTTGCCAGAAAAAACTGTTTTCAGTGACCCGTATTTATATCCTATTCTGCCCTCCCTCCCTCACTAGATTTGCTTACTGCGTGCTTTTCGGTAAAAATATGTGGCATACTTATTACTAATATTACTGTTAACGTTTTTAAAATGATTTTCATTATCTATAATATTCTATATTATTGATGATTTATTAATAGTTATCGTTTTGGTAAACCTTAATTATAATCCATAATCCATAACCACTGAAAGCGCTTTGTTCATTAAGTTTTTTCATTATCTGTTAAAACATTATGAACTATAAGCATTGAGTATTTATTTTTCCATAAAAATATGTGTTTTAAAGGGAAATTATTCGAGTGAAGAAATCACTTTTTTATGTATAAAATAATTTTTGTACACGTCAAATATGATTGGTTATGGAGTGGTAGTGTCTCTTAATTTTAAAAGTTACCCTATCCGATTTTATTAGTTTCAACGCCACTGCATTTATGCACTAAACAATTACCAAATATAAAAACAAAATACGCATTTTTAGTTTAAAAAATTGTTTATCTAATGTATTGAATTTTATTAGTAGTTATTTTTATTTTTTTAATATTACATATTCATTTATAATAAAAGTAAATAAATATATTGTATTATTTGTATTATACATGCTACATATTATATAATTCATACACATTGAGTAAAAGACTATAATATACCATAACCTGTGAAATAATGTTTATTCAATTTAATTTGTGTGTGTTTGGTTTGTTGTTAAAATATTTAGTAAGCCTCTGAAATAAAAATATGGAATTTAATAAAATTTATATTTTTTTTAACACCAAGTATATCTAATATTTATTCATTTATACATTCCTATACATATTAGTATATTACCTATATGTATATTACCTTTCTATTTCGTTCGCGTTCCAAACGGACAATGTAGCTAAACCGATGAGTTGTGGCCCTACACGTATTTGTATAAATGCTTTATACTTTTAATGGTAGAAAATACTTCAATGTTGATATATACATCGTATTTGGCCAGCAAATACGGGTTGTGCAGAATGACAAACCCGTTTTTGACGTTGACCTAACCTAACCAATAACCATTATTGGGCCTCCAATAGGTACGTCGAGTAACCACTATCTGATCAAAACTCTATCTCGTCATTATACTCTTTCGGATACTGTTTAGAAAAACTGTTGTCCATCATGCACGGACTGTTGTGATTAAGTCGTTCGCGTAGTCCATGAATCATATGAGACGACACGGCGATGTGTAACCGGATCCGATAAGAATTCGCAAAGTGCAAACGACGTCGTCTACAGTTGTTTTTATCTTATATAGACTTGTCATTATCGTTTAGGATGGTTATTGGTCAATATGTGAGCAGATCACGCTTCTGAAATCCAGTAGTGTACACGTATACGCATGGACGTAAATAGAGGGAACCACCTTAAGCCTTCCCCAGATGCGTACTGGGTTCTTATTTTATTACCGGGAAATTTTTAAATTGAATATTATAAGGATATTTATAATTATAAAATCATAAAAATTCATCAAGTAGTGGTCTTCCTACCTGCTTACCAATCTAAGAAATCGAAAACCTACAAAAGGTAATTTAAAAAAATAAAAATAGAAAAGTGTGTATGAATAAGAGAAGGGCCAACAGGAAAATTGGTAATCTTTATTATAATAAATTATAATATGATAACGTATAATCAATATTTATAGTATTTATAACCAATGGTAGTAGTTCTAAATACAATAATAGTAATAATATGTAGGTACTAGGCAGGTAGGTTTTAATTGGATTTTCGTTTTAATGTTCCAATTTTCCATAAACTATGATCAGTTGATGACCTATTATAATAGGACTTGCCGCCCAAATGCAACTAGCAGAAACACGATTGAGAACGGTCATCAGTGGTGTGCGCAGGAAGGGAGAGGTTAGGAGTTATATTCCCCCCATTAGCTAAAAATTAAAAAAAAAATCTACTTATGATAAAACTAAAATTGATATAATATTTCAGTAAAGTTACACGAGGAAAAGCTTCATGCATTGATTAGAAATTGACTTTTTTTTTGGATCCCGCTTTTAAATTCCTGTATAGCCAAGTTGGGTAAAGAAGACTATTTTACAATTTATTCAAGATTCTCATTCGCTACATCCCCTTCCATTGAAAATTCCTGGGAAAGCCACTAATCTATAATATACTAAATATCTACTATAAGTATATAGGTATCTAATTTAAAACAAATTAGGTAGTTATCTATTTTTCTCATGTTAATAATTTATAATTATTTTATCTCAAATAAACTATATGCTCCAACACAGTATCGGATCCAGAAGTCACCCAAGGAGACAGGGGGTGAATTTTAAAAAACTAAATTACCTTTCTTTTTATTTAACTTTTATTAGAGGCTAATTATTTGTATTATTTCACCTATACCACTAAATAAATCTGAAATTAATAAACTTAACAAACAATAAATAAAAGTTATTTTTACTATTTATGAATTAAAAAAATAATAAACATCATACTAAAATACTGGACAAACAATTGTTTTTAATATTTAGATATTTTAAATTAACAACCAATGTTTAAATAAAAAAAATAAATGAACATTTTTCAAATTAAAATGTATTCGAATAAAATTACTTTTACACTTTTACACTTATACACTTTTAAAATTATTCGAATAATTAGCTAAATAAAATTTTGCCCAACACTGTCGTCTTTATGTTGGCAATGTTGAACGCACTTTATCGTCTGGCCCCCCTTACTTTTGTAATTTTACGAAAAACCTAAGGAAAAATCCTTTCTTAGTGAATCTCCACGACATGTCCGCTAACTGCCCTAAAAATTCTGATAATCTGTTCTTCTGCTACTTCTTATCTGTCTTTAAACCACCCCTAGTTTCTTATAATAATACTTCCTTGTAGTAGCTATCCGTATGTCCTGTCTTCCAATTGCTCCTTCACTTCTAATCATATCCTATCTTCTCTTGAATATCTAAAGATATCTCTGCCACGGTTATGAACGACAGATTGCGGGGGTCTCTCCGAGCATTTATAACACCGCAACGCGCCGCCCGAAACATCATCTAATCAGACGAATCCACCATAATTAAATTCTTTCGAAATAAGTTTGTACGTATTCTTCTTTGGTTTTTCTGCATGATGCCAATTTATTTTGCAAATGAGTCAATGTTCATTTTCTTTCTGTTAATTCCCCAGGTGCTTTTTTCAATTCAATATACGTTGTTATTTCTTTAAAACGTATGGTTCTCAATGCTTTATCCAAGAGTTTAATAAGACCTTAAACTAAAACACTAACTTCTGTCGGATTAATTAACTTCATCGCGAAATCACTTGCACGGAAAAAAAAACGAAAAGACTCGTCTGAATCAGTTCCATCAAAAACCGAAATATGTCTGAGTGCCTGCTCTACTGAGCTATACAATTTAGTTTCCTCCACTTTGCCTTGACTACCTGAAATCATCTGATTCTGCCTATTAATACTCAACTTACTAAATCTCAAAAAATATCTTACGAGTAGTATAAAAAGAGAGCTTCGAACTCAGGATCAGGATCATGATTAAGGAGCAAGGAGTAAGGAGCTAGAGAGCAAGGATTTTTTTTGATTTTTTTTTTTTTTTCGATTTTTTTCCTACACTTTTTTTTTACCACGTACGTACTCGACCTATTTAGACCACACCCCCTTTTTTCAAAATATTTTTTCCACATTATCAACTACTTAAACAAGCAATATTTCCCCCCCCCCTTTATAATATTTTCTACATACACCACGTACTCGATCTATTTAGACCACGTCCCCTTTTTTTTTCCACACTCTTATCATCAAATACTACTATCGCCTTTCCCTACACGCCGACCCTCTCCGCACATAAACGTATACATATACCTAAAAAAACACACATACCCATACACACACACACACACACACACACACACAAATATCTTCCTCCGTCTATAATATACATATAGCCGATTTCTCTCCAAAAACGAAAAGAATGTATACATATAAATATCGACAGCAGCGCGCACTGTGTTTCTTGCCTGTAAGATCCTGTACGATCCTGTATGAGTTGGTCTCTTGGCCCCACATTAAATTTGTATACATTTCATCTCGTAAACTACTTTTATGTGGACGACTAAATCATTATTCGTGCCGCAGTCATAGAAGCAAGTCGTCGTCGTTGTCCAATGTTCATTTTTATGACTATAAATTTTTAGTTTGAAAAATTTGTACAAGTGATTAAACATGTCATTCAAAAAGTACGAATACGTTGCACCGGCATCATCTCCGGATCTTATCGACTGCAATAACTATACTCTAAGCTTCACAGAATATAAATTCGTGAATATAGGTATCGACCTAACAGATACATTTACCGTCAAAGTTCAAATAATAACTCCGTCACGATACGTCAACCTAACACCGGATGTTCTATCGCAAATATTTTCACTGATGGACGAAATCATAACATACTCGACACGCCGAAATACAAGTTACATATATTTCTGGCAACAGCAATATTCAAGTTATCGCGTTGTGTGTACAAAAATTAAAACGTTCTTGTAATAGAATCAAAAACCGTGACTGGCTGCCGCGTCCTATTAAATAGACAGGATTTATTCGCACTTTAAAATTTGGAATGGTACATTTTCGAAACGATCGCACGGAAAACCGTCGTCAGTCTACCAACAGTATTAAAACAATTCAATCAGGTTAATTGTTATATAGAAGAAAAAATTACAAGAATGAGAACACCACCACCAGATATGAACGGAATACAAATGTTCATAAAAAGTCTTCAAGATGAGAATATCGTCTCCTCCTTACCGAAACATGACGTTAGTTATGTCAGCCAAATTAGGATGTATGCAACAACTCAATTAGCAGAGTGCTGGATGAATATGCAGAGCTCGGGTAATCTTTCGATTATATCACCGTCACCGAACTAATCGCCGACTTATGCCGTAAAAAAATTCGACCACGACGGTTCGTACGGACCGCAATATATTACATTACCACTGGTACCGAAGGAAGAGATGGATGAAAAAAAAGAAGAAGAATTGGATTCCGCAGTTTCAGAAATGGGATATGGGGTCTAAAGTGATAATTTCCTTTATAATAATGAATATTTTTTCTTTAATATAAAATTGTATATAACATTTGCTGTAGTTGTATTAAATAAAAACACAATTATTTACTGAAAAAAAAATCAGTTTTATTTATTTATTCCTAATTATATATAAGTTTTACAAGATAAGGTTACGATTTTCGTGCATCTCCGTTAAATCCGTTATAAGTTATAATTTGGTCGTGTAAGATTAAGCAATATGCAGCTGTTTTTCCCGCAACCGCTTCATCTGTTTAAAATTCGATACGTAAGTCCACGGTCGACGCTCTGACATTGTCGTTCTGTCTCGATAAATCCACAACTACGATTGGCGCGTTTGCAGTAAACTTTTGTCTCGTTAATAATGGAGCACTTGTTTCTCTACCATAATATGATTTTTGAAAATCTGTATATGCCTTACACAATATAGCCGTTTTTGCTTTTGAAAAGTTTGCATGGAAACCCTCGTAGGGATATACTTCGTTGTTTAAGTATACTTTAAGGTTTTTGAGGTTACAATGGTCGAACCAACCCGACGGGTTTATCAAGTTATTCTTTCTATTGGTTTGAAATCCAATTATAACAAACCTCGGATTCTCTAATAGACTGCTAGATTTAACCGTCCACGAATGAGAAGTATTTGTTGGGAGAATGGGATATTCATACAAGTCCCAGGATCAAAACGTGCACTCGAGCGGTTTACAAGAATCCAATGCTCTTAAAAGTTTTAATTTTTCTGAATCGTTTATCCGAATAACTGGCGATTTCCAAAGAACTTTGGTTACTTCGATATTTATTTTTTTATTTATTTAAATGGATTATTGCGTCCGCACCGGTAGAGCGCAGAGTGTCGAAATTAGTCGACGACTGATTTAAAATTATTTGTTGACTACAATTGAGTAGTACTTTTTTATAATCTTCACAAAATTCGAATAAATGTTTGAGGGGGTGGCAACCGGAAAATTTCTCTTTTTCCATGAAATTCGTTTCATCCAAGTCCCAATCAACGTTTTCGAGTTCATACAAATCGTGAGGTGCATAGGAGCAGTATCCTTTAAGAGTTGAATATATGCCCGGTGAATTCAATTTTTGGATTTCCACGCCATTCACTTCATATCGCATTTCGGAGAAAAGAAAAACCAACCCGTTGTTTGTAAAATATATATCTCCTACTGCACTGTCTTGTTTGTTAACTTTTCTCTCAATAAACAAGTAACTCTCACACGGAAGAGTGTACGCGTCCATATTTTGAATAGATATTCTAATTTCATCGTTTTTCGAGAATGCCGTACTCGAGTACGGAAGAAACGAGTGATATTGCATCTGTGTTATCTTACAATCATCTAAATACCCCTCCATCACGTTTAAATGTGAATCGTCCATTATATCGCCTTTATTGAACGTAGACATTTTATATTTGCTGCAATAAACTTTTTTTTCTTCTTACGTATCGTTGGCAAAGTATTCTTGTTTCCATGTAATCGAAACATGACGACTTCTACTGATATTAATGATAGTATAGTATACGCTAAAACATCCAATTCGTATGTCCCCGTTGGTATCGTAACTGTTTCGATAACTCCATCCAAATAGTGAAAATCTATAATATTACAACCGGGTTCTATGTTTGTAATTGAATTATTCGTTTGCAAAATCAAAAGGCATAGTTGTGATGTTTTTTTAACTTCCAACGGTGGGAATATCTTACACGATAGTTTTACCAGAATTTCCATTTAATGTTATGATATACATGTAAAAAATCATATACACAAATGACCGCAGTTGTACGAGTTGTATTTCTGCTCCCTTTTATAATTGTATTTAATATCGCACCCTTTGAGATATTTTTGTAATTCGAGTGGAGGTGATAGATTTGTTAAGACCATCCGGTCTAATATAATAGATGTAATAAAACGTAATCATTAGTATTCAATTGATATCGTATCCGGAAGACCTCGATTGTATTTTGTTATATTATCATTTTGTGTTGTAAGTAATTAATTGATAATATATAGCGTAATAAGAAAAAGTAGCACAGATATGTACTTAGAATAGTAACTGCCTAAATTAAAGGTTCTTGAGGTACATAAAGGGAACGCGAGGGACATTAGTCAACCAGTCTTAACTGAGTGTGAGACAAGTACCTATGTATGTTTCATATCTGTATAAATAATAAACTGAGTTTAGAACAATTGTTGTTTATTTTCATAAGTTTAAAATCCAAATCCTTAAAAACTCATTCTGAGTCTACTTGGCTCATAACATAATTGGTGGCAGCGGTGCTCTTCAAAGTAGGAGGAAAACACATACTGTATTATAACTGCAGTAGTAGTACAGTAGATGTGATCTCTCTTTTTAAGGGAACAATCAAGGAACGGATAATTACCATACAGACAATCAGAGGACAATACAAAGAGAACAGGTTTCAACTTGGCTTGGTTCAACTTCGCAGCAGTATACAGGCGACAGATGGAACACACCATTACCAGCAGGGTAGAAACTGGGATCATAGGACAGCAACGGGGAAAATTGCAGAGAAACATTGGGTGTAGGAGCAGACAATTAGACGACAAGCAGAATATGATATTACAGTAAGTAAGGTTGCATGTCTAGCATTAGTAATAGTGATTGTAAAACCGATTCTGACGAAAATGTTAATTTGGTAGATTTGTGCAAAATAAAGGTAAATAATACAATGAAAATGTCAAGCCCGAAATTAACGTACGAAACAGGGATTAAAACTATACCTAGGTATGAGTGCGAATACGTACTAAATAATATTGTGGAAACTTTCAAACCGTTGGTGTTGGAAGGTATATTAGCGAAATTAACGGATTGAGAAAATCAAGTAACGAGGTTTAAAAGTATCGATAATTATGAGGAGTTAAAAGAAGTATTAATAAAAAACTTTGGGATACAGCAGACAGTAGGCCAATTACAATTAGAGTTAGCAGCATGTATGCAGTTAGCCAATGAAGGAATAAAGGTATACTATTAAAAAGTGGAGGCGCTCTGTTTTTAATTAATAGAATCACTGTTATTGGAGAATACAAAGAAAGCTGAGGAAACAGTAATTAATAAAATGATTAAAAGACAGGCATTAACAGTATTCGTAGCAGGTTTAAGGGAACCTTATCATGTGTTGGTGAAATCCCAGAATAAAAATACATTGAGAGAAGCTTATCAGGCAGCATTAGAGGCAGAAAAGACAATGATAGCACAGGAACTTAATAGGAAATTATTTATAAATAAAAATAATGGAGCAAAATCTAGTGTTAAATGTTTTAAATGTAATAAAATAGGGCACAAAAGTTTTCAATGCTATAGTAAAAATATAAATACGGGGAGAAATAATAATCAGGGAAAAGTATATAAGAATATGAGTACCAATGAACGAGATAATAAGCCAAAAGTAGTATGCAATTATTGTAAAAAAAGTAGGACATATGATGGCAGACTGTTATAAGATAAAAAGTAGGAATAAACATTTAAATGGAAATAATGGGAGCGGTCAATCATGAACAGGGTCAGTAACAGTAAATGAATATCAAGCACGGTTATTAACAATAGTAGAAATGAAAGATGATTGTGTGACATGTGAAGTTCCATTCTTAAAAAATAATGTAGGTACGTAAGAGTAATAAAACAATATTAGTATTATATTTACATTACATATGATATTTAAGCATAACTAGGAGTGTATTATTGTAATATAAAAATAATAACATAACAAATATGGTAATTTTAAACAACAGTGAGTGTTTATGATATTAATTATAACAAGTAAATTTGAAAATTGTAAAACATTATTGATATACTTGCATATGAATAAAAATTAATCAAATACCTAAGATTAAAATTAAACATATATTATCCTTAATACAAAATAAATTGTTAATATTACTGATTACTATATTGTTGTTTTATCTATTATATAAAGTTGTAAAATAAATTTTAATAATTTTGTTGCATACAATTCTTAAAGCCATGCTAACATAAATAATTTAACACACCAATATGAAGTAAACCCAACTTAAGTATAAAACAAATATTTGGAATACTATATACATTATAGTATTTTAGAAAAAAAATCATATAATGATTAGTTATTTGTTTACAGTGCAAACTTGTATAAGGTTTAAATTTAATTTGTTTAACTTGAACACTCATCAGAAGGAACATTTCACAATTCGTCTGAAGTAGTGTCTGAAGTAGTGACTGAAGTAGTGTCAGAAGTAGTGACTGAATTAGTGTCAGAAGTAGTGACTGAATTAGTGTCTGAAGTAGAGTCTGAAGATTCATCTGAAGACTCCCCTGTTTCATAAGAATACTTTTTATAACTATAAAAAAAAAGTTAAGGTTTGTAAATGTTAGATATGGTAAGATTAATTCATGAGAGTTTAAATTCTGGTTGTTGTTGGTTACATAGTGGTTAATAAACATATTGATAATTTCAACTCCAGTATAGCTATATCTACTTGGATTATCTTTATTCTTTATTAATGTTTTAAAGTTAGAGTTACTTATTCTTGGTTGGGTGAATAACATAATTTATTATTATTTTTAAATCTGAGAAATGTTGATGAAGGTCATTAGTAACATACAAAACCTCATTTATATAAAAAAAAGTATAGATACTTTATACAGTGTCCCAAATAAACCCATTTCAATATCTCCTGAGACAATAAAGATAATCAAATTCTGTTATTTTTTATGTATATGGAGTGATCAATATATCATAAGAGACTCATTATCTCGAAAAGTATTAACTTTTTCCAGTATTTATTTTCTAGAACATTTAAGGAACAAGTTGCTTTACAATTTTAAATTTATGCTATTTTTTGTTACCCCTATTTTTAGGGATAAAACCACTACTTACTTTTGATTTTCAAATGGAAACCTATATTAAATGTCCATAAATAGATAGAGTATTAGTTAAAACAAATTTTAGTATAGATATTTTTGATTTCTGCTTATCTTATGACGAGATATTCCACTTCTAGTTTGGGCCGGTGGGGGAAAGAGGAAAAGAGTAGTGTTACATTCTTAAAACCCCGCTCTATGCTGCCACACAAATGATATTCCACTATTCTCCTTCGAACCAAACTTAAAAGTGATACCTATTCTTATATACCTGGCTGTTGTGTGTTCTACCCCACTCTGCCTTACATTTAAAAATGGTAATGTTCTATAGTATACAGCCGAGAGCTAGACACAATGTAAACAATGTTACCTGCGGTTAGAATGCTGTCTATTTTGTAAACTTAAAACTAATTTTGGTATTAATTATAACGGTTGTCAATAATTAGTAAGTAAAATTGGTAAGTAACCTGATTCCAAGTCCTAAATGTTGAATATTGGGTATTCACTTTTATTCACATTTGCATAAATGTGACAAGTAATCGCCATTCATATTTACTTAAATTCCACCCCAAACACCTGGATAATAATCTATCCATACCTTCCTGTATTTGGTTCATTAATTATATCGTAGTTGATGCTCTTCAAGCGAACTTTAAGCAGTTTTGCAAATCAACGAGGTAGATAAAAAATTACTTTACTTTCATAATAAAATAGAATTTAGAATTCTTTGTTAGGGCTATTTACGTAACGTAGAAAGTACTCATTCACACAGAGGTAGATTTATTTAAACATACATTCAAACATAATGGTCCTCCGACAATTCACAATAATAACACATATCATGGGCATTGGTTAAAGTACATAGTGATTCGCAGACCAACGAGGTAGGTGAAATAGACGTCCTAGGATAATGGGGATGGGTGCAGCCTCTATTATCGACAATTTAATGTATATCTCTAAGCAACCATAAACCGTTGCTAAAGAAAAAAGATTATCAGCAGAGTTCAGTTGATAGTAATGTTTTGTCAACAATATATATGTCATTTTATAGCAAAATAATTAAATAGGCTTTATAAATTTTCTTTAATAATATTTTTTTAATGATGTACCGATTTTCCCAGTTTTCCTACATTTTTCCTGGTTTTCCTATATTTTATCCCGGTTTTTCAAATTTGATGAGTAAACTTCTAAGAAAGTCGAAAAATTACCTCTTTCAAGTATCTTCCTAGTGAAATTTCCTTTTAGAAACATTGCTATTATTAAAATTTGGAGCAAAATTGCTGGTAGAGAAATTGTCCACAGAAAAAAAATTGTAATATTATTGAGTAATAAAATTTATATATTTTCAAGGTTTTTTCGGATTATCAAATTTGATGAGAAAACTCTTGAAAAAATCGAATAATGACTTTATTAAAGTATCTTCGCATGCCGATTTCCTTTCAGAAAAGGTGTTATACGTAGAAATCCGAACAAATTTGATGGTAGAAAAGTTGCACACAAATTTAAAAAAAAAAAAAATAATAAACTAAACAGCTTTGTAAAACTATAAGCTTCTTCATTCAATTCAGAATCTAAAAGTTAAATAATATTATCTTAATTTCTAAATAATACAGTATTATTTAATTTGATTATTTAATACAATGACTGAACACAATATTATCTTTATTTCTAAATAATATAAAATTATTAACGTAGTTGTCTTTTACTACATTAATTAGTGTTGAAAATGCAATAAAGAACAGAATTTTAAAAATTAGGGTGATAAAAAATAATGTAAAATTGTAGAATTGCTTGTTTCGTAAATTTTCTATAAAACAAATTCCGAAAAATGTTTGTATTTTCCAAGATAATGAGTATTTAACAATTAAAGGATCACCCATTATATATAAACAGGAATAGGGAAAAATATTTATACAATTTATTTTTTTATATTTTGGTAGAAACTTTAAACTTTTTACTTAATTATTTTTGAAAAATTTGTAGAATGTTATATTATAGTTTTAAGTTATACATTTTGAAGTATTAAATTTTTTATTTTCATTAAATTTGAGATCTTTAATAATTTTTTAAATTTCGAATAAAAGTACCTATAATATAGTTATGCAACTAATTTACTATTTATATTATGGCTAATTGACTGTACACTTTTTTTTCTCTTAGCTTAAAAAAATTAAAAAACTATAAAACGGCATACTTTGAATTTTTCAAAAATAATAAAACAAAGTTATTTTTTTAAATTTTTTACCAAACATAAAAATTAATTAAAATATAAATATTTGTCCTTAGTTTTACGAAAAATGTATAAATTAAAAAAAAAAAACGGTATAATTCTTTATTATTTCAGGAGATATTGCAATGGAATACCTGTATAATATATACTATTATATAAAGTAAATTCCCGTTACAATGAATACTTGTTCTTCATTGTACATATGTACGTGATGGGTCCTACAGTGAAAAGAAAGCAATTTTCGTTGAAAGAGAAGAAAAACATAATTTCTGAAGTAGACAAAGGATTAAAGAAAGGCGAGGTGGCAAAAAAAGTATGGCATATCTCCATCAACATAGTTAACCATTTTGAAGAACCGAGAAAGCAACTTGAAACAACTACAGACTTATGTTTTTGTCTTGAGCAGAAAAAAATGCGTAAGGCACAATTTGAAGACGTTGATACAGCGGTATTCAAATGGTTTCAAGATGTTCGTTCCAGAAACGTTCCTCTGACCGGTCCTTTAATTCGAGAAAAAAATCTTAGAATTTGCTAAAATTCTCGAAGTTGAAAATTTCTAAGCAAGTTTCGGATGGTTAAATCGTTTCCGTGAGCGGTATAGTGTGGTGACCAAATGCATTTCTGGAGTTAACGAATGGCGAAATGGAGAAGTTGCAGCACTCATTAATAAATACAGCCCGAACGATGTCTCTAATGTGGATGAAGCTGAAGTGTTTTTTCAGCTTGAACCAAAAAGGACATTAGCCCAGAAAGGAGATAAGTGTGTAGGGAGTAAAGCTTCCAAACAACGCATCACCGCTCTGTTCTGTTGTAACAAATCGGGAACGGAGAAACGAAAAATTCTTATCATTGGCTAATCCACAAAACCTCGTTGTTTTAAAAACTGTAAATCATTGCCATGTATCTATAAATTTAACAAGAAAGCATGTATGACTAAAATAATTTTTAATGATTGGTAGATAGATTTCGACAAAGAAATGGAAAAGAAGAACAGGAAAATTCTTCGTCTTATCGACAACTGTGAACCACATAATGAGCCACCAAAATTGGAAAACATTCGTGTGGAATATTTCCCACCTAACTGCACAGCTGTAGTTCAACCTCTTAACCAAGGTATCATCAAAGCTGTAAAATCAAGATACAGAACTTTTCTGTAACGTCAAATTGTATGAGATTTGAAGAAAAATATCCAAAGAAAATGCAATGTGAAGGGAGCTATCGAATGGATATGCGGAGCTTGGAATGATATTAGTCAATCAACGATAACTAACTATTGGAAACATGTCAACCCAACAATCTGGGTTAGAGCAAATTTGGATCACTGCGAAAAAAAAAACGTCGCTTCCTGACGATGTAAATTTAGAAGATTATCTCAATGCAGATGACAACGTTTCAACATATTATGAACTAACCGAAGTAGATATCATTCAATCGATTAAAGACAGTAAAGATGAGGCCACCGATGAAAGTAGTGAATATGAAGATGCTGTGATGGGAGATGATGTGCACAATGTCACTTTATCAGAAGCCTTATCAAGTTTTGAAGTTATGCGAACATTCATTTCATCACAAAGTGATGTACCGGACTTCATATTTACAAACATTCACCAACTACAAAATAATTTACTTTCTATTGAAACAGTAAACCTTGTTCAAAAAAAATTGTCGATTATCTGTAATAAAGTTATTTTCGCAAATTATTTACATTTTAATTATTTATTTATTATTTATTTGTATTTGAATAACATAATGTTTTTAAATTTTTTTTACTCGATTTTTCCAAATTTCGTTCCAACGAAAAAAATCGGTCCCTTGGAGTTCGTTGTAACGGGAAGTTACTGTACTTCATAACTCACAATTTTGTAGATTTTAGGTTTAATGCATATCATTTGATATCTGGGTAAATATTGTTACTTAGCTATTATGCAATAAATTTGTTTAAATAAAAGATGTTAGTTAATTATTACATACTAACATTGTAACAATAACAACTAAAATTTAGTTCATAATAAATTTACTTAATATCAAAATATTTCAAACTCAACAGTTTTTAAAAGTTCCACATACCTTTTTTCTCTATTTAAATGTTTGTTTTCTGAAGGTTTTTTTGTTTCTCTTTAATCATGAAAAATATAAAAATTTTAATAATAATATGGATATACATTCTAGGTGGGCACAAAGTATAAAATGTATACTTACTCTTTCCCTCTATATCTTTGACGTAATGTGTCAGCATCAATGAAGTTCAATGGTCCCTTTAGGATATTTTTAAAGAAAGGATCATATTTTGATAAAACTAGTACCATTTCACTGTCCTCGATTTTTTTTGTAACATGGTTCACTGAAGTTTCTGCAACATGTTTCACCACTGGAATTTCTCTGACATTTTGCACATTTTTTTCTATAGGTCTTGAATTTAGTGTACCATACTTGTGTGGTAAGTACCTATATTTATTTCTGTACCGTCTTCGAAGCACATTTGCTTCTTCATCTTCTTTATACTTATTATTGTAATTTTTAGTTATAACAGGTGTAATTTTTTTTTCAGATATAGTTGTTTTGGGTACATCAACATTTAACTGTACATTTGGAATAATATTATTTTTAATTGCATTTGTTAAAATGTGAGATGTATCAGCCTGAGAAGATGTTGAAGGAATATTTAACAAACTTAGTGAACCAGACCCTTGTCCACTTTGTGTAACTTTGTTCATACTATCAATTGTTTTCACTAAATCCAGTAGCATTGATCTAAGATGGTTTATAGGATATTTATTTGAATTTAAATCCAAGGATTCATAATTTGAATCTTCAAATGGTCGCAGACAGTGCATAACACCATCGCCCTTTTTTAAAATTGCTGTCAAGTCTGGTGTTTTTAAACGTAAAATACCCTAAAAATAAAAATCATAAAAAACAATAAAAGACTGAAGTATAAATTCTTTGATCTCAAAACCATCATAAAGTTTTATAGTGGACCGATTAAACATTATTAATACATCAGTGTTCAAATTCCTCCAAATGTTATTATGGATATGGGGATAAAAAGGGCCTGACCACAACACATACTAAAAAAAAATTCCTGGCAAAAAAATATTAGAAAGAAAATTCCTCATTGTATATTAATGCATATTAAAAAATAAAAATAAATCTGAAGTTGCAAATTTGAAAAATTTGTATTTTCTTTGTGTTCAGTGTAAAGTAAAAATATCACCTATTATAAAAATTCCAATTTACACATTAATTTAAAATAGGAGTTTTTCCAGCATTTTTTTCTTAATGTTCCAATAACTATAATCTTTTCTAGTGGCTTTTTTTTTTATCCTCAATTCAAAATAGTAGTACTATAGTAGGTATCTATTTGACAAATCAATATAATATCAGCTTTATACACTCATATATTATTATAAAAGTAAGTATTATATACCAATAATATAGTTTTTGATACTATATAAAATATATTATCGCAATCTACTGGTTGGTATCTGAGTTGTGAGATACTTGATGGAGATTAACAATAGGTCAATAATATTTTAATAACTATCTACTCAGTTTTATACTGGAATGTAAACCTAGAAAATTAGAAATTGAGCTTTAAAAATAATTACTATCTATATTTTATTAAATACTAATAAATAGCTCCGATAAACATTTACAAAGGTGCCTATTACTACAATGATATACCTAGTGCACTTAAAACAGTTCCAAATCATTTTTAAACATCTAGAAAAATAAAACATTTTAGTAAATTATTTTGAGTAATCCGGGATAGTTTTAATAAAAATTAGGTTTTAAGTACATACATACAATCAATTTTGAATCATTTGAAACATTTTTCACTGCACTATTTAAACACATAATTATGGTTAACAATTATTTTATTAACCCCTTCCTAATTTTAGGAAATTCTGTGTACACCATTGCTAGTTGCTACATAATATTGTATTGTTATACAATATGTTATTGATTTTATATAAACAGTGATACAAATCTAGTTTAACACCTCTACCATTTTCAAAATTTTCTTTTGAAAAATCTATTATTAAAAAAGTTATGACAAAAAACAATTATTAAACTCTTTAAATTAAACAAGGGGTTTTCAATGTTGTGAATGATGGTGCAATTAGAATTTTTATAAAATCATTATTTTAGAAATTAATTGAAGATTATATAATTATACTGTGCTGCTAAGAAAGAATGACATAATTCAAAAATAAATAATAATAAAACAAGATACTCTCTTATGTGACATATACTAGTTTTATACATTAAGTTAGATTACGACTACTACAGCAATCAATCCAATAACTCATTCCAATCTCAACATTCACCTTCAAACTTGGACTCCCAAGGTGAGACATCTATGTACATCCTTCTTTAAAACACATAAACTTAAATAAATAAATGATTAAGTTGTAGATATAGGTATTAAGACATTCTACCAATGGTCAAAAAGAGGCTCATAATGATTGTTGTGACAAATAACAGACTAAAAAATATTTACATCAATATGAATCATTTAGTCTGACTGTATCACACTATCATTGTGAACACACAAATATTCAATATATTTACTGAGTGTCATCACAGTTACACTAATGCACCACTTCCTTTAAAAAAATATCCTGAATTTCAATATACTATTTCATAAAATTTTTATAAAAATCAGGTTTCTTAAAACCATATTGTATTTACTACACTCTATTATAAAGATTGTGAGATATGTGAAGGTTTAAAAATGCATAACAATAATTTAATTGAAAATTATGAAATTTCCCAAACTTACAATGAACATAAAAAGGTGATGTTGCAAGACAAAGGAAAAAAAATAATTTGATAGAAAATTTATTTGTGATATAGTAAATCTATAAAAAGTTATCCTGTTGATACAGTTTAAAAAAAATATATACTTATTGAATGAATGGTTTTATACAATGAAAGATTATGTCTGTCCAGGGAAATACATTTTTTTTTTCCATTTGTGTGTATATGGCATAAAACTCAAAAGTTTACAATTTGGCTAAATAACTGTACCAATCAAAATAAGTACCAGTGATTTTAAAATAAATTGTCAACTCAAATGATATTTGCATATAACAAATTATTTTATTGTATATGAGCCATAGTTTTTATCATCAAGTAATACTCTTCTTAAACATCAGAAGAAATACATAATTTTAAAGATTTTACTAAAGCAGTAGGCGTCAATAAAGGTAATTTTTATTTAAAAAAAATGAGTATTTTTTATATATCTGTGATTTATGATTATATTTATTAAAAATAATAGGTGGATATTAATTAATAGTATATATTTAAATTTTAAAGCATTAAACTTCTTAAACTTAATCATTTATTTATTCTTCATACTGTATCTTTACCAATGTATTCTTTATTTTTATAGTGTATAACTGTATAATGTCATTAATTTAGAAGGTAGAAATGAAGTAAACTAAAAAACCAATTTCTTGTATTAAAAATTTAGATTGTACAAAAATATAAATGATAAAAAGTACTGACTAGATATTAATAATCATTACTTTATCAATGACCAAAAATAATAACAATGTTTGGTTATGATATTTCAGTAATCTATAACCAAAATTGTTAAAAAGTTTTTTTTCTAAATAAATTACAATAACCAGATTACATTTGGTTAATCACCAAAATATACAATTTTTCTTTCAAATAAAAATCAAATTCTCCCAGAAAATACAAACAATTTTTAGGAAAACATAAAGATTTACTTATTATCTTAATAATTTTATAAATATTAAACAATTATAAAAAATAGGCAGTTTTTATTAAAAAATAAAATGTAAAAAAAAATTATAATTACATTTTAACTTTGAGACAAGACATTTAGTAAATTATAATTAATTGATTATTTTAATAAGTTGTAAAATTGTTTAATTGACAATTAATTGAATGTAAATAATATATGTTGTTTCTCTTTAATCATTAGCAATAAGTACATTTTAGTATGCTAGGTAAGAAATGCATACATAGAATTACAACATGCAAACAGTAAACAGTTGTGAACAATTAATAACATATCTACTTAGAACAAATATCAAAGGGAGAGGGAGCTATATAAATTGGAGAAATATTCACCAGGAGTATAATGTTTGGAAGTATTATTTGCATGTAGTGAATATTTCATGAAACAATATTTTTCAGGGATAATATAATATGGGAATCATATTTTGTTGGGAAGGTATTTCCAAGGATTTGTAGAACTGTAGGAACTTTATTCATCAATACCAGAGTATTTTGATGGAAAATATATAAACAGAGCTGTATTATAATAAAATTATGAGAATAACTATTATTAATGAGACATTTCAAATAAATAGTTGATATATTTTCCAGCAAAATACTTACTTAGATTCATACAGTTCTGGACAATTATAATAATTCTGATAATATATCATTCTTAAATAATATCATTCTAGAATTTTAGTTTTTATTGAAAATATTGTTCCTATATAAAAAATCATTCTAAATAAATATTTTCCTGAACAATTTTCTTTCAAGCAAATCTTTTCCCAAATTGTATTTGACCCTATATCAAAATCAGAATACCTATTATAAAAACAGTAGTTAAAATTAAAAGTCCTCACAATAACTTATATAACTTATAAGAAATATTATAAATAATTATGAAAAGAGGACCAATTAGGCAAAATTTTATCTAGATAATTATTCAAATTATTTTTTATTTGAATAATTTTAAAACTGCAAAAGAAAATTCATTAGATTAATTGTGAAAACTGATTATTCAAATAAAAATGTATTAAAATAATTTTCAAACATAATTTTATTTGACATTAATAATTTTTGTTTATTTTATTTGGTCAAACATTGGTGTTGGTAATTTAAAATAAGTAAATTTTAAAATACATAGTTGGCTTTGTATTTTTGAGTTACACTATTATAAATTTACTAATCAATTTTATTTTCGTTACTAATTAACCAGCATTAAGACAATTAAGATAAGACCTATATAGATTTAGACTATTACAGAAGGTGCAAATATCACTCAGTTTTCTAGTTTCTATTTTTAGTCTCAATTTTTCAATTTGATTTAAAATAAACACAAACTATATCAAAGTACAGATTATTAATAATATAAAATATATTTTCTTTGGCTCTAATAGTATTTTTGTATAAATCTTAATATTATGTTTGAAAGTTATTCGAATACATTTTTATTCAAATAATCAGTTTTGAAATTATTTGAATACATTTTAATTTTATAATTATAAAAATTCATTCAAATAATAATTTATTTGAATAGAATTTTATTTAAATAATTATCTAAATAAAATTTTATTTAAATAATGCTTAACTCTGTATAGGACCACTAAAAATGACTAAACATAAAAAAAAATTGTTTTTTCAAAATGATACCTATGGAGGAAACATACAAAAGGTTTTCTTAGCTGAGCAGTTTAGTACTTAATATTCAAAATAAACAATTGGATGCACGGCTTATTACAATTTCTCTCCATAATTTTAGTGCTGCTATGCGACCCTCTCTTTTTACATCATTGTTTTTGTTACTTATGTTTTCTACTATTATATTACATCACAACTTAAGAAGTAAGTCCGACAACAAAATTCTGATTGTACTATCGTATTCAGTGTCCAAAAGACAAGTGTTCAAAAAAAAAAAGTTGAAAATCTAAGTGGGTGTTTAACTAAATTTAAAAACTAAACAATTTATATTATTTATAATTTATTGAAATCGATGATAATACTTACGGCCAATAATTGTATAATGATATTAATAGAATTGCCCGATTTTTGAATAATTTCACCATCGTACTGTTGACGTAATACTATTAAGTTCAATACGCTTTTTATAGCTTCCAATAGTTCAATAACTTTTGAATCCATATTAAAATTGGAATGGGTATACTAATAGACTACAAAAAGAATAAAACTAAACTGATATTTAAAAAAAAAAACCAATAGGTGGAATTAAGACTGAACGGCTACTAATAAAATAATGTACGTGCGTATGTAATGCATTCAATGAAAAAAAAAAGCAAAGCAAACGCCGAAAAAATCGAACGACAATTATGCAAAATATTAATAGAATATTCCATAGTATTCTATTAACCTAGAATTATTTCAACGGAATTCAAGAGCGTCTAGGGCATGATAATATAATATATTCTTATATTATCTATGGTCTAGGGTGGCAATCATCAATGCCAACTTAGTGTTAATTAAAATCTAAAATCTATAATACTTTAGATGAAAAAAAAACATTATTTTTTTCCGTTATTACTCATCAGTATATTTTATTCTTAAAATTCAAACAATTTATAATTCAAGTATTTATTGTTTTAAAAATAATCGTTAAGCATAACCATACTTAAGAGGACATCATACCGATAGTGAAATATATACAATGTTTGAAAGATGGTGTTGCGCGCCATATCACCGCGCAACGGTTAAAAACTATTGAAAAAAACAAACTATGAAATGTTATAGAACAAACAGCATAAGGGAATTCGCGTTCTAGATTTGTGGAAACTTATGAAACTATAAAGGTCACTGATTAAGATTACACAAATAACAATATTATTAACTATTATATCTCCAGTGTTCCACACAGTAAATTCTATAAATACAACTACTGCCTGTTCAATTAAATTACAAATAAAAATTACCTGTAATAAATTAGTTAAGTATAGTAGTTACTAGTAGTAGATTTTTTTTCATAGTTTACAACCAATCAAACCACCAGGAATATCAATATTCTATGCGTAAACATAGAATAGAGCAAGGATTAAAATAATACATAGATTGTCTTTATGTTTGAATTGAAAAAAAAAACCGTATCTAGTTCATTTGGCTACTACTTCTGTCAATCTGGTTGTCTGCTAACCATATTTATTACTCTGGTACAATAGTCAAATAGCAAATACTATAATTATGTAAAGGTACTACGTGATAGTTTTGTTGTTTGTTGTTTCTATATTTTTTTTTTCTAATTAAAATTTTTATTGTTTTTATATTCCTATATATTAATCATAAACAGAGTTTTATTAAGTTGTGTAATAATTTACAGTATAGTAATAGGTATAGTAAAATAGAATAATTTTTAAGTAAAAAAATATATTATTGAAAAGTATTAGGAATATTTAATACTAAAACATATTCAACAATTATTTAGGATTTATTTTAAATAACTACTTTAGAAAAAATATATATTTTTATTAATATTAAAATCCACTGTATCATAAATTTAAACTTGAATACCTTATCTGATTTACAATATAGGTAATAGATAAATTTATTTATTTTTAAATAGAAATTTAGTTATGTACCCATAACCTTAATCATATGAACCTTAATCACTCAACCCTGTCAACAATAAAAATGTTTATTACACAAATAAATGAAAAGATATTTAATAATTTTAAATTTTACCAGATGCTAAATAACGCAAAATTATTGTTAAACATTCTCCAGCAAGAATAGCATTTCTCATGCACACATTTTTTTTAACAATAGATGGACCAACAATACTCAATAAATAATCTAAGTGTGATGATTACATACTTAAACAATTTTTGTACGTTGCAGGTTCAGCACATGTTAATTCTAAATTAATAGTTTCATAAAATCCACGTTTTGGCCTTTTTAAAAAAAAAATTTTTTAAAAGGCCAAAATTATTTTTTTTCTTTTTGTAATTCATCTTCTAATCATCCGTTATAAATTCTGTTTTTTCCATTTGTCTCATGTGAATTAAATTATCATGTTAATAATTAATGTCAATAGCGAACAAAGCAGCCATCTCTTCAAAATTTGCTATTGTAAAATATTGATCTTCTAGGTAAATGTTATTAAAATATCAAAGTAAAAATATAATTGAGAATATAACATATTCAAATTAAATGTTCTGAATTATTTTAAGGAGTTTTCTGTCGTGATAACAAAATTAGTTTTTTAAATGATAACCTATATATTTAATGCAAATTAATGATTTTCTTTTTTTCAAAATTCTGACCTATAAACAAAATTTGAATGAAATGTTTTTGAGTTATTCTGATTTAAGTACTAAGGATAATAGATTTTACAGAAATTGGATACCAACTGTGTATAATGAATTTCTCGGTCACTTTGCATAATGTTATTATTTATAAGTATTTAAGAAAAATAACTGGAATAATGGAAGGAATTCCTCCACCTGATCATTCTCTCATTTGACTCCCTCAGAACTATAGTATATTGTCAACATATATTTGATAAAAATCAAACAAAATAATTCAACTAATTCAAGTATATTAAATTTCTTTGTTTATACTTCCTTCAAGTACTGGTATAGAGTTTAGTTTATAGTTGAATGTGTAAGTAATATAGACAAAAGTAAATTGCCTGAGCAGTCTGATAAAAATTTTTATAATGGTAGATAGAGAAATTCCAATTGATCCCAAAAAAGTTCTTGATATACAGGCTCAAAAATCAAGTAAAATGTATATCATTTTGTAAATTCAATATTTTAATCAAAAATATATGTTATAATTTAACGTATGTTGTTTTTATATAAAAATGGGGGTGTTGGAGCTTGGGTCCCACAGCTTTTTAATATATTTTCATATCTCCTCCTCCAATATAAAATCCTAAAAACACCTCTGATCTATAGGTATAATATACTATATTGTCTATGAGTCAACTGTTATCATTTTGCACATCGTCCATTTACCTCTTACCAACATAATATTTTACATCATTTGCGCATCAACATATCGAACAATAAGTAAAAAGTAATAATAATAAAAAAAATAAAATCAGAACTGACTGACTGACTAAATCATCATCACCTAGCCCAAACCACTGGACTGATGTGGCTGTCATTTGGTACACAGATAGCTATTATGATGTAGGCATCCAATAAGAAAGGATTTTTGAAAATTCAACCCCTAAGAGAGTAAAATAGGGGTTTTTAGATATATTTGGTATGAATATCTAATTGCTTATTTATTTATTTTTGTTTATTAAAGAGTTATCTTGGTATTACGGAAAAGAAAATCATTATAATTATTATTATTACTATTGTTCACACAATTAAAATTTCACAATAGTTACACATTTAAGTGTTATTCTTGTTAATTATTTAATTCAACAGATAATAATTTATTTTTAATAAAAATAAATACCTAAAGTTTGGATGTAAGCTTTTCCTTTTTTTCTTCTATTGGTTCAATATGAAGATACATTAGCTACAAATTTATTTCATACTATTAAGGATTAATACATACATTTTTAGTTTTTGCCATTTATATTTAGTGCATTAATAGCTCTTTAATTTTAAGTAGTTTTAATTTAAGTGCTTTTTTAAACTACAACATTCAAACTCTACTTATAAAATATCAACATCGTTATAATTGTTAATTCATATTAATATAAATTAAATAAGAATAAATGGTAATTCATGTGTATAGATATTAGGATTGATTTTTTTATCAAAAATTTAAATTAAGAAAAATACATTTCTTTATATATAATAAAAAATGATGGTAGGTATATAATATATATTATAATTAATTAATAATTAAGCATACATTTTTATTAGCTCATAAAAATTAAAACACTTTTTTCTTACATAAATCTCTATTTTTAAAAACTAATGGATTTAAACCAGCATATAGTGTCTTTTTCTTTTTTTTAATTACTCTTTTTTCTTGTTTAAATTGTTTTTCCTTTGTTTTTGATTTAAAATCTTTAATTGTGGAACATTTAGATATTTTTTCAGTTGATTTACATAATGTTTTAGTTTTAATAAATTCTGAAGTGGTTACACCTGAGCAAACTTGACAAGCCTAAAATATTTTATAAAAAAAAATAATTTGATTTATTGAAAACTATTAAAGAGGACATAAAAGCAGCTTTTGTCATCTCTGTGAAAATGGGGTTTTGGCTCCTTAGATTCATGACCGATATTTCTTTATATAATTTATTTATAGTAGAATATTATAAATTGAGCTGTCCACACTATTACAATAAAATGTCGCACTTTAATATTCTAAACAACAAGAATATTCTACAACAATAATTGTTTTGTCTACATGCATGAAAATAAATTGATAAAAACACACAAGCATTATTTAAAACATAAACAATAGTTAGTATCTATCATGTCTTTTAGAGGACAGTCTTTGAAGCCATCAAAATCAATTTATATATTATATTATAGTTTTTATATCATATTAATCTATAGATCATACAATAAATAATACAATTTTATTACCTAACAACACCTTATATATTAATATTTAATATTTTCATACAATGAAATATTGGTCATGTGTACAGGCTTTAAAAGATAAGTTATGTCTGTTTCTAATAAACTTAAAATAAAAATTATTTCAAAACTTAAATCAATAATATTTACTAACATTCTAAAAAAACAGGTTATACTTCACAATTTTAAAAAACTTGAATTTGTTTTAATCTTTATAAAAAACTTAATAATGAAAATATAACGAATCCCTCAGGGATAATCAGGGGTGAGAAGTTTGTATACTTAAAATCCAAAAAAAGGGCAGAAGACAAATGTTACTGTTACATACTCTTAACTATTATTTTTTTTTTATTTTTTTTATTTACCTTGATGAATGAAGACTTCCCTGTACGATAATTTTTTTTCAATTTTCCATTTCCATTTTGGCATTTCCTAGTTTTTACAATAAAATTCCCCTGTTCCCATGGAGTGAAACAATTTTGACAATGAATTCCTATACTTGACGGTTCATTTTCATTTATTTGACTGCTTTGATTCCGTTGGGAGCACCTGTAATACATTTTTATTTTTTAATCATCAACCATTAATAGACCGACCATAAAAGGTATCCTAAATAAGTAAACCTATCAACTTTGCCTACTTCTGATGATGATCACACATTATCACATCTTTCCCATCATTACTTTTCTCAAAATCATAGTATTTCTTAACTAGTGTGTTGCCAGGTAAGTCTAAATGTGTCGTGAAATATATTAAATGATACAAAATAAACAAACATTTATGACACAATTTACAAAAATTAATAGGTATTTGATTGAAAATAAGTTTTAAAATGTTGAAATTGTTTGATGGGGCGATGAATCCATTTAATCCTAGTAAGGAAACCACACTTCTTTCATTAATAGAAGAAGAAAAATTTACAAAATTAAAAATGAATTACAGTTTAATGAGTTCAAGTAAGGCAAATATCAGATACACACAAAAAATAGTATAAATATACTATTAATAGTGTATTAATAGTGTAAATAGTACAAATATATTAAAATTAGCTCTTTCCGTGTTATTACAACTTTCAGCATTGTACTTTTGTGAGGTAGACTTTTCTACATATAACAAAACAAAAACAAAAAAAGGGAAAGATTAATTTATACCAAAGAAGAGTTGAGTCGTATTTTAAAAAAATTGTTCATGTGTGAATGAGCCATATAAGAAATATCAATCTCAAATTGCTCATTAATTTATCATATGCTTTTGTATGTAATATATTTTCTTTGTTATTTTTAAGCTTACATAGACAATTAAAACTAAATATTACCTATTATCCTTATTTTATATTCAGAGTGTAGCGAGGAATATATTTGTTTTACAATGATGTTTATTTATTTTTATTTTTTATGCTGTGAAAAACTTTTCTACTAGAAATCTTGCTCAGATATATCAAGAATACTACTTTTTCTCAAAATAAATTTTATTTACCTGGTATTTGAACAGGTTGTTTTTTGATTTCTCCAAGTGGTTTTTTATAACAATTGGGAAAAGATGGGAATGTTAATGAAAATAATGATAAACTATATTATTTTAAATTTTATTGTTTTATTGTAAATATTTATAGAGCCTTAAAATTTATATTTTACTTTTCTAGACATGATACAATTTTCAAAACACTTGAGCTATTTTTGAGATATTGGTAGGCTTTAGATTTTAATTTTGCAAATTGTTATATAATTTTTATTTAGTAGGTACTCTGTGGATAAAATTGTTAAAATAAACAGAAATACATGAAAATTCAACAGGAGATTTATTATAAGTCATACTTTCTAATTAAAAAAAAATTGAGTTTAATTTAGTATTTTTTTTTATATAAAAGAATTTTAATATAAAATTTTTATGAAAATTTTAAATATTACGGCCTTTTAAAATGTGAACCAATAACCAAACTTTACTCCAAATCATTTTTGATTAGTAATGGTTTACCATTTTTTACAAATATAAATTACATTCCCCTCTATATCCTACTTTCCCAACTTCTTACCTATAAAAGTGCCTCAACTGTTATGCAAAGTGTGTCTGTTTTTTGTTTTGTGTCACAAAGTATGAGTAATAGTGTGTTATAATAATATAAAGGTTAAGAAATACTGCTCTAAACACTTTGTACTTTGTACTTTAATTTATTTCTACTAATCTATAATCTTTTTACTTTATGTACTGTTTTATATTTCTTAAACCTATTGTTCACTTCCAGACTATCTCTAACATTTCTTTAATGAAAGCAAGTAGAATAAATAAATAATTAATGAATTAAGTAACATGTAAAATGAGAAAAAACTTATTGAATCCAAAAAATTCTCTGACCATTAACAAATTATCTCACCAATAATACTTACAAAATAGAAACTTTTAAGGTGGTTAATATACTTGTATCATTATGAAGATGATTCAACAAATCAATGTACTTTGAAGTATAATTTTCAATTGGAGTAATCTTATCCATAATGTATACTCAAATGATATATTCTAATTCATCAGTAAATAAATGTAGGTGTAAATATATGTTAAGCACTGAAAATTATTAAACATCAAAAATGAATTTTAAAAAATTACAGTGTTTATGTAAATAAAATATTTTTTAATATTTATCAGATAAACCAATTAAACTTTATCTGGTTTAATAACTGATAAAAAAAAATATTTTGACAAAATGATAATACAAGGTTTTTACTTTTTTCATCAAACTAAGATAATATACCCATACTCCATAGTGTTTTTTTCTACATTTCTCAAAAGACGTGAAGTCAATACGTATTACGTAAAATTAGTTCTTGCGTCATGCACTTTTTATCAGACTGTTATCAGTAATAATTTAATTGTTTGAATACAAATAATTTTATACAAAACAAATTTTATGTCCATATACCATTGGCTTTTGATAAATGTTGAAGTCCTTCATTAGTTGCAAAAATTATAATTCTTTTAATTATCCTTTACTATCTTTTGCTATCTGAATTTCTAGTTGTAAATTATTCTCCCTCTATATAAGTTTCACTTGTAGGTTGGTTCAGTTTCCTCTGATTACGTAAAGTTTGTTTCATTATACATTTAGTTGGAACTCTAGTTTGTAATTGTGGGTCCAACATCTTAAAATTTTCGGTATACACCTATTTCTGCTGGAATATTTTTAGTATTTTTTGTATTTTGTATTTTAATTCGTACATTTTGTGGTATTTACCTACCCATAATAATAATATTTTTTAAAAAATTAAAAATTTTCAGCACATGATAAAAAAAATATATTCTCAATTAGGAAGACTAGAAATATATTCATTGAAATATGCATACATTGAATTTTGTACAAAAATTCTACCAGAAATATTGCTCTGAATTATCAAGTATAGTATATTTTCTAAAAGGGAATTTTCCTGGAGTGGTACTTTAGAGATATAATTTTTAGATTTTCCCAGGAGTTTTCCCGATAAATGGGAAAATAAATACAATATAAAATACATATTATTAAAAAAAGTATTTGATGCATAATGCATTAGTAATTATTTTACCATAATGTGACATAATATATGTATATTGTTGATAAAACAATACTATTAACTGAACTTCGCTCAGAATCTTTTTCGTTAGTAATGGTTAACCGTTGAATACAGATGTACATTAAATTTCCTCACTACTTACCCTTCCAACTCCTCATCTATAACAGTAGCCAACCCAAGGATGTCAGTCTTTTTATAATTTATATTATAAAAAACAATGGGTGCAGCCACTGTTTATCACCATAAATCGGGAAGATAATATATAGATGAAAAATAAAATTATAATAATATTTTACTAATATATTTTGAAGTTTATACATTTTTTTTTCGGTTTTTCACATTTAATGAGAAAACTCCAGAGAAAGTTGAAAAATGACCTCCTTAAAGTACCACCCCATGTAGTAACAAATTCAACTTATATTTTTATTACTATGTAATATTTATTTTAATCTAATAAGTCTAGAAATGTAAATCGTTATTATGAATGTATTATTTTCCTTATTATAAATCTTGAACTCATGGGCCCCCACACAAACCTTTTCAGTGGGGTTCATTATCTTTTTGAAGAAATGAACAATAATAATGTAACACCACCAAATTTAATCAAAACCTAAAGTCCAAAATTTATATGAATATAAAGTTTATTTCATAAACAAGTGAGTGAAAGATTACGTATTAGCGTGCTTTTTACATATTTAAAAATAAATATTATTACTTTTTAAAAATAATTTTATTTACCTCCTTCCTTCTCAAAAAAAAAAAAAAAATCCTGAGCACTTGGAATATATAGCCATACTGTGGAAGTTATTTGGTTATTATTTGGAATATTTGCATGTAAAATGTATTTAATGATTTTTACCTTGTGGTATTTTACCTTTGTCGGTTAGGCTGTCGGTGTCATTTTTTACTAATTACCCATAGTTCTCACTGAGTACAATAGTCAAAAAATAATATAATTAAAAAGTATAATGAAAAACCCATCCAGTCCTATTAAGAACATAATCCACAGAAAAGGGTTTTTAAAACTAATAAATGATAAGTTCATTTCCACATTTCAATTAATAATAGTCTGAACATTAATGTAGATGTTAAGCATTTTTTTTTTTTTTAAAACCTTATCATTATAGCTAATAATTCATATTATCATCATAATCATGTTGCCATGTTATTTTTGGTAATATGTATAATTTTTTACATTATTAGTAACATATGCTATAGTAAATTATGTATAATATATAATATATATTTACATTTATAACATATATTTATAACTGTAAATAATTATTATTACAGTGTATAGGTGATCAACAAGGTGCACTAATGGGTCAAATGTGTTTTTATGCAGGCCAAGCCAAAAGCACATTTGGAACTGGATGTTTTCTATTATATAACACTGGGAATAAGGTAATAAATTTAAAAACCAATATTTTAAAATTTATAATAAAAATATAAATGTGTTTTCCTATTGGTACTCAGGTTACCTAACTCCATATTGTCTGAGATTAACTATCTGGGACAGTTTTCTCTGAACATTGAATACAAATTATGATTATTTGGTAGCATTAAAAATATTCCTAGTTAGTATATATTTATAATTTCTACAATTTTATGAAACAAAATAAAATATCAAATACTTACGGTTTTTTTGATACAACTAGGTACTTAATATTATAGTTAAATAATATAAATGTATGTATTTTACTTTTCCAACTACGACAGTGGTATACCCATCATCAATACCAGTTCTTTTAGATTCTGAATAGGATTGAAATATATTGGTTTTACAAAGATGTTTATATTATTTTTATTTTTTTATACTGTACAAAGTACCTGTACACGCCTTACTGGAAGAGTGACTGGTTCAGTATAATAAAATTATATAGTAGGGTAGATTACGGAAATTTATTTCCTTCCTTTTCTTTAGTATCTATTATTTATATGGTTGTCTATTTTTAAATTCAAATTGCATTAATTTTTAATCAACAAATCAAACAAATTAATATATTGGTATAATGGTACCTATAGTTAATAAATCATTAAAAAACTTGAGCATATACAATATCTTTTTTACAACAAAACCTATATTTGAACCACTACTATAATATGTAGTAAGTAAAATCTGGTAAGATTAGTACCTAAATAGTAAATAAATTAATAATAGTTACCGGTTGAAGTTAGGTTCATGCGATATTCATATTAACTTATTATATATATTTGTTTATAGTTTTTTTTGTATTCTATAGTCTTATATCTATATAGTAAAAACATTTATTTTTATAAATCTAATCGAAAAAAATTAAAATTTATAATCATAAATAGGTAAGTAAATTTTGATTTTTGTAAATAAGCTGCATACGAGTATGACGCCCCTAAGTTGGCCACCTCTGTAATATATTGTATAGTCATTTTGTTATATCTGTGTCTCCCCCATAATATAGGTACCAAAAAAAAACATTCTTCCATGATAGTGACTCTCTAGTTGAATTTAGGGTAAACCTTTTATATTAAGTATTTTACATAAAAAAAAAAAGAATAGATATATACTTAGGTATTTATTTTATGAATGGTTTTTTTAATATTTAAATTTCTTAATAAGTTATTAATAGTTAACATTTTGAGAAAGTAAGTTAAAATACACTTTTTTGATTAAAACAAATCATTCATAGGATTCATATTAAATACTCTTCTTTAAAAAATGAATAATAGGTCCCTTCACCCTAAACTCAATCAAAGAGTTTCAATAGTGGAAATACGAAGTGTTTTTGTCACTAAATTACCAGTGAGTTAGACAATGAAAACAAATGTTAATGATGATTATTCTTAATATTAAAATATAATATACTTTAAACAGTGCGTACATCTATGGTTGAAACTACATCTTATGGGGCTGCCTTAGCGGCTGGCATTGCTGTTGGTGTATGGAATATAAATGCCATCAAATCTGATTGTGATACATTTTCTCCGACTATATCTGAAGAAGGTAAACATTTTGTATAATGTTGCTAAACATCAAATCTCTATTCAATATTGTTATTACACTATTAGTGATATGTTAAGGAAATAATGTAAACATTTCTAAGTAGGTATCTTTTACTTGTAGACTATTATATAGAGTATGCATCTGGAGGAAGAGGACAAGAAGTTTATGGGACTAGACAAGTAATGACAATAAGTAGTGATATAATAAGGAGATTAAATGTTTAAAGCTTTTACTTAGAAAAATACCTATAACTTATAGGAATGCAAAACATAGGATTAAGTGTTGTTAGATTAAGTGGAGAGAAGCATCAAGTGACTTTCAATAAGGCTAAAGGGTATGTTCTGCAAGAGTGTAGAGTTTAATGAGACCGATTATGTTGTACAGTTTGGAGTGCTGAGCAGTAGGTAGAAAAATAGAATAGAGAATAAATGTATCAGAGATGAGAGTACTTAGGTGAATAAGTGAAGTGATAAAAGAAAATTAGATAATAGATGAGTACTTAAGAATTAGCTTACATATGTCTTTGATAGTAGAAAAATGAGAAAAAATAGGCTTAAATAGTTTGGACATATTACCAGGAGAGGAATCAGAAGCAGTAAGAATGGTAATAAAAATGAATATAGGAGAAAACAGGGGAAGAGAAATTAAAAAGTGGTGGTTAGATTGTTAGATGTGGTTGATATATAGACAGCCAGTGTGTGTATAAATATTATTGTAGATTGATTAAGTAGAAATTTAGGAGGAGAGTGGCTAACCTCAAATAGTTAAAATGAAGGTAAAAGGAAGAAGAAAAAGAAGTACCTATTTACTTCCAAAAAATTTGTATTTGTATTTTTTACATGTATCTATTTAAGTAAATTTTGATTATAATTGATTATAAACAAATTTATATAATGATTTAAGGTGAGTGCACTTGTATTAATAATTATTATAATTTCACAAAATAATTAATTGATTAAATTTGAATTTAATAACTTCCTATAAATATTAATTTGGTACCTATAGAACTTTAAATAACAAAAATATTTTACAAAATATCTATGTAATCATTTTTTATTTTAGAACAAACTTCAAAGTACCATAAATGGAAAGAAGCAATTTATCAAAGTGTTGGGTGGAGCAAAAATGATGAAGAGGAAGATGACTGTGAAGGATTTTTGAATCATTAAAAGTAGACTTTATTATTAGTATGAATACCTTTAGCTTTATTTTTTCATATGTTCAGTTAAATATTGAAAATTATTAATACTGTAATTAAGACAGATTTATTAGATTTATAAGACAAACAATTATGGATTTTTTTAAAATCAGAGGATTATTCTCAAACTTTTATAGATAACATATGTATTCAAAAGATTCTCATGACCCCATAAATATATAATATATTATATTTATTTTATTATTTATTATTACTTAATAATTGTATTCCTTAGGAATATAATATTATATTGTTTATTATGGACTATGGTTTATTTAAATTAAATCAGTGCTTTACATTAGGTGGCATTATTTCTAAAAATTCTAAGATGGGTATTATACGGTTTCAATATAAATTGGGATACCATGTCATGATTGCACTAAAGGTGTATTTATCAGGTGTCAACATTCTACTTATCAGTTAAATAAAAATTATACATTCATAGTTGAAACCATAGAGAATTACTCTATGGTTGAAACCGCCACCAAGAGATGGGAGTGCTGATTACCCTAAAGCTAAAATTACTCTAGCAAATGTGAAATATTAAATATAATAATCTTACAATTTAAAATTATAATGTTACCTAATTTAAAATGTTTAAATGTAAATTGTATGTAAAGGTTAATACACATAAACTTAATACAATCCATAATCAAAAACATTTTTCTGTATGATACATTTAAAATGTAAGATAGATCTACTGAATATGAACACATATTATAAGTATTAATGCTAACACCATATCTCTATTACCATTGCAGCAGCATACTTTCCACCTAAACATAAAATAACAAACATAGTAAATAAATATATAAATAAAAAAAATGTATACATAAAAATAAAAAAAAATAAAAATAACACTAGTAAAATACCAACAATTTTGTAACTTATTGGATCACTATTTCATAGTTGGAAAAAACTTAAATGCAAAAAAACAAACTTCAGGGCTGTCACACAACTAATCCTAAAAGACACACTTTACTTCAGTTAGTTAACTTAAAAATGTTCTCTGTTCTAGCTCCCCAGATCCAACCTACTGGTTAATTACTAATATATTAAACATATTTATAACCTTTATCCATGCAAGTTTTTATATTATTAAAATCTTACTCGAACTATGCTCATATATCTTACTTATATCTCTAGTTGTTCAACCCCCCTAACTCCGTGAAAATAGTCTTATGGCATCATGAATTGGGAAAATTGTCGGAAAATCATTAATCAAAAATTTAATTTAAAAACTAGACTTAAGTACCCGAATGACATAGAAGATGCTATTCAACATTTTACAGGTATAATTCATTCAGCTGCTTGGAACTGAACTATGCAAAATCCTCTTAAAAACCAAAACTCTTTCCAATCTTTCTTCTTTCCTTTCTTTGGCAACACACTAGACTTCCATCTGATAAACAAATATTTAACAATCTTACATCTTCACTTAAATTAATTTTAAAACAATTCAGAAATGACAATTTTAGATCTTGGGTCTCTTCACTCACATCAAAAAATGGTTTCCCTTAAAAAACGAAGATAAAACTTAGTGTAAAACTGATGAGGAAAAGGTAGAACCTTTTTGTGCACAATTAACCAGTCCAATGTATAAACTGGGCACACTATATAAAACACAAATTTATCATTTTTAACTGGAAGCAGTGGAAATCTCTTGGCTATTTATTCAGTAAACATTCTAAACTAGTATAAAAACTCTTATAAAACTCAATTGATCTCTATTTTGGATATAATGCATCCAACTATAGGGGGAGGGAACAGCTAAAAATCAAATATTTATAAAATTCTAACTTTTCAATCCATAACTCATTGTTTAATTACAAATTCCCTTTTCTATGTCTCAAATCACAGCCAGATGTCATATTAATTTAACTATAGTAGACAAACAAAATAATGAAAACATTGATGACTCAGATACTGACACAAACAGAGAAGACTGTGAAAAATCAAAGGACAATGAAATGACAGAAGACGCTGTTAAGTATTTAGCTGGATGGGTAGCTAAAAAAAATAAACAAAAGTTTCCTGAACTTGGTTGTACTACAACAGAATCAAAAATATCTAGCATTAATGAACATGACTATCTACTTCCTTTATGGATTGATTGTTTATCATATGGTGGCCTGATAGTCCATAGTAATGACTTTAAAAAACACATTTTTAGAGCTGAAAGAATTTTAAAAAAAATTACTAAGTAGAAAATCCCTAAAGGACCAGGTGTAGTAAAGCAACTTTTACATAGAATAATGAATAGAATGAATATTGAAGATAAGTATTGACCAGTTATACAAACATTTGTAAGGCAAAAGATCTTTATTCGTATGAAGTATGCAAATAAAATTCAACAAATTCTAGTTGCAAAAAGCAAAGTTAAATTACAACTACAAAAAGTTCAAAAGCTAAGAAAACTTATGACTTAAAAATATAACTTTTGACTCGTTTATTAAGTAGGTATTATTAAATAAAAATAATTACATGTTTTTGTATATATTGTATTTATGGAGTGTTTTTATTATTAAAATATTAATTATTCAAATTTATTTAGTAAAATTATTTTTATTTTAGGAACCGCTTAAATAAATACAATGAGAAATATTGAGTATAAGTATATCAGGTATTATTTTTTCTACTTTTGTCAACTATTTAAAAACAAGTTTAATATATATTCCTACAGTATTTAAAGTATATTTGCCCTTTTTAGAAATATAACTATATTCATACAATCTACACTTGGAACATTTAGTTCCTAGCCATACAGTGATTAAGTATTTTAGTAGGTACTAAAATCGAAACCACCAATGAAAATAAATAAGTGTACGGTGATAAGCATATTGTATATTTTGTACAGTTGCCGCAAGGTTTAAAGATAATATTATCTATAAACCTTGCAGCTGCCGTACGATCGATGGTCGTGGTGTATTGCAAGACGTCACTAGGCGAGGAATGAATGTGGGGGGGTCGTTTTGTGTACACGACGGTGAGGCAACCTCTATTATCTATAAACCTTGGAAAATACGATGTAAATTATTTATCAAACAACGATATGCTATAATTGATAACACTAAAGATAAATGATAAACAATTTAACAATAATTGATTGGGTACACCCTTTTGTGTTTTACTGTTTATTAATTTACAAGAGATCCGAACATTCAAGTGTGTTATTCGCATACAAAAGTTTTTCCGAGATATCTTATAAATTCTTCAGATTTTGTGAGGTAAGTTTATTAGTTTAAACTAATTAAGTATTAATTAATAATTTTGTGTTAAAAGACATTGGATATTAATGGCGTACATATGTGGGTTGGGTAGTAAGATCTAATCTTTTTAAATTAACATAAAATAATAAATTATTATATTTTAATTATTTATTGTATTGTATAGTTCTGGTAACTGTTCAATGCTTTAATGCATATCTATTGTGGTAATAAAAATATAGGTTCCCAGTGTCTTTACATTATATGTGAAAACAAATTTCAGAATTGCCGTAAGTGCCCACTCATATACACACACTAATGCACTATATTTTATAATTTATCCTATTCATATTATTGTTTCTTTCTGAAAACCATTTGATTGTAATATTTATTTATAACATAGAAAGCTAATCATCTATCATTATGTTCAAAATGTTTTTCATTTTTTTCTTTCTATCTAATAATTAAAAGACTTGCATGTTTATTATAAACGTTTTGTGTACTTATACTAATGACATATTTAAAAATACTTAACTGCTATGAGCTTAGTAAAGTTTTGTATTTAATTTTTTATATTAACTATTAGTACTTATACCTATATGTTTTATTGTTAATAAAAATTATAGTTATAAAAGGGAAGGTAGGTTTTTGTGTATTTTTTTTAAACCAACAAAATAATCCACATATTTTGAATTTTACTGTACTTATCATTAGAAACCAATTTATGCTCCCTTTGTTAAATAATTAAATTAAAACTTGTTTAAATTTTCGAGTTTTGAGCATTTCAAACATTTGTTTAGAGTTACCTACTCGGTAAAAATTAAATTATGGTGGTAGGTACTTATATTTTCTTCTTCTTCTTCTGGCAATCCTACTCTCTAAGAGTTTTAGCCGCCATTACTACACTTCACCACCTATCCCTATCATGGGCTGTCTCTCTCCAGTTCTCAACTCCAAGGATTTTTAAATCTTATTCTACTACGTCTATCCATCTTTTCCTAGGTCTGCCTCTTGGTCTTTTACCTTGTGGCTTCCATTCCAATGCTCCTCTAACTACTTCGTTCTTTTGTCTTCTCATTGTGTGGCCTAACCATTGTATTCTTTGACTCTTGAAGCTTGTTACTGGTGCTAAATCCAACGTATCGTACAGCTCTCTATTGTACTTATATTTTAATTATTAAAAATGTCTACCATTTATTTAATTAAAAATTGGCAACTTAGAATATTAAAACAACCAAACTATTTTCTTAGGTAGATTGTATTTAGTTACAAATTATACTCTCTTACAATCATCGTTAATATTTGTAAAATTTTATTTTAATTTAATTTTATGTACAAACACAATAACTAAAACCCACAACTACCCTATTACAATGATAATTCAACAGACACCAGTTTAGGTTTATTGTTTTATGGCAATGATAAATAGTACTTATAAAATTTCTAATACAATAGTTTTTATTACTAATCAATAGATAGGCTATTTTACACAATTTTTAAGTGAATTAATAAAGTTATTTTAAAGTTTTAAAGTTTTTTGTGTTTAGGGGATAAAAATGAAAATTTATTTTTTCTCAAATCGCTGTCCCCCCTCCCCCAAGACAAACCAATTGGAAAAAAAAAAAGAATCGAAAAAAATTTAAAATTAACAACGCTAGAAAAATCACGGTGGAAAACACTATATAAGGAAATTTTGTAAGGAGTTACATTATTTAGGCAATCTTAAATATCTTTTCAAGAGTAATTTAAATGTGATAAATACTTAAACCCGTGATATCAAAGACAAAAAGATCTAGTTCATAATTATTATAAATATATTTTTACCAGCACTAATTTATTATGTTATAATCTTAAATGTTTTGTACAGTGATAACTGATAACAATTCTACTAACTGAGTAATATTCATAGTTTTCACTTGTATTTGCTTATAAAACAGGTACATAAAGATATAATTGAAGACCTATCACGGAGATCGGTGTATGTTACAAAAATTTCAGAATCCGTTTTATTACATTAATGGATAAAACTCAGTGTTGCCAATACATTGAGGTACATATTGTATGAATACGAGTTCATTAAGAACTCCGAAAATCGATTGCAAGATGGCTGTTTATGTGTTTGAAGTTGTTGACGTTTGTTGAAATCGATGTATGTTACGTCTGATAAAATAATCGGTATGACACTACCTATTAGTAAATGCGTAAAAACTTAGGTATTTCGTTTCTCGTTTCAATAATAATTAAAGTGAATTAAATTAATGAACCATGTACTAAACACGCACATACACCGATCTCCGTGATAAGTCTTCAATTAACACAAATGTGTTGTTTAACTTTGTTATAAAATCAATCTTTTATGTAAAAAAAAAAAAAAATAGATGAGTTATTGGTGAACTACTGATTTTTTTATGCTGGTAATGAGTAGTATACCTACATGTTATTACAAAATGTATTTTAATTTTTAATTTCCTTTTTTTTTTTTTCAGGGTTCCTTTCAAAAGTCATCAAAATTGGAAATTATCATTTACGTAAATAAACTTTCAAAATCAAAATGGTATGCATATTTATGTTTGTTGTTTTCTATTTTCGATTCTAACTTAGACTTTTTAGATAATTTTTTCCTGAACAAATACTTATTTGGTAAAATATTTTTAGATTTGGAGTGTAGGGATGTATTGGTTATACAATAATGTTTTTTTTTTGTCTGTGAACAATTTTTTGCTAGACATTTCGCTCCAATTTTCAAGTCTAATACCTGACTGAAGGAAATTTTATCTGGGTGGTACTTAAAGGAGGCCATTTTTTGATTTTCCAAGTGGTTTCCATAATAATTTGCAATAGCAATGGTTTATTCGTCTGTATAGATATAAATTAAATTCCTCTTTATATCCTATCTCCCCAACTTTTCATCTACAACAGTCATCCACCCACTGTTTAGCATGTAAACCATTTAACCTATAACTGCAATTATTATACAATTAATTTTTACTGTAACATTTAAACGTACGAGGGCGTACCCCCAAAAAAACTGAACTATTTTTGTACAAAGTTATTTATTTAATTTTTTTACAAAAAACATTTAATCTCCTTCAAAGTACTCTCCGTTGGAGTTAATGCACTTATCCAGTCTTTTGTTCCAATTTTCGAAGCACTTTTTAAACTCATCTTTTGTGATGCCTGCCAACGCCTCTGTCGTTTTTTTTTAACTTCATCAATGTCTGCGATACGCTTTCCTTTCATGTTCCTTTTCATTCTGGGAAATAAAAAGAAGTCGCAGGGAGACAGGTCGGGTGGATGAGATACAGTGGTCATATCATTTTTGGTCAAAAACCGCCGTACAGAAAGGGCTGTGTGAGCAGGAGCATTGTCTGATGAAAAAACCAGTCTCCTGACTGCCACAAATCAGGTCTTTTTCGCCTCAAACTGTTGCGTAATCTTTTTAACACCTCTAGGTAAAATGGCTGGTTAACTGTCTGACCAGGTAGAACAAACTCCAAATGGACGACTCCTTTCACATCAAAAAAACAAATTAGCATTGTCTTAATGTTTGACCTCACTTGACGAGCTTTTTTAGGGCGATGCTGGAGTCTTCTATTGGCTCGATTGTTGCTTGGTTTCAGGATCATATCCATAACACCATGATTTGTCACCTGTAATGACCTTTGAAAAGAAGTTTGGGTCATTTTGGAATTCTTCTTTCAAAGAAGAGCATGATTCCACATGGTCTTATTTTTGCTGCTCAGTTAGCAGTCTAGGAACAAATTTTGCAGCCATCCGTCTCATCCCCAAATCTTCACTTAAAATTCTCTGTACTGAACTCTATGTCACACCAGATCTCTCCACTACTTCTTCGATGGTTTGCCGTCGATCTTCCATGATAATTTTGTGAATTTTTTTCTTTGGTTTACGCCAACGAAGGACGNCTAGATCGAGCTTGGTCGTCTATCGACATTTCACCACTTTTGAAACGGGAAAACCACTCAAATACTTGAGTTTTCCCTAAAGCATCACCTTTGTAAGTTGTTTTCAACATCTCAAGGGTTTCTGTACCTATTTTCCCGAGCAGGAAGCAAAACTTGACGGCTGTGCGCTGTTCACGCAAATCAGCCATTACAAAAACAACGAGTACGAAAAATAACTTTTAAAAAAAATATCACACCAACATAACACAACCTTCCACAATGACGGCCATTGACATATTGAATGTTGAGAAGTATATTTATTAGCTCCTATCGGAAAAAAAATCGGTACTACTAAAACTGTCCTACACAACATCAGTTCGGTTTCTTTTGGGTACGCCCTCGTATATATAATATAGAGAATCTGATTGTAATTATTCTTTATTAGTATTTGAGTTTAGTCTACTTCTCATTTTTAGTTTAGTTTTTGATTTATTTATATTGTTAAGGTTATTTCTTTAAAACCTTTAATGTACACATATTAACACAAAACTACCAAATGCATTTGTATGTTTAATATACTGTTTTATATTATATCTATTACTGATATATTATAATTTCATTATTCCTTATTTTTACAGAACAAATTTTGTCAAAAATATTCAGACTGTGAAGACTCCGTATCAGAAATTGCTGAAATATTATCCGATGATGATCCGACTAAGTAAATAATATATTCATTTATTGTCATTTCTTTTTTTGGTTAATTAACACAAAAGCAATTATCTAATATAGAGGTAGGCAACATCATTTTTGGTGTCTAGGGCCAAAAAGTAAAAATATTTTTTTCACAGACTATAATCAGAACACATTTTATTTTATTTAACTTTCAAGTAAATGCAAATTTAGTGTATAGATAAATGCTCCACTGGCATTCAAGCTATACTAACCACATTATCATACATCTAAATTAGTTACTAGAGAATACCTAGAAGTGCCCATAATCTGCACAGATTTATTTATTAATTTTATCTTAAATGTGGTGTGAATACTACTTACCCGCCCACCAGAAGGTTTAACAAAAGTTTATAGTTATATCAAATTTAATTTAAGTTTATCATCATTTGATATATTAATTTAACAAGTTTTAATAAACAAACTTATTATTATGGTAATAAAACATCATAATAATGAAAGTAAAAGTTAATGTAATTTTTAAGTTTGAATAGCATCAACCAGTTTATTGATTGTGGGTATGATATTCAATGAAGACATTTTCTATACTGGATTTAAGTGAACACTGGAACATTTTAAATTATATTTGCTCTTTTGATATTTCATTAGAGCAAAAGTTTGCTCAGAAATCGCCTGCCTCTACTAAAAAGGTCATCTAACTTTTTTGGCGGAGAGACAAAATATAGATTAAATAATTGTGGGATATTTTTTTGTTATTTTTAAATATACCCACTGTTTGTAATGCCTTTTATACTACACATATCTACTAACTCTTCATTAATATTAATAGTAGAACTGTGTCAGAAATGTCTGTGCTCTTTTTTAATAACTATCAAAAAACAATTTAATGGCAGAATGATCTTCAGGGTACCTACCTAAAATACATCACCCATTATAAGATAAATACTTAAAGATAGAAAGAAAAATTTCCATTTTTAATTAATATATATTTCATATTTTTTGGTGGTGTAATAACAAATAAGAGTGACAGGGTGATAAATTTAGTACAGCCTACAAATGGGAGGTGATAATAAACAACTACCAATTAGTTTTATAGTTTCTGCACATACTGCATTCACTATAGCTAACATGTATTTTAAGATGCCAGTTATTTATATTTTAAAATAAATTTTTATTTAAATTTTGAAGAGTGTCAGCTTTTTGTCAAATTTGTTTCAATACACTTAAAAATAAGTCTTCTAAATTTTAAACTCATTTAATATATTTAACATCTGCTAAACTTAAGCTCAAAGTTCTATGATAGAGGGTAAAATTGTAATTTTTTGTTTATCCTTGGTCAATTTTGAAATTTAAGAAAAAAATTGTATAGAATCATTATTATAGATCTATTAATTATATACACATAAGTATCTTAAGTATTTTTTTGGTTTTGTTAACTATTTCTTTTGAAATAAAGAAAAATTTACAGAAAATATTTATTTGAAGATTATCTTTTTAAATTTTAAAGATATCAATAAATAGTACATAAATATTATTGTAGTACTGTGTAATTCTTTAAAATATTTATTTCTAATAGGTATGTTTTCAAAATATTAACCTTAGTAGAATTAATACAAATTAATTTTCAAATTTGTAAAATAATAATAGAAAAAAAAGAAATATCAAATTTATTAAAATATAATTTTTTATGTTTGTTTAATATTGGTGTTGGGTATTTTAGATTCTGAGTAGAGCGAAGAAACTCATGGTTTTACAAAGATGTTTATTTTTTTTTTTATCTGTTAATAACTTTTCTACCAGAAGACTGCTCAGATTTCTAAGTGTAACACTTTTTTGGAAAGAAATTTGGTGTGGAGAGGTACTGTAGAGAGGTTATTTTTTGATTTTCTCAAGAGTTTTCTCATCAAATTTGAAAAATTTAAAAAAAAAAACCAGGAAAATATAAGAAATGTAAGCATTAGTTAAAATATAGTATAGCCTTCTTTTTTTCTGTGAACAACTTTTCTACCAGTTATTTAGTTTCAACTTTTAATAATAAATTTTTTATTATTTCCTCACCATTTTTAAAATTGATTGAACTCTCTCAGGTTTCAGGTTGGGTTTTTAAAAAAAAATTATATTTATATTAAATCATTTAAACATTTTGTGAGATTTTCCACCAATGAGTTTTATCAATATTGTTTTATTATCATCATTTAAAAACCATTTAACCATTAACATCAGACTTTTTTAAAAATAACTTCATTCAAGTTTCCTTGTCTTATTATATTTTTGTCTTCTTTATGAGATATTCTAGTGGTCAAATTAGTTTTATCCAAAGTATGTCGTTGAGTTTGAAATTTTTTAAAGAATGGAATAATTGTGCCAAATATGAGGCCATATTATAAATTGAAAAAATTATTGGGAAAGTTCAATTAATTTTAAAAATGGTGAGTAAATTATAAAGAAATTAAAAGTAGTAAATGATGCAGTAGAAAGAAGAATTAAATTAATTGAAGAATTTGATAAAAAAATAACATAAGACAAAGAACAGAGGTAATTATATTAATTTGGAAAATATCCAATACCAATATTAAACATGCATAAAAAACTACATTTGAATAAATTGAATAAAGTTATAAATGTTTTTATCATTTTATTTTTCTGTTTAAAATAATTACACAATTTTTCTTTTTTTTTTTTTTAAATTTCAAAATTAATTTAATTTTTATTAATTCTACAAGGGGTAATATTTTGAAAACATTTTAGAAGTAAATATTTTAAAGAAATACACAGTACTATAATAATAGTTATGTACTATTTATTGGTATCTTTATAATTTAAAAAGATAATCTTCAAAAAAATATAAGCAATAAGCATATTCTGTGTATTTTTCTTTATTTCAAAATAAACAGTTAACATAACGAAAAAAAATACATAAGATACTTATTTGTAAATAATTATTAGGTCATTAATTATGATTCTATAAGATTTTGTTTTCAAAATTGATGACCAAGGATAAACAATAAATTAAAATTAAGGAGACCTATATTAGGTGTATTGAAAAAATTTCCTGACACTACTTAAATTTTACAACTTCAAAAACAACTGGCACCCTAATGTATTTTTTAAAAAACTTAAGTGTCAGTGAATGCGTTATTGCTTTTTGCTAATATTTCAAAAACTACATAACTTGCTCATGTAGATGATTTGCTATATATATATTTTAAGATTTGAAAATACTTTACTTGCTACAGGGAATTTAAAAAAAATTTTTTTTTTTTTCTTAATTTGCCACTTAAGTTTTAAAATTTTGCCTTATGCTCATTTTTGTAATATCGCAAATTACAAATTAAATATAATAACTTGCCACTATTTGATTAAAAAAAAAAAAATGGTCGATCCAATTTTGTAATAATTGTTATCGCAATAAAGATGTATTCAATAATCACCCAGTGGAATGGCAAATTACAAAATTAACAAACAAAATAAAAATGAAAGGATATAGGTTGTTACTCAACCCTAGATTATTATATTTTTTATTTATTTTTCAAAATATAGTTTTTAGAAGTGAATTATTGAGATGTATTTTGACAGGAGACCTATTTATATATTTTTTACCTTTTCTGTTAAAAATGTATTTTAAATATGTAATTTATTTTTTTACACTGTTTCTTAAAATGATTTTGTAGATTGATATTTGATTCTTTACAGGCATGGAAAAATAATGAAGACACTTCATTCGTTAGGTTTTCATAAAGTCAAAGATTTAGCCCGAACAACATTACCGAAGTTCAGTGAATTGGATTTAGGTGATAACACATTAGTTCAACTTTATAGTGCTATGCTGGTAACTACCGAAATTTAACAAATTTATTATTTTAATACAATTTTGATTATTTGTTTTGTTTATTTACAGAATTATGAACAAAATCAGAGTAAGTTGATTTTTAAAAATAGTAATATTAGGGCTATTCATAAAATAAGACCTTCAATTTTTGTAATCAAAGAAAATACATGTTGCACACTATTCATCATGGACATCTGTAATTTTGTTTTTAAACTCTAGCAAAATTTTCGCACATAACTTCTCAAAATTAACTTCATAATTTCTTTAGATGAACTGTCTTGACACACAACAAAACAAATTGCAGAATGTAACTCACTTAGAAGGAGGGTGAATGGAAACTTAAAAACTGAAAAAATAAGTGTCACAGACATCTCAGAATAGTATTAGTTTATAGGAGGGAAGCACATCAATGTTGTCAGATTTTTTTTGTTCAAACCTTCCTTACAACTTTAGCGCATTAGAAACATAATTTTACATACACCTCTTGTATATTTTTATTTAATTTCCTTTCTTATCAAAATTAATATTTTAAAAAAGCTGTCCTAGGATAATGGGGACAGGTGCAGCCACTGTTATAAGTATTTTAATGTATATCTGTTGGCAACAATCAACCATTGCTAACAGAAAAAATGATTCTGATCAGAATTCAGTGGATAGTGTAGTTACTTTATCAACAATATATATGTTATATTATAGTAAAATAATTATATAGGCAATATATATTCTTTAAAAATATTTGTTCAATATTGTACCTATTTTCACAGATTTCCCATTTATTTAGAAAACTAGTGAGAAAATAAAAAAATTTACCTCTCTAAAGTATCTCGTTATTTAGATTTCCTTTCAGAAAGTTGCTACACTTTAAAATCGGAGCAAGATTTGTGGTAAAAAAGTTATGCACAGATAAAAAAAAACATATTTGTAAAACTATAAGCTTCCTTACTTCATTCAGAATTTAAAATATAAAGTTAGATTTAATTTTGTTAACTACTAAACTATTTACAGTTAATACTATATATAACATTTAAAGGAACCAAAAATAAGTTAGATATATCGAAAGTTTGTTACATCAAAATTTGTTGTATCAAGAGAATACTTACAAATATATTTGTATTTTCATTAAGTAATATTTAGTAGTATTTTTTAGTTACATATGTGAATAATGACAAAAATCAAATTTCTATAGATTTTTTTTTTGTTTGCAAAGATTAATTGTTGTGTACAGATATACATTATATTCCCCTTTATTCCTACCTTTCTTCTCACTTACAACAGTGGCCCATCCATAGTATATCTCTATGTTGTTAATTTAACTTTCATGTTTACTGGCCACTAGGTTTATTGATTATAAATTTTAAACTCATACATTTTAATTGTTCTCCATTCACCACCATAACTTATAATTCATAGGTATTAATCATAATATTATATTTCAAAAGATTTCCATGAAATTATGACTTATTGAAATAAGTTATCAGAAGTTTTTTTATGTGGCTAAAATTAATGTAACACTGGTATTTAAAAAAAAAAAAAAAAGAAGTCCTAGAATAATGGTGTCAGATGCAGCTATTGTTATAAGTAGTTTAATTGTAGCCTGTAGAGCAATGATAAACCATTGCTAATGAAATACGATTCTGAGCAGAGTTAAGTTGATAGTGACGCTTTGTCAACAATATATACCTATGTCACATTATGGTAAACTTCTAATTATTCCAATTCCAAAATTAAAATGGATCCCAAATGTTCACATTTGTTAAGAAAACTACTCAGAAAATCGAAAAATGTAATCTCTTACATTGGCATGGTGTTAACTCCTATTCTAGATAGTTGTAAAGTTGTGAAAAATAAAATAAAATAATTAAAAATCAGTCATAAACTATAAAAATAAGAGGTAGCATTTATTTATTTATTTGTCCCCACTGAAGTACAATTATCTCAAATAAACATCATTGTAAAATCAATATACATTCTTCGCTATACTCAGAATCTAAAATGTAAAAAGGTCTGTTTAGGAAATCACACTGTCTATTTTTGGCATGTAAAAAGAGACTATGTAGAGTGTTTACTCTATGTTTACAGGTAAAAAGGTCATTTTTGAAGGAATTTACATGTAGCCCTCTAGAGTAAATTCCCAGTAAATTTTCCTTTCAGAAAAATGTTGCTATCATTATAAGTTAGAGCAAAACTGATAGAAAAGTTGTAGACAGAAAAAAAAAATAATAATAATAAACATCTTGGTAAAAATATAAGTTGCTTATGAGAATCTGTACCCTATAAATGGGTATTGATCAATAGATTAGTGGAAAAGTCTTAGTTTAAGTTTTTCATTAAGATTTAACAAAAAAAAAATTTTAAATGTGGAAAACCAGCACTTTTAAAAAAATAATTTGAACATTCCTAAAATTACCAAGAATTCAGATTATATGCTATTTATTAGTGAGTACATTGTGTAAACAATTAAATATTTATCACTATGCATATGACAACTTCCATTAGATATTCAGTATTGTTTAGTTATTATCTATAATAAAAGTGTAATTATTAGTTGTATATTCTTTAATTTTAAAATGCTCTGTCTACTTCATCTTCGGGATTAAAACTTTTGGTTAAATTTTATGATTAAATAGGTGTCTTATAAAGATTCTACAAATATAATAATTTGTTTCATTAAATATTTAAGTATTACTTTTTTATTTTAAAAACCTTGTGCTATGATGATTCCTCCATTATATATTCATTTAAAACAAGAATCTAAAATAATATTTAGTATGGAAATTGGTGAATCAATTGATATTATTTAGTAGTAGCTACTAAGATAATTTAAATTATCTTTTAAAAACTTCAAACTACTACTAAATTTTTCCATTCTGAGCTAAGTGAAGAATGTATTAGTTTTTAATGATGTTTATTTTTTTATATAATATACATTTTTAAATAATATACATCAAATATTTCAGTTAACATTAATGTATATTTAGATAAATATTTTTTTATTGTTGGTAATCAAAAATTTTTTTTTCAGTTTATAGGTTTAACTATGTTGAATCCATATTTAAAACTAAAGATTTTGTGACATTACGAAGAGCTTGTGAAGAAGTTCATGCAAAACAACCCAATGATGTGAATGTTATAATTTTGTTGATGATATCCTATTATATGCTGGATAGGGAAGACAAATCTATAGAAATTTTGCATAAAGTTCCAGAGAAATACACTAAAAATATTGAAGGAATAAATAATTCAGAAGAATATTATTTTCCAAATGCCAAAAATGATTATCATTTAGAAATGTTCAAAAACAAATATTTCATTGAATGTTGGTTTAATTTTATTACCAAATTAATAGAAATGAAAAAATATGATAATGCTATTCAAGCCCTTAACATAATAATTCATTGTGAGAGTAATTTAATTAAACCATATACTGTATATGGCCAATTAATGATAAAATTAAAAAAGTTTGACGAAGCAAATTCCTTTTTTCAAGTGGGTTTAAACCTAAATCCTAGATCAGATGAATCTTGGGCAGGCATTGGAGACAACTTTGCATCTACTAAAAAATATAATAGTGCAATTATATGTTATGAAAAAGCACTAGAATTTAATTCAACTTCTGTAACTCATCATATAAATTTAGGATTCATGTATTATCGACTGCAACAATATTGTAAAGCAATTTTTTATTTGAATTGTGCTCATCAGAAGGGTACAATATCAAATATAAGTAGTTTACGTTTACTGGGTCATGCATATTTTAAAACTGGAAATGTTGATTCTGCTATGAAAACTTACTCTTTGTGTTTGAAATATGAACCCAATTGTTCAATTGTAATGCATGATATGGGCACAATATATTTAAATCACTTAAACAATGCAAAAGCTGCTGAAAAATGTTTTAAATTGTGTGTTAGCATAAATAAAGAAAAGGTTTTATATTATAAATCTCTTACTCGTGCATATGAACTGTTGGATAAAACGGACTTGGCTTTTAAAACTACTATACAGTGGGCTGAAGTACTCATATCTAAAAAACAATATATTCATGCGATTAATTTATTAAATCATGCTAGCCAACTGGTTCCTAATAATTATTATTCCCAATGGAAATTGGAAATTATGTTCTCTAAATTGGGGCTTGATCGTACAGATTTTTGAGGTAAATAATCTTACACAATATTTTGATAAATATAATATCATCCTTTATAATATTTTTAAAGATTCAGCTTAATTTAAAAATGTATTGTTATCATTTTGCATAAGACGAATAAAGAAAATATTATTATAAATAAGTCTGGTTTTCTATTTTGACTGTGATATACCTGATAATGAATTTTTAATTTGAAACTGGTCATATACTTAAGGCGCAATGATTCATTTATTTATTTAATTTTTATATATAAATTGTTTATTTGTATATTTAATTACTTTAATTATTTACAGGTATTAACCATTTTAATAATTTTGTTTTTAATTTATTATTTTATTATTTATTATTTATTATAAATAGGCCGAAAAAAAAATGTATGGCAAATTCAAAATTAAAAATGCGACCTTTAGTGATTTAGCTTTAAAGATAAAAATTGGACTTTAAGAGATTTGTAAAAAAAAAGTGATGGCAACCCTATTATATAATATTACTACAGGTGTGGTTACTTTTTTACCATTAAATAAAAAATAATCAATGGTACAGCTAATGAGAAATAAGGAACCGAGTTTTCAATAATCAATACAAGGGTCTAGTATTAAAGGAACTTAAATGTATATTTTGATTATTACCTTAAAGGCATCATTTTTTTTTTTTACATTAAACATATCAACAATAACAAAAAAGTATTGAAATTTAAATTTAATTTTTTAATTTAGAAATTAGTTAATACATTCCTTTAATACTAGACCTTTGAATACTATTACATAAACTTTCCAGGTGCGAGGTTAATTACATAATCATTAAATTAAAAAATAATAAATGGGACTGCATCAGGAAGTAAAAAAACAAGGTACAAAATAAAAGTAAACATTTTTAAAATAATTAATACATTTTGTAGTTTTATTAAACAAAACAACAAATTTGACACAACAACTGTGACCCCTTTGGTCTGGCGCCATTTCGCATCTTGATGGGATGGGCACCGGCAACGCCCTGGCCATCCCGAGTATGGTTTGGGTCAATCAATTGGGTAAATTTTTTAGTTATGACAAAATTAATACTTACAGTTAGCATTGACCACTACAGGTTGGGCGACCGGTGCCCACGACCACCCCCACTGCTGATCTCAATTAAAAAAATTAATTAATTTACTAATAGGATACATTAGATATCAGGTAATTAAATGTAATTTAAATTAATGGTTTAAAATTTAACTTTTCATTAACACAGGGCTGGAAGTAAGAATCTTTCTCTATGGCGTTTATTGACCATATTGTCTACCTATGGTTTATGGAAAAGCACACCTATTAATAATATTTCCCACAAGTTTGTATTGTTTCTATTTATTTCTATTATTATATAGCCATAACATTAAATTTGTTGTGAGAACATGTGGCTTCAGTCAGTTGTTTAAGTTAAATAAAGTTATAATGGGTAAATGCTTATTTTGAGAAGATAGGCTTTCAAGAACTGATACCAGCGGCCATGAAATTAAAATTTGGGTTGTTAAGTATTCAGAACATGTTGCTTTTTGTAAAATGAACATGGTTAAAGGTTTCCAAGCTTAAACAGCATTCTTCAACGATAACACATAAAAAAAAATGAAGACTAAATTATCAGCAAATCAATCAATCTGATTAAACATTTGATTATTTTCAACACAACTATCAAGGCGGATAGACTTAGTATTCAGGTATTGTTGATGAATAAACACTATATTTGTTTGATTAGAACAGTTTATATGATTTTTTTTTTAGTAGTTATGTTAAATAAGTACTTAAAAATTAGTTTTCTCATTAACAATTTTAATGGGGCAACAGAATGAAATTTGCTTTGGGGTGGCAATTGTGTAAATCCGTCTGACCATATTTTAAATTTAATTAAAATTATACTATATTTTCATATTAACAGTTTTGGTATTTTATTATCAATAATAAACAAATATTGTGCTATCAAGTAATTAAGTAAACAATAAATGTAAAATTAATAAATTATTATAAACAATATAGTTATTTATGGACCTACATTGTTATAATACATGTATAATGTAATTAAAGTTCTAAAAATCAATGTAAACAAAATAAACTAATTGAACCAGAAAATATCTATAGCAATATAGAAGGTAACATTATATTATTTTAACAATAGCATAAAACCCAAACTTCATATCATTAAACATAATATATCTTTGTTATTATCCTTTATTTCCTAATGAGGATCTTTATCAGAGTCGCCATCATCATAAATACTAGACGAATCGAAAGTTTCAATACTATGATTATTTTACTTCTTGATAATAGTATCTAATGACAAAACCATTTATTGTAAAATAATATAAACATTATACAAGGATACCTAATTTTAAATATTAAGGTTAAGTAATTTTAACCCACAATTTAAAATATTTAAATACTATCTTTCTAGAATAATTAATGTAAATAAATAAATAAATATATATATATATATATAGTGTAAAGTTTAATAAAAATATTCAAATGTTTAACATAGCAAAAGGGCAGCTGTTCAATATTTTTTTTTCAACACTTTAGGAGTTTTTCAATTTTATCTTTTTTGAATTTCCTTCTGAACTAATAGAAAAACTTTTATGAAAAATCTTCTTTTTTGGCTTGTTCCTGATATCTTCAACACTGGACAGGTCAGATTTATGCATTGATATTGGTAATTTAGTTTTAACCTAGTCACAAGAAACTAATCAACATTTTAACTCAATAATAATTAGTGTACAAATATTAATTTAAAAGAATCAATAATATAATTAAATCAAAATGTTAACTATACATTTTTTGTCCATTTTGTCTGGCTTTATAAAAAATGAAGTCATTCATATTTGGTTTAATTCTTTTTTGAACGAATTGTTTGGCTTGTTTAGATGCTTTAGGCCAAGGGCAAGAGTTATTTTGCAACCAAAAATTAGGTACTATTTATATACTATTATCATCACAAAATTCAATAATATTCCAGCAATAATTTTGTGTGCCCATCTAAAATTAAATAATACAATTTATTTATAATTATATACACAACACCAATCATGCCATGTAATAAAATATGAATAACTAATATTAGATACTATATTAATTATTCAGCTATGGTTATGGCGCTTTAACCAAACTCTCTGATTTAAACGCTAAAGCTCATGGATTAATTTTTCAAAAGCAATCTTTTAATTTTATATTCTCACTGAATATGCTGGAACCTATTTTTTCAGTTATAATGAAAGTCAGTAAAAATTTATAAAGTGGACAATTAATTTAACAATTAGTCAATATCGGTCTGATGATGAAGAATATGAAAATATTTAAAACAATGCTATAAAAATGCGCGATGAAAATAATATTGACAGTCCTAATGTAAAAAAACGAAAAATATCAAAGAAGGTTGACGAAAACCACGATCATCAATATTTTGAGGAAACTAAAAAAGATGAAATGAATATTCTTGCTTTTATTTTGCACTTGATTAAATGTTCAATTTAGACCCTGTTTTACAATTCTATGTTTTATCCGAAGAATATATATCCCGAGTATAAAATTATAAAAGTTATTTAGAGTATAGAATTTTTTAGTTTTATAATGTAATAAATTCTCTAGATAAAAATTCTCTGGAAAGCTCTGTGATATGAATTGTGTGTGCGAAATAATGAAAATTTACGAACTGTATTATTTTCAATTTGGTTGTTTTGTTTTGATTCAGTTAAAAATATTCGTAGAAACTTGAAATTTGGACAGCGAAATTATATTTGCTTTCTCTAGACGTGGTCATATTTTCAAAACATTCAAGCCATTTTGAGCTATTTATTGATATTTTTATTTTTCGAGTTTTGTCGGTAATTTTCATTTTATAGGTACTCTGTGGATAAAATTATTAGACTAAACAGTAATGTTTGAAAATTTGATAGAAAGTTCATTACAAGTCGTACTTAGTGATAAAAAAAAAATTAAATGTAGATATTTTTTTTAAAAAGAATAATAATATTAAATTTTGACGAAAATCGTAAATATCACGGCCTTTCAAAACATGTATAACCGAACTCTGCTCATTTTTCTTTAGCAATGATTAATCGTTACTTATAGATATATTAAATTCCTTTTTATATCCAACCTTCTTAACTTCTAACCTACAACAGTGACCGACACATCGTGTGAAGTACCTAGGTATGTCCGTCTTTTTTAGTACCTATTATTATAAAACAATACATTTCATAATTCCTTTAACACATATAGTACTACTAATAATACACTTCATTAATGTAACGAATTTATATAAACTGCACTACAAAATGACGGAAAAAAAATGTAAGTTTTTGGCCCGTAGCGTTCACGGCATTGAAACATGCATTCATTTATGATTTAATTACTAAATTACGAATTAATACCTATATCTTTATTGGTGACAAGGTGGATATATCCACTATGATGAGTGATATTAATTATTTAGCCCTTATTAGCAATTGTCACTGTTAGCGCTTTTTTCCATAAATATATTAATAATCCTATACATTTTTTTGAGCTCTCACTTTTCGTGAGCCTGATTAGTGGAACATTCCCATAAAATTCGCCATCACAAGCTGTTAGTTCAAAAACGAAGAAGTTTTGTGTAACGACTAATCGTTACGTATCATATGTATGATGATTCCATGAACACTAGAGAACACTGATTCTAGTGTTAATGGGCGATTCCATAGATAATATAAAGGCATGTTTAACACACGAGAGCATATTCAAGCGTCGCACCTCGCGAGCAGGTGAGCATTCGAATGAATTTGGGTTTTTCGTGAGCACGGAATGTACGACGCACACCATGCGTCGGAAAATATTTGGCCATTTGTCCCTATTCCAAAGATCCAAACCGTCCAAACGATAACTCGAATACGCACGGTGTTTCTTTGAGCATGACAGAAATACCGACAGCATTCAGCTCGCTTCGCGACCTATTCGGCGAATATTGACGAATGGACCCGAATGCTCACGCACACGGCTACACCCTCGCACAAAGGGGGGTCGCACGCAAACATGCGTGAGCATTAGTCACTTTTGTTCGTTCGTGTGTATCCACCCTAAGATCTTATATCTTATATTAACTATGGGTGATTCTATCTGTAACCGTGATTAGACCCATGCCTTTATCTATATCCAAACGTTATCATCATTGATAAGAAAATAAGTTTTTCGTTTTGTAATCCAATTATGAACTTAAGTTTTTTATACTGCAAACAAATCAACTAACTGAATAATTTATCTCAATTCGAAGTTTTCGTTATTATTATGAGTAACAACAATGAAAACCTCATTACTATATACATGGTCGATAATAAAGGTTTTATTTGGAATGCAAATGGTAAGAAAAGATTGTTTCTTTAAATTTCATTGATTAAATTTGATAATTATTATACTATTTTTATTTATTACTGTATAACAAAAAAATATTTTGAAAATATTTTTATTAAGTACTTCGGGTTTCAGAAATTAATTTTTTTGCCTTTTTGGGAAACCAAAATCTTTAAATATACAATTATATAAATATCAATATCATTTTATTTATGTAAGCTTGGTCTTACGAAGTTTAGGTTTACATTTAGGACACTATCAATTTTGGTATTGGTATCAGGTTTAAGTTTAGGTAAGGTTATTTCTTTCTCCCCCTGTAGGGGAGTTATTAAGAGTGCTATGTAGCTGTAGTTGATAGGCAAAGGTGGTAGGTATAACCAAGCTGTCTTCTGTCATTTGAATGTTCATTATATTGAACTAATGATACATTTTAGATTTGCATGGCATCCTCATTATCAATATCTTATACAAAAATAAAACATAAGTATTGTCTGATTCAGTGGTTCTCAATCTTTTTATTTCCCGAAAATATATTGGCTCTCACATAGTTTTACTATTCAAAAACTAGTTTATGAAAACAGGCGGGAAAATTAAAAAATGGCCTCTTTAAAGTACCACCCCAGTAAGAATTCCTTTTGGAAAAGTGCTTTACTTGAAAATTGGAGCAAAATTGCTGGCAGAAAAGTTGTCCACAGATAAAAATAAAATAATAAACATTATTGTAAAACCAATGAATTCCTCAGAATCTAAAAATATACATTTTTCGGAAATATAATTCAAAATGATTTTCATGATCAATTCATCGATTCATCAATAATTGACTAGGGACTCACCAGTGAGTCGCGACCCACAATTTGAGAAACACTGTCCTGATTTATTAATTTAATATTTTAGTTTTCAATAATTTTTATTATAGTAAACAGTATTATCATAAATTAAATCTATGATATTAACTATTTATTTTTTATGTATAGATTGGTATAGTTTACGAACAACGCATCGAATAATGGGTAGTTTAGTTGGAACTATACCATCCGAAAATGATGGTGATGAAGAAGAGGAAGAAGGCCTACCTTCTTATTTGTTACCTGAAGAAGTACGATTACTAATTGAGAAGGGTATATGCTGTGCTGTAAAGCATCCAACAAATTATAATTTTGAACCGAGTATGAAAAATGAAACTATTAGAAGTATTATAGAAAACCAAACAATAGATGAAACTAAAGAAAATGTGGGAAATTCCAAAGTTAATTTTACTTGTATAAAAGAATTAAATTCAAAAATAATTGATCCATTACCTGAACTTAAGGAAGCAGAAAGGCTAAAATATAAAGTTTTTAAAGATTTGTGGTCAAAAGGATTCTATTTAACCTGTGGTATAAAATTTGGAGGAGACTTTTTAGTCTACGAAGGTGAGATTTTTAAATTTATTAATTTGTTATATTATGTTATATAGGTAATTTTCAGTTATCTCAACTGTCTAAGATTTTCCAGGAATCACAGTTAGGTTATTTTGACTAGATAATTGATGCTGGTTTCAATCACTTAACAGTTAATTATAATTACAATTTAATGAATCCTAAAACAGATGCTGACACACAAAATATTGAACACATAATCAACATTTTGATACCTATTTGGTTGAATTTATATGGCCTTTACCAATAAGTATTTCACAACATTTTATACCTTATGTAAATTATTCATTTTATGTATCAATTATTAACTGTTTTTATCCCAATAACAAATTGTTTATAGTTTATATTTTGGATTTTGAGTATACAGAGGATCAATTGATTTTGTTATGATAATTTTTTTTCTGTCTGTAAACAACTTTTTTACCTAGAATCTTACTCAAATCAAAATATAATACTAGTCCTTTTTTAAAAATGAAGAATAAGAAAGTCGTGTTTTGATTTTTTAACCAGTTTTTTTATTAATCGAGAAATTGTAGAATAGCATTAATAGTTTTGTTATTTTGAATTTTGGTTTATTTTTTGTAAATCATTTGTTAAAAATTATTATTAAGTTGAAATTTTCACAGAATACTTTTATTAGCTTTTCTAGCTTTGATAAAATATTTTTAGTTTTTATTTAGTAGGTAGGTACTATTGTTTGGTAAAATAAAAATACATACAAATTTAACACGAGGTTAGGTTAGATGTACATTTTTTTTTTATTTAACACTTTAGTTAATACTATTAAACCCTAATATTACAGTTTAAAACATAAATGAGAAAAAAATCAAAATTTAGATGACAAAGACATTCTCTAGGATAAATAAGATGATTAGTATAATAACATTTTTAGAATTAGAAATTAGTATAGCAGAATCATTGAGAGGTATATTGTAACAAATTTATATAATTTTGGAGCTTGTTATTACAACTTTTTAATTTTAGATTCTGAGTGGAGTGAAGAAACTTATGGTTTTATAAAAATGTTTATTATTATTTTTTTTTTATTGTGAATAACTTTTCTACTTTTTTGAGATCTTGCTCCGTTTTAAGTGTTCTAAAAGGAAATTAAACTTGGGAGATACTTTAGGAAGGTCATTTTTCAATTTTCTTATAAGTTTTCTCATCAAATGTGTTAAACCGAAAAAAAAAAACAGGAAAATATATGAAATGTAGGTTATCGGTTAAAAAATATTACTGCCTTCTTTTTTTCCTGTAAACAACTTTTCTACCAGCAATTTTGCTCCCATTCCACACAACAGTTGCTGCACCCACAAAGTATGCTTATCTTTTTATTAATACATATATTTGTATGTATACAAGTCTTATATTATAAGATGTATTTCTGCTGGTGTATAATGAATATGTATTTTTAGTGTGTTAATTTAAATTTTGATTTGTTTTACAAACTTTTTCCTCATTGCCTTGAAATGTGGTATATGGCAAGTAGACTGTATTTGTTTTTGTTATTATTAATAATGTTTTAACAATAATACGGTGTTCATCTGTGGTAGTCAAAATAACCTAATTGTGACACTTGCTGTAGTTTAGTTTCCATATATACAAGTAGTGGATATAACCAAAAAGTACTTAATTTTAATATACTTATTTAATATTGCATGTATTTTTTTTTTTCAAGGTGACCCTACGATACATCATGCATCATATATAGTGAATTGTATAGATTCAGATGAAAAAATGTTTGTTTCACAAAGTAGAGTTAGTTCAATTACTAATAAGAAAATGGTGTTAGCAAAAGAAGATGGAGACTCTATTAAGTATTTAATATATGAATTAGGTATCACATCTTTTGAAAACCCATAAATATGCAATAGCATTATTGTACAGTTGTGTATACATTGAATGGAGTTAATATTATAAAATTGATATTATTAAAATTATATGAATATATTTAAAAAGATACAAAGCCAAAAAATACATATATAAAAACATTTATAAAATTATGTGAATTTAATATTTAAGGAACTTAGAAATATTTTAGATCTTAAGATAATGAAAATAATAAATATAGCTTTAGTGTAATCAATATTAACTTACAGCTTAATTGTATGGGCATTTATATATAAAACCTTGGAGTCAGTAAATTTAGTTCAGAAAATTCTGGTTAGAGTTATGCTAAAAAATTATAATGTGGAAAATCACTGAACAGATGATTTATTAAAAAGAAATTCTTTAAGTAATTTAATATACACATGTAAGCAACAATAAACTTTATGTAAAACCAATTCTGAGCACAGTTCAGTTGATAGTGCTGTTTTGTCAACATTATATTACATTATATGGTAAAATTTCAATTTCAAAATTCAAATGGATCAAGTTTTTTTTGGTTTTTCACATTTGATGATAAAACTTTTGATTAAATCTATCTCTGATTTCAAATTAATTAATTAATTAACATTTCATTATCTTTAAACCTAAAAATACAGACATACTAAGTATGTGGGTGGACCACTGTTGTACTTGAGAAGTTGGGAAGGAAGTAAAGAGGAAATTGATTGTATATTTAAAAACGATTCTGAGCGAGTTCAGTTGATAATGTTGTTTTGTCAAAAATATATATGTGACATTATGGTAAAATAGTAACATAATATGCATTACATATTTTCTTTAATAATATTTGTTTAATATTGTATTTATTATGTTTCTGTTTTTCCTATTTATTGGAAAACTGAAAAAATTGAAAAATGACCTTCTTAAAGTACCTTTTTCCAGTCTGATTTCTTTTTAGAAAAAGTGCTATCATTGTAAATCGGAGAAAAATTGCTAGCAAAAAATTTGTTTGCAGGAAAAAAATAGGCCAAAATATTTATTTATACATTTCGTACATTTTCCTAGTTTTTCTAATTTGTTAAAAATTTTTTTAAATTAAAAGAAATTCAAGGTTAAGTACCTAATTACTATAAAATTTCTAAAACATAAAAGATTTAATATTAACAACCTTTCAAATATATATTAAGTATAACTAAATATGTTTAACATAAGATACAAATTACTCAATATGCAGTAGTATTATCAATAATATACCTATTTAATAAATTATGATGATGAAGTTTGATTGTTATTATTATAAGTCATTCACAGAGTATAGATTGAATAGAAACTAAATATTATAAACATATTATTTTTTAATTTCTTTTTATTACCAATAGTAAATTGTAAAAATACCCTAGAGGCTGTTTAAATCAAAATGATAAGATATATTTTTGAAAATCTTAACATAATTACATAGTTTCAGTATGTAATACATTAAACTTTAATGTACAATGACAAAGTTTTGTTTATATTTAAAAATAAAACAAAATACATTTCAATTTCATAGTTTTTTATTACACAATATATTATATCCAATCATAGTCATGAATATAAAACTATACATACAATTAATTGTAATCAGTGTTGTAATCACTCCAAGAATTTTAATGACTGATAGGTAATCAATAGATAATGATAACCCAAGATTGTAAAATAGATTTGCCATTTAAATTTAGTAACTAAAGGATGGTTTGGGATCAAAAGTATAATAGGAATAACTAAATAACCTAATTATAAAATAAAATAGTAGGTATCAATGAAACAATAATAACAAGATAGGATTATAACTATTTATAATAAAAAAATAAATCCTTAAAACAAAAAATATGTGTAATAATAAATTAATATAAACTTATAAAAGAAAAATATATGAATTTACATAAAAAATACTAGGAACTAAATTTCTAAATTTAAATTTATTTTCCAACATACATTAATATACCGAAACCACAATTCGAATTAATAACTTACAATACCTGTTTGTATTAGTAATTGATTAAAATTAATGGTACATAATATTGTAAATATAATAAAATACTATTTTCAAACATCATTTTTTAAACATAACTACTTAATTTTTATATAAATTCTTAAACATAATGAGGTATACAAATAACATAATATAATTGTATAATAATGACAAGTTAAAAATTGTATATATTTTCTAATAAGGTCTTTTTGATGATAATAAATTAAATGGTAGTTAAAAAAATGTAAGTATGTTATTATTGTGAATATATAAGATCCAAGACCTTATAAAATAATTAAAAAAAAAAAACAATATATTTCCATCTGTTACAATTATAATTTTGAAGGCATGGTGATTATCCAATATTCAAAGTAAATATATTTTTTTATTATATAAAGCCAGGTTATATGTGAAAAAATACACAATGTTATTTGAAAACTATATACAGTAAGTTATCAATAGTTATGAGTCCCACACAGTCACTTCCCTAATGTATACATATTTGTTCTAAAATATAATATAACAATTTATTATGATTTATTTTACAACCAATATTCTTAAATAGACATTTTGAAGTAATATTCATTCAATTTTTTGTTAAGTTTAGTTATGGTGCTATCTTTAATAGTAGATTTATTTGTGAATAGAAAATCTTAATATGTATACATTTCAGCAACCAATATAATTTGTTAAGATAATATCAGCTATGTATTTTAATAGTGCTACTTAACAATGATATAATACATTTATATGAGTTTGTTATAAAACATATTTATTTATTAATTATTACAACCTTTTGGGCACAATTAATATTTAGATGTTGTCTAAATAAACAGTGTACAATATCAATACATAATGTACATTTAATTTTAACTAACAAATTTTACATTCAAATTTTGTATTTTTTTTTGTTTAAGATTTATCATTGTAACAAATATTTTGAAGATTAGCATAATATTATAAATAAAGAATATATTTTATGTACTATAATTTATAGGTTACAGTTTTGAATAGATAGCAAACATTTTAACGATAATATGTGATAGGAAAAAGACAAAATTTAAACAGTCAGTATTCTCTTCAAAAATTAATTTGAATTGAAATAAATAAATAAATAAATAAATAAAATTTTGTATTATTGCACAAAATAATAACATACTACATAGGTAATATATATTTCTGATTATTATTTATCTGTAATAATGTACTTAATAGTAGTAAATAGTATTTGTAAAACTCAAGACATATTATTTAACAAATTTGAATTTATTTATAAAATTATTAAAGGAAGTATTTTATTTGTCTGAACATTTGCATGCATGAGTGGATAAACATATATTTTGAACCACAATGCTAAATTAGCTTAATTAGTTTAATTTTAACCTCTAAACCCCTAAAAGTTGATAAACAAGGCTTTTGATACTTTTCAAACTAAAATCAAATTACTTTTGTTAATTTATTGGTTACTTTGGTGACATAGATGTTGTTATAGGTAAGGAAGTACCTTTTTTTTTACAATGGTTGACTATGACAGTATTAGGGTAGAAACAGGGAGGTTAGGTTAAACCCTTTTAACACATTAAATTAAAGTTTAAAAGAATTTGTTTTAAAAAAATTTGCTTTTAAATAACAAAAAAAAGACAAACATACTTCAAAAGTAGAAAAGGTAGAATATAGAGGGAAATTTAATTTATATCTGTACATATGATAAACCATTGTTAATTAAAAACATTTCAGAGCAAAATTTCTTTTATACATGTATGTACATTATCCATTTTCTTAATTATTATGAAAACCATTTGGAAAATCAGAAAATAACCTTCTTAAAGTATCAAGAAGATAAAATTTTGTTTCAAAAAAAGTGCTACCTTTAATACATCAGAATATGATTTCTGGTAGAAGTTTTTTACAGAATAATAAAAAAAAATTGTAAAAACCAACACATTCCTCACTACACTCTGAATCTAAAAAGAGGGAACTAAATTGCCACAGACATCCTACTTTAGTTGAACCACCTAGTTATTAAATAATATTAATATTATGTATAATTGCTAACTTATTTTTTAAACTGTTTTTCCAATTATATAAACAAGTTTGTAAAATAATGCATGATTACATTATGTAATTAAAATAATAGTTTTTTAATTTCTTTAGTTCAAGTTGTGTTTGTGTTAAATTTGCAAATACATTTTTACAGATAAATGCTATTAAAATTTAGATTTAATATTATGTATAATAAATAGTATTTTATCTTAAATCTATAATAATACACTAGTTTCCTGTAGTAGCATCATTAAAAGAATGCCACATGCACACCTGCATGTGAATGTTCGATATTTTAATTTTTAAGTGAGATATAAATATTTTTAAATCTTGATAATTCACATAATCAAATCAAACTTAAAAATTAAAACAATGAAAAACACTTTCATGATTGCTCAGATAATATTCTTGTCTTTAAGTTTGGTAATAAGTCAATTCACTATAATATTAAAACTAACAGCACTAAGTTGTCCTTGGTGAATGCAATTTAAATGTCCCACATTTGTAATGTAGAGGACAACACATGCAAGTGTGGTGCCTTCTTAAAAAGTTGAAATATAAAAACATGTAAATTCAAGTTGCCACTTGTACATGATGTGTTTCAAGAACATCCATTAAAAACTTATCGATTGGTTCATCTCCAATAAGTTTGTAAAAGAATAAATGTTCAAGGCATTTTAAACCAATTGAACGCAATGAAGGCAACCTTAAGAGAAGTTTAGCAAATCGACCTGGTTCTTCTGGATAAGTGGACCGACAATATTCTTCTAAGGCGATATAAACCTTATCACGCAATATTTCTACTTCACTTACAGACCGCAATCCTTTAGAACCTGATATAAAATACAGATAAATATTTACAATTAACAAATACTAATGGCACTGTTACCTGGATTGAAAAGAATAATAGTACGTAAACAGCCAAGTTCTGTTCTATCCATTGCCATATCCCTCATTTTAGCAACTAGTTCAGTAAGTACACGGTCAAATATAGCTTCAACACCAGCATCATTAGCCGAATGTCTGTCAACAGTAAGTCCAGTAGCTAAAACAATTCCATCTTTCACACTAATGGATCTATGGGAAAATGCTGCAATCATTAATTCATTCCAACCTGAAGAAAACAAATTAAACATTTTTGTATAAATGAAAAATTAAAAGTTATAGGAAATAATTACTAACCAGCTCTCAATAATGTGACTTGATCACCTAAAGGTAAATTATTAAAATGTGGTATATGCTTAGCCCATTCAACAAGCTGAATTAATTGTTTGTCAGTTGCTTTACAAATAGCCCCTGCTGCTGTATGTGGTGGATGCTATATACAAAATAGGTTAATGCATTTAAAAATGTCTGTTGTTTTTGTGAAAAAAAAACTTACTCGTTGCTCAAGATATGGTTGTTCTGTATTTATAACATCAGCTTTATTCTCAGCTCTTAATATGAGTTCTACTGGCATATCAGATGTAGAGCTACTTGTAGGTTCAATTTCCATATTATTATCTCTTTCTTTAGTGCGCTGTCTTTCTTCCTGTAATTAATTGAAAGCAACTTTTTATTATGAAGTATAGACTGATTGGTGAACTGGATAGATTGATTAGTGGTTAAACTGAAATTTATCACTTGATTACAAACCTAAATATAAATCAAGTAAACCTAAGTAAACCTTATTATACCTAAATAATAAATGAAATAAATGATTCATAATTAAAAATAATATAAGTAGGGCCATTTAAAAAACAACTATTGAACTTTTAGTAGTAAATATGTATTCAAGTCAATGACTTATATCCAATAGAGGAACCCACTAATAAAAAAAAAAATTAAGGGACAATTTAAAAATATACTAAATAGAGAAATATGTATATAGAAAGTGATATTTTTATCATAAACCAGCAATTATCTCTAGGGATTTTAAGTGAATTTCATTTTTGTTTTTTCTAATCTTTATGGAATAGATTAAGCTTTATTTTAAAACCATTTTTAATTTTTCCCCCTACTTCATATCAAATGTATGCACTTATTTAAGGTATGCGGAGTAGGGTTAAAAAATTAAAAATGGTTTTAAAATAAAGCTTAAAGGATTTCATAAAGATTAGAAAAAAGAGAAATTAAATTCACTTAAAATTCTTTGAGATAATTGCTGGTTCATGATAAAAAAAATCACCCTGTGTACATGGTGATTTTTTAAGCATGTTCATTTAATTTTTATGGTTAAATTATACATAAATTTAAATTCCAATTTTTGAAATTTATATGTGTAGTTAAAAAGGATATTTTTTTTCAAATACTTTAATTTTTCACAAAATTTAAGGAGTAATTGCTCTGTTGCAATACTAACTTTATTTTTTCAAATGAGAACCAACATATTTTAAAAGCTTTTTATAGGGATTTGATATTGGTCATAGGAGAAGTGTACAGGCAATTGTTTGTTTTGAATAAAGGGGTTATTGAAAATCTGGTTATATGCTACTATCATTAGTATTTAAAGCAGAATTACTCAGAAACTTTGTGTTCATATTCTGAATACAATATATCACCATTTTTAGTGAAATCATCTGACAATTTACATTAAAACATGTAGGTTTTCTCTTGGAAAAAAGTTGGTATTGTTACAGGACTCCTTAAATATTGTCAAAAAGTATTTGAAAATATCTTCTTTAACTACACATACAAATTCAAAAAATTAGTATTAGAATTTATGAATAATTTAACCATAAAAATAGTATGAAAGATAGTATGTTTGAAATATCAGCCTGTATATATATTTTTAAAACAAATATTTAGATATTTTTTAGTTAGTTAGAAAAAGAAAATGTACAGAATAGAGCTCACTATTTTATGTGTACATGCTTTCAGTTATTTATGTGAAATTAAATAAAATCTTTATATAAAACTATGTATTTAACTATTTTAGAATACAAAAGTATACCAAATTCATAACATAGAATAATAATCAATTTATCAACTAGACACTGGCAGTAGGTAAAGACCAGTCATCCCCTAATTATATTTGCACAGATATTAAATTCATATGTACTAAGTATAGATGATTACAGTTTTTTCATTCATGTTCATGTATGTATTAATTCATATTTTAATTTGAAACCTCTAGTACAGAAGATTTATATTGAATAGTGAATACACTTATTGCCATTAGACATTAATCCGGTTTGTACCAAAGTAGATATTAAAATATTCAAAAATAAGTCATGAAAATTATGTAATTTACATATGTATTTTTTTTTTTACACAATATTATTGTATTATGCATATTATCTTAAATATTCTTTGTAATAAAATATAAAGAATACAAACTTGGACAGCTTCTCTCTTCATACCCATAGAGAGACATTTTTGATATCTGCAATACTGACATCGATTCCTTTGGCGTTTGTCAATTATGCATTTATTCTCTTCACGACATGCATAGGACAAATTTTTCCTTACAGTCCGTTTGAAAAATCCTTTACAGCCCTCACAACTATAAACAAGTATTTAATAAATAGTTAAAAATTCTCATTACAGAAAAAAAAAAGTTTAGGTTTTTACTTATCAGTAAATATTACCTATAGACACCATAATGTTTTCCACTAGCACGATCACCACATATAGAACACAAGTGCTTTGATCCACTAAGAGGATGATTAGGTGGGTAATTGGGTGAATTTTGGATATTGCAAGAATTATTCATTATATTATTTCTGTCAACATTGTATAATCTACTAAACAAATAAATGCATACTTAAATAACTACATATTATTATAAGTAATGTATTATTTTGATTCATGTAAATTGAAAAGTAATATGTGAAATGTCATGGTTTGAATGATTATAAAAAAACTACATCATTACATTCAACCTTGTTTTCTTTACCACTAAGTTCTACTTTTGATGAGTCTTATGTAAAATTTTCAAATACATAGGCATTATATATTATAGATTGACAAAGAATCTCCAGAATGTTTTGAAAATTGTATCACATCTAAAAAAAGCTAATATAAGTATTCTGTGAAAATGTCTATTTCTTTAATTGTCTACAATTATTTTTAAAAAAAAATATCAAACTGTTATTACTGTTCACTTTCCTATTTTTGCTTACACATAAACAGAATAAAATTTTCTTTCAGAAAAGATGCTACATTTTGAAGCCAGATCTGGTAAAAAAATAAAATGAAAATAATGAATTATTGCTGTAAATTTGTCCACTTTTTCTGTTAGCTTTTCTAGTGTTTCCGAATTATTATGAAAATTACTTGGGAAATCAATAAGGCTGTTGTCATTTTTTTATTATTGGATCATGTATTCTTGTAAATAAGATTATTAAAAAATAGAAAAAAAAACACATTTTTAGTAAAAAAAAAAACACTCAAATGGCTTATTCTAATACTATGACAATAAGTTTTTTTTTAATTTTATTTCAGGATCAAATCTTTAAGGTAAATTTTACAAAAATATATATTAAATGATATTATTTTATTGGCAAATGTAGTAAACAATTCTGTATGACAATATATGTATTTCATAAGAATTGGTTAGGTTAGGTTAGATTAGATTTTCCAAAAATTCTATCAGAAATCTTGCTCCAATGTATACGCTATAGACCCTTTTCTGAAAGGAAATTTTCTTGGGGTGGTTTTTTAAGAAGGCTATTTTTTGATTTTCCTTTTGGTTTTTCCAATAAAAGAGAAAAGGTGGGAAAAATAAAGAAAACCGGGAAATTTACAAAAATAAGATTGCTTTTAGTGTTTTTATTATTTTTTCAATTTTGTTATTTGTTGTAATTCAGTTTAAAATATTATATTGATTCTATGGACTTAACATGTAGAAGGAAAATTTATATTTACTTTTTCTACACATTATAAAATTTAAACGATTTTTGAGCTATTTATAGACATTTTAATTTTGCTAGTTTTGTACATAATGACTTAACAGAAATGTTTGAAAATTTAACAGGAGGTTTATTAAGAGTATTACTTTGTGTTTTAAAAAAGAAATTTGAGTTTAATGTAGTATTTTTTTTATAAAGGAATTTTTATATCAAATTTTGTTGAAAAGTCAGTATTGAGCGGACTGACTAAGTTTCGATATGGTAGCTTTTTGAAGTTTTTATATTATGTGGATATTATATGTTATGTTAAATAACTACATAGTCTCCTTTACTGTATATTTGTCATAGATTAATGGCCATAAATATCAATTTCTATTCTAGGGATCATTGCGGATTCAAAAAAACCTGGGTTTCAAAAAAAAATGTTTGCATTTATTTTTTCTCTTTTATTTAAACAGGGAAAAACAAATGCATTTTAGGTGAACCTAGAAAACCAGCTATCGCTTGCTCGGACTATTTCAATCGAAAAATACGCCTGAATTTATTGTGCAAACTTCTCTGCCAAAATTTTGCTTCAATTTTTAAGTGTATCACTTTTTTTGAAGGAAATCGTACTGGGAAGGTCATCTTTTGATTTGCTCAAGAGTTTTCCCAATAAATAGGATAAACTGGAAAAAGTACGAAATGTAGGTATTAGTTAAAAATATTACTGTCTTTTTTTTCTTGTGATCAATTTTTCTACCAGGAATTTTGTTCCTATGAGATCACCTTTTCTGAAAGAAAATCTAACTGGGAAGGTACTTTGAGGAATTCACTTTTCGGTTTTTCCAGAAAATGTGAAAAATCGGGAAAAACATTGGAAAACCAAGAAAACAAATATATTTAGAGAAAATATATAATACCTATTTAATTATTTTACCATAATATGACATACATATTATTAACAAAGCATCACTATCAACTCAACTCAGCTTAGAATCGTTTTTTAATAAGCAATGGATTATGTTGCTTACAGATACAAATTAATTTCCCCTCTATATCCTACATTTCCAACTTTTCACCAAAAATAGTGGTTGCAGCCATCATGCGAAGTATGTCAGACTTTTTTAATTCTCTTTCAACACCAATTTATATTAACTTCTGCCTTTTTTATCATGTTTCATTATGTAACATATTATCGTTGTTGAATTATTAAATTTATAAAAATAAGAATATAATAGTATGCTTACCCCGGGCTCAGAGGATCTCCTTGAGGACTGAAATTAACCATTAACGTTGCTGTATCAGGTTTTAGATCTATAGGTGACTGAGGACCCATCGAACTCATATTATTGTCCAATCTTAAACCTAAAGAAAAATCAAACACAAAATTAACATTAAGAATTTATAATAATTATTAAATGTTAAATAATACATTAATTTGTGAATGTGTTTATTACGTATAAAGTGTACAGTGTACACTTTTATCATTATTGGTATAAGTAGACCACTAAAAAAATGTTTAACCATTGTCTAAAATTTTCACTAATTTTTCAGTTGTTTAATGCAAAAACAAATATTTATAGATATTTAATCCAAACAATTTGTACAACAAAACAAGTGCTTATAATTATGTTATGTTATGTGTTGTGAGGTAAATGTTGATATGATCATTTACCATATTATAAAAGTCACTCATTAAGGGTACTTTCAACTTTCATTTCATATTTTAGTTAAATATGTGGAGTATATCATACATTTATGTGACATCAATAGGTTTTTCCAGCACGCTTGTAGTAATAGAGAGTTTTCAAGTTTTAATGTTTTGGTATATATATATATATATATATAAAACTATCTTTGAGTAGGGATATATATTGTTAATTTATTGATTTTTATCTGAGTCTGTGTTGAAGTTCCTTATTTATCTGGCATAAACAAAAAAAATACATAATAGGTACCTAAGCATATACTAATATTATATAAATACGTTTTTAATTATTTTCATTAATTTTATAATGGTAAACAAACTAAGGAATATTCAAGGGAGTATTTTGCAAAAACTGTTTACTTTCACAATTGTTATAGAAAAATTTCATAGGCGTGTACAGACTTCATCCACAGGTTATGTCAATACAGTTGGAAAAATAGGACTCTCTAACAAAAATATAACTAACAAATCAAACCAAGTTTAAATGCAGCGGCATATCTTGCGTACCCCGCTAATATGTAGATGTTACATAATAATTTATAAAGTTTTGTAATCTCGAAATAAACTAAAACAACATATTATAATATCCTAGTTTTGATTTTCACATCAAAATAAATAACACAAATCAATCACGCATTGCAATACTATCCAGCATGATATCATACACTTTGTTTTGCATTTAAACGTCAATATCTACGATTTTTTTTTCCTAAAAAGTTAATTTTATAATAATTTAGTGTTCCAGTTACCAAATAATGTAAATATTCATAATTATATTTTTTATTTAATAATCTTACATTTCTTCCATATACATTCAGTGGAATAAATACATCTGTAAAATATAAATTGCACTATTTTACTGAATATAACGAAGAAAACCTTCTCGTCCTTCACCTCAAGTCACTAAAGAAATATAAAAAATATATGTAACTAACATAACCTTGAAAACTTCTATTTACTACACGTATAATGGGTAGGTACCTATCTTCTTTTCAAACGCTGACTTTTACGCCCTTGATCGCTATAATAGTTAACAATACGAATATATGAAAAGAAAAATGAATAAAAAATTAAAATTGATACTATCGTAATAATATTTTTGGTGTTCTGTACTTAAACGGCACAATTACTATGTATCGGACGAATCATCGAATATTCAAAGAAATTTATTGAATCAATAAGAAACGTTTAAAATAACAATAATAATATATTAAATTTGTTTGTATTAATGTCAGTGGTAATGTTGAATTCAAAAAATATTTAAAAGAAAAATTATATATTATACAGTAGGTAATCATTATATTTTTATTCAACGTGCATTTATGTAAATACTAAATTTTTTCCTTTTTACAGATATATTGAGGTAAATATCATCCCCATTCATTAGTTATATTCAAAATAAAATAAACAAATTAAAAGTGAGATTAATTTACATAGATGAAATTGTTCATTTTTAATTTTAAAACTGTCTATAGAACTTGAGTGAATTGAAGGTCTAAAATAATATACACTTTTAGATGCTATATAAGTACCTACATTTTTATTGTTGAGATCTGAATTGAGTTATCAATATATTTGATGTACAATGTACATTATATCTACATTTTTTATAACACGTGTGAATTTCGCGTTGGAAAATTGCATAGACATATATGTATTCATTCCCGAAAATGTATTTATAATGATTTAAATGGGAGGGGGAAAGCACAGATAATTTAACATAATAGTTAATTTTAGTGTAGAATACAATTAATGTAATAATTATTATATTATATTCCTATGAAATTGTATTATTTTTTATGCGTATTTATCTGAATGAATTTTAACCTTGACAATATAGCGTCTCTAATCTCATACTTATATAACAATATAATAGTGGAACAGGATGACGAGCTTTCTTATACGACTATAGAGCCATGTAGCTGGATAGCTGGCAGGTATAGTAGAAATTAATTTACAAAATGCAACGAATTCAGCCCGACGGACAAAATCGGGTGGGAGATATAAATGCAGTTGAATATTATGCGCCGATGTACACGCGCGTCGGGCGGTTATATTGAATTTGTACAAGGTTACTGGTAACGATATTCTCTATCATAGTACGTATACATATATTATGTGTGTGTATAACATATTGTCATTCGGAATTCGAAAACAATACTAATTGGCCTACCGAGGATCGAGAGGGGCAGGGGGACAATGCTGTATGTACACATAATATATGTATAACACAATATACCTATAGGACCCGTGTTTGTGTGCCGTCCACAAAAGATGTCAATATTATACGTTATGTACACCTATACGGATAGTTGCAACTACCAACTGCAGATATGATATTAAAATATATAGGCATAATAGGTAGGTGTACGTAGACTCCGGGGTCAAAACAATATTTCCGCTTTAGATGTCCGCTATACTTTAACGCGCCTATGAGGTTTACGGGTTCGAAACATTCTCTGTATCTACTTGCATTAGATCTCTATTGGAGAGAATTAGTTTTACAATGATGTTTAATTTTTTGAACATCTTTTCTACTAGAGAATGTGCTCCGATTTTCAAGTGTACCATCTATTTTGAACGGAAACTTGACTAGGGTAGTACTTAATGATGGTAATTTTTTTGATTTTCTCGAGGATTTTCAATAATAAAATGAGAAAAAAACGGGAAAATGTACAAAATTTATTATTTTCAAATCGTAAATATTACGGCCTTTCAAAACATGTATAACCGAACTCCGCCCAGAATCGTTTTTCATAAGCAATGATTTATCATTGTGTACAGATATGCATTAAATTTCCCTTCTACCTTCCTGACTTCTTACAACAGTGGTCTACCTGCCGTGCCAAGTATGTTCGTTTGTTTTTCTTCCCATATATTTTTCGCCGTCAAACGCAATCGAATGCGTAAATTCAATTTCAAAGCACATTGCTATCGAAACGAAAACATAAGTTATCGTGTGTAGTGGTTTAACCGTAATTTTGAATTGATTAAATGAAAATTATATATAAATAATAATTCAAGTAAAATATGTCTATATCAATAATTTATTGTATTAAGCCTTTTTCTCGAGGTTTAGTTTTATTTTGAAAAGTGGCAACATAATTTGTTTAATCCAAGTATTTATATTTATAGTTTATCAATGAATGGCGCATATAATTATTTTTTAAACGTTAAAATAATATAAATTATACCAGTTCGTTATCGTCGTATGAACATAAAATATTCTTATCATTTAATTTGAATTTTCTGGTTTTTACTATCTATTATTTTTACATTGCACATGCGTTGCATTTTATAAGATTAAATTCCTCTCCAAAAAACATAATCAAAATACCTACTAAAAATGATAATAATACACAAACATTATTTTTTCTATATTTTCGTGGCGATAAAATAGAAACGGTTTATTTTTAGCCCGTGTAATGTCTCCTAAAGTGATAAACGAAAAACAAATTTCTTTTATCAATGCAACACTGTAACAGTTCCTTGGATGCCATTAAATTCTTTTAAATATCCTATTATTTTTTTGTTTTTCGACGCAGTTATTAAAAACATAAACAATTTTAGATATAAATTACGATTAACACATGCAAAGTTTAAAATATAAACGTAACAAATATAATCTGATATTATGTAACAAGCGTACAAAATGTTTAAATTTATGTACATTAAACACATTTAAAATTTAAAATCGACTATGTATTATACATGATGCAGTACAAAGAACATTTTGTACTCTTTAATACAGTGTGTTACAACGCTGTTTAATATAAACGGAAAATCTTTAACTTATTAAAAACTAAATTCATAAAATCAACATAGAAAACACAGTCTCATAATAATTTCGGAAAACATATTTAGGTACTTTGAAAGTTTTTCGAGAAATATATAACCATTATTCATCACGAGATTGGACAGTAGATTGTGAAGTTAGCACTTTAGCAGGTCGACATTAATATTTTGTCTATTTTACCGACGTTGTTTCTGTAATTCGACAACAATAATATAATCATGGCACGAACCCATAATATCCCAACGACCCAAGCGGTATCTAAAATGTATTCTATTATATTTCAACTAAAATCAATGCGTATAATAAATTGACATATAATATAATATAGATTATATTTAATAACAATGAGAAATATTATATTCAACATTGTTTTACAAGGTTTTCCATCGTATAAATATGCAATATAAACAAGTGACATTGAGTGTACAATTTATTATTTATCTTCATCAACTAACACTATAATCATTTGGAAATATATACATGATTAGAACCGAACCACATGCTAATAGGAATCAAACCTTAAAATATAATATAATAGAGTTAATTTTTTTTCGAATAATGTAATTACAATTATTATCAGGTTTCATAACACGAAATCGAATTTTAAAAATCTTTTTCTTTACATTAATCTTATATAAGTACGGGTCAGCTACTCTATTCTCACCCTATCATCTTCCTACTCATCAAATTATTTATTTATGAAAGACAATATTTCTTTCAAAAACTGGAAAAAATAGTTCGGAAAAAAACCAAAAATGTCGACAATACAATATGTATATTGAATTAATATTCTCGGAAAATCAATGAATCAATAATGAAACAGTTTTTTATCACTACTTTTACAAGGGCTTGCAAACGTTTAAAACTATTTTCCATTTTCGTTGAATTAATTAATTAAGTCTTCTAGTTGTTACGATTTATTTTCCATCTTTATAACACGGTATAAGCTTTAGTTAGAATGGCTGGATGCAATATTGTCGGTTATTTTATTAAATTTGAAAAAAATGCATATTTAAGATTTACCTAAAACCAGCTACACAAGCAAGCAAGCGACCATTCGTCTTTGTTATTCTGTTTTAGATTTTCGCTGTAAAAATACATACCTATGTATGGTTTTTTTATTTCCAATCCATAGGTTAGGTTATAACTCCAATTCTCCATTCCGATCGATTGCTCGTATTTATTTAAAAGTTTCTCAAAGGTTTTATTTTGATCTTTTAATTTGATTTCCACTCTGTCCAACTTATTTTATCCATACGCCTCTAACACCACATTTTAAAAGCTTTAAGTTTTTTCTTTCTGGTATAATTTATGACACCGAAAAAAACAACCAACGCTTAAAATCTTAACATAAAAATATTATACACAATTTTAATTCAAATTGAACGCAAAACGCGTTGTGTAATATTTTAAATCAAAAGAATGGAAAACGAAATGTGTTTCTAAGCCAAGCCCTGCTATATAAAAATAATACAAAATTATTTTTGGTAAATATTTTAAAAGTTACATAGTATACCTAGTGAATATAAAACGTATATCTGAGTAAAAAACTAGATGAATTATATAATAACATTATTTAGACTATTAAACTTAATGTGTGTTTGCCAATGATAGAAATTACCCGCAATCCACTTAAAAAAACAAATATAACAACGCAACAATGCTCGGGTTTGATGTACAGAACACTTGAACACTGTTCGATTTTGAGATACTAAAATTTTTATATTATTCAGTTAGAACCAATAATATTAAACCAACGAAAGACATTTTTTCGGCGTCCGTTTCATTAATTTTGTCGAAATCACACCGTCCTTGAAAAAAAAGTCCTGCCTATACCACCGCGTCGATTATCCATCGCAATAACAATAAAAACATGCACGCGTGCGCTTTTGCGTGCCGCGTGGTTGAAAGAATGCGAAAAAAGAAACCGCTGACATTACGAAGAAACGTTTTGAACTGCGCGCAATGTACACTATTGCGTCGGGCGAGGGGGCGGGACGGAGGGGGGGGTCTATAATTTTATTTTTCCTTTTCAAATTCCGACGATTTCGGCTCGTACTACGGCCAGAAGTAAAAAAAACAAAAACAAAAAAATATTACGTCGTCCATCAAAATCGTCACAATATTATAAACGTACACAATATCACAGCGTCGTCGTACAACACGAGTTGCAGCAGGCGGCGGTGTTGGCACACACACACACACACACACATGCGCGCGGCGCGTGTTCGTTTATGGGAATGTTGTGTTGTTATTATTATGGAGCGGGGCGGGGCAACAGTATTGCGTTTTTTTTATTCTCTACTACGCGTGTTACGACACACGGCGATATTTAAATACTTCGACGCGCGCGTTGTCGACATCACCGTCGTCGTCGTCGTCGTAATAATAATAATATACTACAGTATTATACCCGCAAGAGAGGGTACCTCTCTGGTAGGTACGAAAATAATAATTTTATAATATTACCATGGACGAGCAAAAGACAGACACGCAGCAAGAGACAGTCGGGAGACGGAGACGGAGGGATAAGAGAGCGAGAGAGAGGAACCGCGCGCACACACACAGTTTCTGTGGAGTTTTCCAACAAACTATATAATATTATACAGGGTGATCGACTCATCGTAGCGATCTCTTCGGATGATTCAAAATGGATCGGCGATTCCAGTTGGTTTTATTTTCGAATACAGGGAATACTTTTATGACAATTTCAACATAGGAATCATAATTTAAACGTGGATATGAACTTTGACGCCACTCTCTAGTTTTCCGGTCTAAATTTTCAACTATTATAACTCATAAACCGAAATATTATTCGACTATGTGTTTCGAAAAATGTTCAAAACTTCCTATCTGAAAATCGAAAGTGTACATTATACTGGTTCAAGGTCTACAATGAACATAGGAAAAACATTTAAAATAAAACCTAAACGATCCCACAACGATTGAAAAAAAAAATATATAATATTTACAGAAATCGAATTCATTGGAATAGACTCGCGAGAAAATCACCGGATAGTGTTAAACGGATCACCCTGTAATAGTTAGGTGCCCATACCCACTTACTTGCCCCTGGCACACGCAGTATACGCGTAAATAATTTATTATTTATATGCCTACACGGAAAGGATATGCCCGAGAGGAAAAATTAGTGATTGGTAACAACATGTAATTACGTATGTAGGTATATTATTGTGGAGAGAGGGGGGGGGAATATAAAAACCACGCGAGATAGGCCGACCTTCAGGTGCGAAATAGGAAGCTCCACAATAGATACGCGTGCCGCTGCTGTAGTTGCTGACGATGACGGTCGGGAACCACCGCCGCGACCTTGACAAAAAATAAAAAAGTAACACTCCGCTAACGACCGTACAGTCGAACATTTTTTTTTTTTAAATTTTTTTTTTTCTAATACCGGCGATATATCCGTCACACGGCTGGATATCGTCGTCACATATTATTATTATCGTTATTGTCTGACACCGCAGCAGTCCATAAATCATCTATTAGTATTATTATTATTATTATTTTCAACCTTTCGGGGGACACAAATAGAACACACGCGCGCGCGCACGCGTTTTTCTCATTATTGTTAATATTATTTTATTTTTTTGATTTTGTCGCCGTCGCGCCCGTTGAGAGATGACGCGATACCCGGGGGAAGGGCGTGTGCCGGTCTTACAAACGCCACACGACGTGGGAAATCCAACGGCGACAATGATGCCGCACGATGCGTACGGTCGAGGTACCGGAATGTTGAACAGTGAATATTTTTTGGACATAATATTATCAAAACCGACAGGAACGTCGCCGTCTGAAACTATCGAACTCGTAACAACTATAATACATAATAATATTATGTATAATTAGTTTTACTATTATACATAATGTAATTTTTTTTTTTTTTTTTTTTTCGTGCCCGTACACCGACTCTGACAACAATCGTTATTCGAATTCAACACGGTTTAACATTTCGAAATAAAAATAAACGTTATCTGTATCACGACAATCCCTTAAGAGGACGCCACGCCCGCATAATATCTATCTACAACTGCAGCTGTACGGGCAACATAACAGAATTACGTTACTTAGCACGTACTCTGCGGCGTCGGGGTTTAAACACAAATAACAAAAATTCAAACGGAGAATATCTTCTAGGGCTAAACGAACTTATTTTTTGTTTTTTTTTTTTTTTAAATAGCTGTAACTTCTATGTTATGACTCAGATAATAGATGTGGGTGCGGCGTCTCCACGTACAGGTAGGTTGTGGGAAGTTGGGATGAAATGTTAAGTGGTTTGATAATTACAATAAATCATCGCCGACGAAAAACACGATTCTGAACTTAGTTCGGTGAAATATTTTTTGTAGATAAACATTAAAACAAATTGCATTTTATATTGAGTGTTTTGCTGAGTCGAAAAAATCGTATTCACATAATGCGGAAATTAGTATGAAAAATTAAGTATTTTTTATTTACTACATTTTTCCGATGTTTTTTTTACCACTCGCTACAAATTAATGATGAACCTCGAGTTAAATGTTTGTATATTTTTATTGGGCAAACATTTTTTATTCATTTCTAAAAAAAACCCGAAAATTTCAAATCACTTTGAAAAAACCAAAAAAAAATCTACTTTAAATATTTGATTGAAAAATTGATTTTGAGAATGTTATAACGTCTAGAAAGGGCTAGAATAAGTATTCGGTGGATATTTCAAGTCTCTATAATTATTTTTAACAACAAAGAATAACAGATAACGATATTGCGAAAATTTCCCCGTTTCTTCCACGTCCTAACTATTAATAACAAGGCTTATAAAGTATAAAAAAGTGACCAAATAAAAGTATATTTTATCAAATTAAATGAAAAATTGTTTATACACAACGCTATAGAAAAAGTACTTAAATAGTAGTATGTATAGGCACGTAATGCTGTATACTATTTAATCAATCAATCAATCAATATATTATGTAACAATAAGAAAATAAATTGTTCTGTTTATTCTTGATATTGATATTCTTCGTTCGTTTCGTTCATCCTCTTCACATATTAAAAACCGGAATATTTAAATGTCTATCCTTTCAATGAGAATGTCAAAAACTATCAATGAGTACGCGAGCTGTTCAAAATTAGCCAATTGAACAACGCCCTCATTGTTTGGCCGTATAGTGAGACTCCCTCATCATAATCCATTTAAATGTCTACAGGTCTGTTGAATTGCGACTAAAACAACGACCGACAGTACATTATTTTTCATAATCACGGCCATTATTGAGAATAATACTAAAACTATATAAACACGTATGACGTCCCACATCGTGATAAAATTAAGAGGTATGTTAGTACGGCCATATTCTTTTTTCCGCTCCGTATTGGTCAGTGTATGCTATTACGATATCAACGTATACCAGTGGTGACAAGTTACGGCCAGCGATCATATATTAATCGGCTCAATAAAGTATTAAATCAAAATTGAAAAAACATAATAGCTTTGAATTTAAAAAATTAATACGAGCATTAAAAAAAAGATATGTTTATACTTTAAATTTTTTTTCTCATTTATAACAATCAATACGTAATTAACAATCAAATATATCACTCTACCTACACTAAGATGTACCTACGATAAAATACTCAAAAGTAAAAGTTTAAATTTGGCCCGCCAAGAGTTATTATTGTTATTATAATTTTTTATAGCCCGAAGTAAAAAAAAAAAGATTGGTCATCACTGACGTATACTAATTATCACAGACATACATATTGATGATATAATTGATAATAATAACTCTTCTGGAGAAGAGTAATAGGCGGCATGCGCAGAATTAAAATGCTGACATACATCTCTATTGTACCATGTCCCACATAACGTGTACACATCGTGTAGGATTGCTGTCGTCTGATATGATATAATCAACGATAGATGACCATCTATCGTTTGATTATTATAGGAATATTTAATTTTTCTAGATACGGTTTATTTTGCTTTTATAAAACTGTACAGATAGTTTATTATAGACAAAATATAATTGCCGTGAGCAGTTATTATGTCGAATATAATAGTAGATTAAAGGTAAAAGTGAACAAATAAAATCAATAAACGATGACTTTTGAAAAAACGCAAAACTTATTTTTAAATTTTCAATAATATCAGTATTAATCTTTCACTGATTGACATTGTCGAAACAGGGATAAGTGTACCAGACGCTACATCGAATTAACAATGTTTAATAGACTCGACTCGACTTGAATTTTATCGCATAATAAAACGTAGTAAAAGATAATTTAGGTGTAATAACTATCCACTTGATACATATATTAAACACCAAATTTATATTAAACCAATCAGTATAAAATTGAATAAAAATTAATTGTGTGATTATATTGAAACAAATTTATTAATTTTAATCGTATATTTTTGAGCTCAGGGAAGAATGACTTAAGTCAATTTTGTATAGTTTTTAATATAAGCATATTAAATGTTGAAAATACATCACACACGCGTACACCAAATTTAAAGATATTATTATTTGTCTAGAAATGTATACGCAAAGGCTACAGAAAAAAATACATCGAAATAAAAGCAGATTTCGACACGGATTAAAACTTAAAAAAAAGCGGTAAAAAAATTATATTATAATATATCGACCAGAATTCCAGCTATACCACCTATAAAGGGGAGGGGGGCTTGGTTTGTACCACCTGAAGAAAATGTCAATAAATAACCTATAATATGATAAAACATTATGTCATTATATAGATCAACAAATCTTTTTTTCTAAATCGAATGAAAAATTATTTCACCGATAAAGAATATAATTTTAAATAAATTATACAATTAACGATTTTGTTGAATCAATTATTTAGTTTTTTTTTTCTTATCATAATCGAATTATTCAGAAATACATTAAAAAATATAAATAAGTATACGTATTGAATACTGTATAAACCGTGTCTAGTAATTTAAAATACGTATGACACACGAACGATGATAAAATATAATATTATATCAGACTAAAATGAAATAATGCGAATTAGTATCGTATTGTATATAATAAATATATACATAATATTTTATACATTTATAATAATTCGGTTTGTATTACCGAAGTCAACGAGACGGTCAACATTTGCGTCCGTTTACACTAGGTAAATGTTGTTTACAAATAAAAATAAAATCACCATGGTAAAACTAATACATTCCTCGCTGCACTCAGAATCTAAGATAAACAATATAGATAACTCTCGATATAACACTGTACAAAAAATTAGAATAAAATACTAACAAACGAAAAAGCGTTAAGTGGTTATGAACGCGTATTATTTAAAAACTAAAATATACTATATTAATATTATCGGTAGGTGCGTGTGTACTTTAGAATAACAACCAATATTTGACAGAATAATACAGCAAGTACCTAACTATTTATTATTTTGTCGTACCCCGAAAGCTCGAAAAATAATCCATCCGTACTTTTTTCATTTATTCGCGCTATATCAGGTAAACGGTAAACGTGATAATCTTATGCAAGTTTCACTAGGTATTGAACATAATATTGTGTATTATTAAAATTTAAAAGTATAATTTAAATCAAACCATTCAACGTATTATTTTAAACACGCATATACAAACAACGACATTTATTTACAATACATGTATATAACAATAGATTGATAACAATTTATTTTATTATTGACATTTTGTTAACGGTTTATTAAAAAATGTGGATAAGGTACTAACTCTCATATTTTATGTATTTAAAAAATGATTGAAATGCACTGACAAACCTATTTTGAACGATAACGAGATATTAATATCATAAAACAAACGTTACAACGGAGTACGGACTCGAAATTACGACAATAATTTAAAAATAATATTATTATGTAGTAAATGACAATGTGTTCATTTTAATCGTGGATAAATTTGATACTTGGAACTATAAATAAGAAGGTACGACTATTATATGTAGTGGTTGTTTTATTAACCCGATAAATTGAGGTAATTTATTTTTGAGGCAATACACAAAAATGTATACTAAAAACTTTTACATTTTTGTCATCTTCACCGCGTTGATGGTTCTATACCAGATGTTTTACTCTACCTGTGACTAGACAACTGGCAAATTTAGAAAAAAAATACAACTAAAATGTAAAATATTACACTGTTATATTTAAACAAATATTAGTTTGGTTAATTTGGTAAATATTATACTTGTGGGTAATTACTAATTTAACGCCTATAATATTTACTTACACTTAGGATAATTTCCCAAGGCACATCACTATAACTATAGTGTTTGTGGCGTCATTACCGAAATTACAATCACTGGGGGCTATATTCGTAGGATTAATTCACTGATAATTGAATAGTGCGCGGAAATAACGCGGTGTGTAACCCATTAGTAAATTCTGCAGTATAGAAAGAAAACAAAACTATATTATATCTCCTCTTAAATATTATTTGGACAGTACAAAGCACGTTCCAAATACAGTGTTCATCAAGAGAACGTGAAACCGACATGTGCTGCCTTAATGCAACTAACGGGCAACATAACGAAATCTACCTTACGCAGACTACGTTGAACCATAGGCGCAACTTGGGGGTGCAAGGGGGTCTTTAGCGATTTAAGCACCACCGAGTTTAAAATTAACACCCTCAAAAATACCCAATGGGCTTTTTTGATATATTATCGACTTAATAATTTAACCATGTATTTCATAATTAATAAGCAGAACAAAATACAGATTACCTACAGACAATGCATGGCGTGTGCATAGAAAAAATGATTAAAAAGTAATGATACATTTTTACATAAAAAATTGTAAATAGAATTTGTTGCTGAGTATAGGTGTCATGTGAAAGAGATTATTGAAGCATTGCCCCCGTGGGTCTGTGGTGTGCCTATATTTAGAACTCGATTCATTTTGGTTTTAGAGTAAAAGCACTTGTAAAATGAAAAGGGGACAATATTTTGAAAGGCAAAACAATGTGTTTTGATTTTTTAATTCATTTTTTGAAATCTTAAAGTCATTTAAAAGTGTTGAATTAGTCCTATTTTTAAAAATCTAAACGTTGTATTGAACCAGATATTGAACGTTATATTTGGAACAGTGAACCGCACACGAATCGTGTGTTATGTGTGCTGCGTAGGCCGATTGGAAATCATTTGCTTACTGAACGTTATTAAGCCAATTTGTATTATTAAGCTACGGTAAATCATAAGCACACTAAAACCAAAAAAAAAAACCCCCAGAAACCGCCCAGACCGAAAAAAATCCTTTTGATATACCGCAAAAGTGAAATACGTATGGTGTGCGTTCGATTGTAAAAATAAATTGATAAAGTTCTGATCAAGATTAAAAAATGACGGACATACTGTTGTAGGTGGGAAGTTGGGAAGGTAGAAAACAGAAGGGAATTCAATGTATATCTGTAAACAACGATAAACTATTGTTAAAAAAAAACGATTCTGAGCGGAGTTCCGTTGATAGTGACGCTTTGTCAACAATGTATAAGTCATATTATAGTAAAATAATCAAATAGGCATTATATATTTTCTCTAATAATATTTGTTTTGCCAGGTTTTTTTCATTTGTTGAGAAAACTCCTAAAAAATCGAAAAAATGACTTCTATAAAGTACCTCTCCAGTCAGATTTCCATATAGAAAAAGTGCTATCATGTAAATCGGAGCAAAACTGCTGGTAGAAAAATTGTCCGCAGAAAAAAAAAGTCGCAATATTTTACTCATATATTTCATATATTTTCCAGTTTTTCACATTTAATCAGAAAACTCCCAAGAAAATCGAACAATGGCCTCCCTCAAGTACCATCCCAAGAAAATTTCCTTTCAGAAAATGGTCCACACATCGTATACATCGGAGTGAGCTTTCTGGTAGAAAAAGTGTACACATAAAAAAAAACATCTTTGTAAAACTATCACATTGGCTGCGCGCAGTCGATGGAAATGAAATTTAACGATTTTTACCTCTTCCCCAATGGTAAGCAGCCGCCCTGCTCTGTATGATCGCGGACACCGACATGGTGGGTTTCTCTTTTTTGAACATAGTTCCGAACCGAAATTCACGCTTTATTCGCGCAACGCCGCGCAATCGAAACGGCAAAGACGCCGCCGTCGTCGGCTTGTTGCTCGGCCGGTGATAATGTACGAAACAACAATAACTACAGTATTAAACGGCGCGATAACATTTTAGACCACCAGTGGCGTTGAACAGTGAGAAAAACGCGAAAAAAAAAAAAAAACACCGTAAATTTGTCGGGAAATCCAACCGGCGGTGGTCGCGACCCACTGATTGACGCTACGGCGGTACGATCGCGAAAGCCGGCGAACACCCAGTGACACAGTTTTTATAATTTATCTTCGCGCGCTGCGAACCGAACACGAGCGAACGCGCCGCACCGGAGGCAACCAAATAAACACAGTCGCGGACTGCCGGGTCGGAACAGTATCAACCGACAACGCTCATAATAATATCCGACTCCCACCATCGCGGCGGCGGCGGCGGCGGCGGCGGCGGCGACACTATTATAGAACGACGTTGTTGTTATTATTATTATTTTCTGTGCGGCGGCTATGGGACACACAAACGAATATCGATTACGTACGCGGTATTATTACACACACGCACGGGAGCGCTAATGGTGCTATCGATTCGCTCGGCGGGACGTTACAAATTCGCGCGGTCGCGAACCGTTTTGAACGCGTTTCTGTCCGGCAATCAAATCGAAACGGCCCGCGACTATCAACGGCGGCAAATAACGATATCGTCACGCGACCCGGGGAACAGCATAGAGACGTGACCGTTGCGCGGGTTCCCATTCGTTCTTATGTACGATACAAACACGAGAACGAACGCCTACGACCTCTTGGACGGACGCGTAGCATTTTTTTTTTTTTTTCTCAGATTCGAACCGCGGCCGGCGAAGGGCTCCACAGGTATTTACTGTGACGCGCGGGTAGCGTTGTTGTTTTTAGTTTCTTTTTCGTGCCCGAGAGCGACTTTTCCACCAGAAATCCTGCTCGGGTGCGCCAAAGTGTGGCACGTATTCCGAAATGAAATTTTATCTAGTCGGTGCGTTGGGAAGAAGGTCGTTTTGTTGATTATCCGAGGGGTTATCACAACCATCGGGTAAAACCGGGGAAAAACTTAGAAAGAACTGGACGGGTTTTACGAGAGTAATGTTTTTTTTTTTTTTTTTTTTTTATTCTGTGTTTTTTATTGTTGCAATTCAGTTGAAAATATTTGTAGAGATTTAAAATTTTGACACAAAAATTATATTTGCTTTTTCTAGACGTGGTGAAATTTGGTCATTTTTATTTTAGCTATTTATACAAATTTTAATTTTGAGTTTTCGTGTAATTTTTATTTGGCAGGCTCTCTGAGGATAAAACTGTTAGACTAAACAGAAATGCTTGAAAATTCAACGGGAGGTTCATTATGTCGTACTTTATTGTGGTTAAAAACAAAAATTGAGTATAATATACTATTTTTTCCCCATGTAAGAATTTCAATATCAAATTTTGACGAAAATCGTAAATATTGATCTTTCAAAACACGTATAACTACGCTCCGAATCATTTTTCGTTAGCAAAAATTAACCCCGTTGCAGACATTAAATTTCCTGTATATCTTATCTTCCCCACTTCTTACCTATTTTTAGTTTGTATATAATTAACTTTAAACTTGTACGTATACTTACATATACAAGCTTTCCCACTAAGATATACCCCTTAAATATTTCCCGAGATGATAAAGATAATCAAACTCTGTTTATTTCCCTACTGGAAAGAAGACTACAAATATTTGTATTTTAATTATTATTTTTTTTTTTTTTATTATTATTAACAAATTAAAAAAGTAACTTTATTTTATTGTTTTCGGAAAATTTTAAGATAGCTATTCTATAAAGATTAATTTCTGAAATTTTTAATGTATCATGAATTTATATCCGATGAATTGTTTGTTTATAACAGCCATTTTAAATTCTACTAATTCGTGTAAAAACCGATGTCGCGTAACATCGGTTTTCACACGGATTAGTAGAATTTAAAATGACTGTTACACAGAAACTATTCATCGGATGTACAAAATATAAAAAATAACTTACTAAGTCACCAAGTTAGTCCATAATGCGACAAAAAGATCTCTGGTCATTTTTTGATTGGATAACAATCAAACTGTTTGTGTACCATAAAATGATTGGAATAAAACCGGCAATTAAACCAAAATTTCGTTAAAAATGCTTTAATGCATTTCAAGGATATGTCCATTGTGAACGAAGAAAGCAAGAGTGAGTACCCACTTATATAGTTATTTTAAAGGGTGTTTTCCCAGATTTGATGTAACACATCTATCTAAATGAATAATTTTGTTTTCCTCAAAACGGTCAAACGATTTGTATTTCATTTCTACAAAGTTAAAAATTACAATTACAATTCTATTTAAATTTCAAATCTACTCAGACTAGTGTCTATTTAATATATTTTATTCATTGTAATTTTCTATACGAATCAATTATTGAATTTTCAAATAAAATAAATTTATTTTTACATTATATTCATTGACTCGCCCCAAAATTATTATGGTAGGATGTCTTTTTCTTGAAGGTCCATTTTAATTCATTTCATAGCATTAAAATAGTTTACAATATAAAGATTATGTGAATTATTTAGTTTATCATATTTACTTTTTCACTTTAAAGCTGTTCAACCGAATCAGGGTTTATTAATGCCATTCTCAAAAATAATAATAAATTAAAAAAGGAAAAATCCAGATAAACCGAATAAAATTATTAATTTATAATTTCAATAAAATTTTTGTAGGTATTTATTACAAACCAAATAAATCATATTCCTTGAATCAAAATATATATTTAGTACTGATCTAGTGTAAACTTGTATATTGATACCATTAATTAATGTATACACGAAAAAACTTGACAACTCAATTTTCTTTTAATTCCCCTAGAAATTTTCATAATATTCAATATATTATAAGTTTTGTTAACTCGAATATAAAATTATGATAAATAGCTTAGTCGAAGTATATTACATAATAAACAAAAATATTTCGTAAATTTTCCGGTTTTTCGCATTTCATGAGAAAACTCTTGAGAAAATCAAAAAATGACTTCCCTAAACCAATTTTTTTTCCACTGCATCTAATAAAGAAAGAAATCTAGTTTACGACCCATGCTCATTTTTCAAATTTTTTTTCAAAATGTGTGTTTTTGCCTTACATTAAGAATTCAAAAAAAAAAATTCCGATGAACTTTGTTTGGAAGTTATGGGGGAAAACTTCATAAAGTTCGGGTTTTCCGTTTCACGTATTTCTTAGCAAGAATTAAATATTTTCAAATTCTTTTTTTTCAAGATTTATGTACAATAACTATAAAACTTCCAAACAAAGTTCGTCCGACTTTTTTTTTTTAATTCTTAATGTAGTGTTAAAGTATTATTTGGGTAAGATTCTAAGAAAAAGAATGTTTCGGTATCTTTTACTACCTTTTGGCACAAAAATGCTCTTGATATGGTACTGAATAAAAATGATCTTAAAATAAAAATCTTTATAAAAAAAATTATTTAAGTTATGCACAACTTTTATTTTGACCATTAAATACTACTAGAACTTGGTATATATTAAATTTTCATAGTTTTTTGAGATAGCAAATAGATATAAAACATTAAACCACTAAAACTAATTGATGGACATTTTATTTATGTATATAAATACATAAGAAGGTATTATTTATTATTTATTAAATTATGAGTAATATGATTACAAAATTTAAATTTTTTAGAAAACATATTATTATTATTATTACAAATATGTTATTAAACAGTGCCTATATCAAATCAACACCTGTGCATAATATACTATACCTAATACAATTGATAGAAAAATTTTTTAAAAACAAATTGGTAATGAAACTTTAAAATTAAACACAGTAACTGAACTAACATGCTTGTCAATTTACTTTTCATAATTGATTATTATTGAACTTTAGCTTGAACTCTGCATCTGTAATAGTCAACACTCTACACATGAGCATAACATTTTTCTGCCTAGACACTGTGTTCTTGAAAAAAAAAAAAAAAAAAATTATTGTGTAATCTAATTATTACTTCACCATAGCTATAATGTTCCAATAAAATTACAATATTGGATCAGTATTATCTACATTATATTATCACTGCAAGGTTGAATTATGGAAATGACAATTAATTACAGAATAATAATGACTGGTAGTCTGTAGCTAAACAACACAAACTTCAATAAATTCCACCACTCCTATACAAAATATATTGTACCTAGGTGAAAATAAATACTAGGTAACTAAAAAATCTCTGATGGGCCCCTTTCCAAATATTTATTAACACCCACCAACTAATTTTAACTACACCAGTTAAATGTACACATGAACATTGTCAAACTCCTACTCATATAGTATGATTAATATTATTAATATTTTCTTATATAAATACTATGATAAATTCAATGAAAAAAACAATAATGATTAATAATAAAATACATTTAACACTAGTAATTATATAATTAAAATTATTATCAGTTTTAACGTTAAAGAAGTTCAATAGTAAATTTAGTTGTGGTATCCAGACTATATTTTAGTTATGTAGATTCTTGTGTTGAGTATTTAGCTCAGTATTTAGTGACAAACATCAACAATTAGTTTTTTTTTTTTTCTAATTTCTAGTCAAATAATACAATTTATATTTTATGTGTATAATAAGACAAATAAATAAACAAAAAATAATTATTTGAGAAAATACCTTAATTTACCAATTCAAATATATCTACTTCAATAAAATAAAGGTAAATAAATATTTAATTTATTTCTATTTTAGGCATAGTATTTAACTTCTAAGACTTGTGTAAGTACAATACAAAATTAGAATAAAGTTGTCTGAACTATAATATCTAATGCTATGGGCTTACATCAGTTTTTGGAAGGAACAGATTCAATAAACTTATTAAAATTTCATCCATATTTTATAAAACCATAATAATTTTGCTGGTATTTTATTAAAGAGAAACTTTTATAATTTTTCTTTGGAAATTTGCTGGTTTACAAAATTAAATTTGTATCGACAAAAATAAAATTCACTATAGTATTTATTTTCAGACAAGTAGACTAATCATAAATATTAAATGATAGTAACTTCTAAAGCATTATTACCTACAGTTAAAATACTTGAAATTATGTGTATTTATGTTAAACAAAAAATTATTACTCATTCAAATCCCAGATTTTTTTTTATTTTGTGAAAACTGCCTATGTAAAACACTTTATATGTGGTTTAAAATTCTTTTAATAAAAGATAAAGGCCTAGATTATAACCCTATCTGAACCTTTTTTTTATATGCGAGTAGGTACTGTGTACCTTAGGAAGTTATGACAAAAAGTAAGGTATAGTATTTAAAATTTTTAAGCGTTTGTATATTTACTCAAGAGATTATATTAAAAATAGAAAATCAACTACCTGTATCATATAATTATAAAAATTATAACTTATTATAACGGTAAAAATTTAAAGTAAAGAAGAAAATATTTTATATTTTACATTAATCTTTATGAAATAAAATTATTAAAAAATTACTGCCCCCCCTCTGGATCTACCACTGGTTATTGACAAATTTAAAAATTTAATTGCAAGAAATAGTAGAATAATATTATAAAATATAAAGTATACCTAATATATACAGTAATTTGTTTACATAAGACAGGAAACAGCATAGTTATATGTATCACATTAATTGTTTATGAATATAAAAATTTATGAACTATCTATCTATAATTATAAATTAATGTTTACATGAATAATTACTATTCTATTATGTTTTGTTTAGTAATACTTCCTAAAATCATTATTGATGATGATGAATTGTATGAATTATACCTAATTAATATTGGATAAATATCAAAATTTGCCAGTCACCAAAAGTAGGTTATATTGTTGAAGTTTGTAAGGGAAATTTTTATAATTTTTTTGTGGTATAACTACTGGAGAGTGGATGATCAGATAAAATTTAGCTATACTTGACTCAGAGGTCTGTGCACACTTATGAATATAAATGAAAACAAGTATCAAATATAACAAAAAAATATTAATAGAATTACAATAATTGAAATTAACAACAATTATTGTTGTTAATATATCAAATAGTAGGTTGGTCACTTCTAAATGAGTTTCCAAACCTAAGAAATGAGATTTCTGGGTTAAAATTTAACATTATAAATAATATACCTACATTATATATGCATATTAAAATTAATTAAATTAAATTAACTATACTGAGTGTAATAGCCTAATAAAAAAATTAAGATATTAATAACTCAAAAATAAGTTTTTTAAATAGATATATCAATATTATAATCAAATTATTAAATTTAGATTAAATTTTTAATTCTCTATTTACCAATATTATATAGGTATTTTACAGATAAATAGAAAAAATATAAATCCACTAGGTATTATTTATTAGTATTTATTAGATAGTTATATATATTAGGTAAATCATAAACTTTATTTCTTAACTTCTGTAAACATGTATTATTTATTAATAAGTAATTAGTTTTAACCCTAAGAAAGACATCTACTGGCTAAGTTTTATCAAGTTTTAGTTGATAATATTAGTATACAATTTAATAAAAAAAAATTTACAAAATTTGAAATGTTTGATTTTTATTTTCAATCAAGGAACAATTCTCCTTTATTAGGAATGAGGAAGAGAACAATAAAGTATAACTTGGAATTTGTTCATTTTTATCAAGGCTAACACAAAAGTGAACTAATTTTGAAAAATTTGGAAAAATCCAAAATGAACTTATTAATATTGTTACCATTAAAATATGTAGAGAAATAATAAATTGTGTTCGATAAAGTATTATAGCCTTGTACGTAGACCTATGGTAGAAATTTGGAAACAGGTGCTTACAAAATTTAGATAGTTACTAATAGGTAATTACTTACCTTTTTGACAAAATATTATAATTGTATTGCAAATTAGATTTAAATATACCTGACCTCAGTTAAGCATTATATAAGTTACTACTTGTACTTATTAATAACTCTTTGTCTAGGTATATCTGACTGTGTAAATTAATTACTATGAATATTACCTATTTGGTAATTGGTATAATTGATTATAAGATATTCTATTATCGATAAAATATATGTTCATTGAAGAAATTGATGATCCGATACATCGAGAAGCAATCTGATTAGTAATCAGATTAATCGAATTTGATGAGGAACATCGAAATCCATTTAACTGATAATCTAGCTTGTCGAGGAATACACGGAATATTAGCGATTAATGACCAGGTATGTTGGAATATATGTCAACCATACAATAAATTGTGGATTCAATAGATCCCTCCATTTCCTTTTTAACATAGACATTGTTGACAATGTGAAAATACCTTCGTACTTTCGTTATAACTTCAGACATTAACATAGGTCATGATTTAGTATCACGACTTTCCACTATTTAGTCATAAATATTCATGTCGCACGACACAAAACGTCTTACCTCGTTCGGTGCAGTCCATAGTGATCGACCGAGAAGAACCAGTAAACGAATAACGAATGCCTCCAACAGCAAACGTAAATACTGCAGATCGTTGAGATTGAGTCAGCGTCCAGATATTGTTGTCCAATACACGGGAAAGGGTGGGCGGGGTGCACGATACAGAAACACACACGAAAACAGATAACGCGTCGTCGACAAGGTTGATGAACTAGGTCATTGAGCTTTTTTCAATTTCACAGTTCACACGACTCGAGTGTATCGTGACGTACAATTAACGAAAAAAAAATTACAACGTTCACTGTATACTGTTTGGAGGATTTTTTTTGGTACGAGATAAAGTTCTACAGACAAGGACAACAACAACGACGGAATAAGTCTGATAAACGGTCCAAAAACTTTAGTTTAGAGATACGAAGCATAATACATAATAATATGGCGGCAGGTAGACAACCGCATATTATGACGTGCTAGACACTGTATACTCGGTACTACTCAGTCATCTGTGTTGGTGGTGGGGAGGGGTTTTTATCAATTTGTGCTGCGATCAGGGTTATCTACTTCGTGGTATTGATAATTTGTATTATTCGTATACATCAAGATAGATAAACAATGTTTATTGAAATATATAAAATAAATATCCTTTCTCCTTTATTAATAATAAACACCAGTATCTGTAATTTACCCAAAATTGTTTCAACTGAAATAAATTGTATTGAAAATAATTTTTTTCCAATTTATTTTTCGATTTTATATGCACCTCCGTTCTATTAATTATTTTTGAAGATAAAGTCGAAACTATTATTCTAATATTTACTAAAATGAAATCATCGCAAGTACCCACGTATTTGCTTCACTTTCTTTACAATATACTATTCTATTAAAATTCTCACCCGACGTACTACACGTAAATGACTTCCTTAAAATATGTCAATTGCGACTTATCCAGAAATATTACATTTGAGACTTGACTTTGTTAATTTGTTGTGTATTTTCAAATAATCTTTCAGAGTTTTTATCATTGATTATTATTAATTTGTCATATAAATGAATTATATGTAGTATCTTGAATTGTGTTTGCTATGTAATGAAATGTATTATTATTCGTATAACTTTTGCAGACTTAGTTTGTTTTGGTTGGATAACTATAATGAACAGAAAAATAAGTACCTAGTTGAGGAAAATTAATAAAAAATAAATTAAATTAAAGATTGAATGAGTGATCATTTGTCAATGAACTGTTTATCGACTATCAAATGAAGAATTTTGTAATATGTTTTGTGCAAGTTGTTTGAAATAAATTTGTGCTTAAATCGATTTTACCATCACGGACGTGAATTTTGTTTTCTTAATGCTGAAAACGATAGTACAAAAAAAAAAAAATTGCGGAATCCCTTATTTTTGAAGTTACAGCTACTTGAAGTTGGAGAATTACTGTTTCACCAGTTAGACGACTTTAATCGAAAAATTGAAAAACCTTAAGATAAAGGGAAGTGGTTATTAACACAAAATAAAATTTAAAAAAAAGTTAATGTATAAATATACATAAAATTATAAAATAAAAAATTAAAATATACTTTTTTTTTCACTTTTCCCTATTACTTACCCAGCATGGTTTTGCACAACAAATTGAGGGTTATTTTTGATTAAAACAGTCCGAACAAGCGCAGTGATTGAGTGACCCCGTCAAGTCTCTAGATACACCCAAAATGTACAATAACAAGTACAAAAATCAAAATATTTTGATGGGGTGCAGAAGTAGATAGGTCGGGTAATAGCCGCAACTTCAAAAGTAAGAGTTTCCGTAACTTTTTTTTGTACCATCGTTTTCAGCATTAAAAAATAAATCAATTTAAAAAAAACAAAACAAAATTCACATCTGGGGTGGTAGTTAATTTTTTCAGAAATTCGCATAAATTTACCTTATTTGCTTCTTGATATCAATTTGATTATAACTTACTATTGCCTATTTGGTTAAACCTCCCTCTCATAGTCTAGGAATCCTAGCCATTTCAAACTGAACATTAATAATGTCATATCATGTTCATATTCTGGAAATAAGTAACCAACCACTACATATAAAATAGGTATTTACAACTTATCACTATTGACACAGTAAAAGTGAGAAATAAGTAATATAATAAATTGTAAAAACAAAAAATTTTATTACAGAATTATTAATTGTTAGTTATTAAATATAAAACAAAAATCGTATTGAGCAAACCTCATCATATTTCACAGAAAATATTAAATCTAAACAAATTTGAATTACTATAGTAGAAACTATTGACTAGATAATTATAATAATCTTAAAATAGTTACTTAAACCAATAATAACATTAATATTATTATTATATCAATATCATTATTTGTTGTAAGTAGTCGTATAGTTCATATTTAAAATTAAGATGTCAATATATACTATTATATTACATAAAACAAGAATTATGGACATATTGTGTATACTAAGTTCACATAGACAAAAAATAGATTATCTTGGTTTTTTGAGAAAATTTAGTTTTTGTTTATTTGGGAAAATCAAAACATTTTTGTGATGAGCTTGCATAATAAGTAAATTTATAATTTGTAGCAAATAATGCTGTTTTCTAAAGCCAGGTCCAGACTATAAATTTATATAAACATCATATACAAGTAAAAATCAATAGTGAGGTCAGATTGAATCAAATATTACAAGCTAGGCAAGTATATTATGTTTGTAAGGTTTACTCAATGGATGATGCACTAAAGAAATATGTATGTTTATTTGAACATCATATGATAATTTTCCAATGTTTGCATTGTTTGTTAGTTTATTGATTTATATTTCTATAGATATCAAAATTCCTCTTCAAATATGACTTTGTACAATTTAAATTGAATATTAGGTTAGTTAATAATAAATTAGATATGAATTATTAGAAAATAAATAATGAACTGTACTCAACAGTGAGAGCAGTGGTAAAATGCCAACTGAAATGTGTTACAAATTTAATGAACAAAAAGAAAACAAAAATCATCTCAAACAGTTTAGACATATAGTATTTGCAATTACACCAGACACTGATGAGTACACAAACAGGATGAAATTGACAAATATCATAATCTGGACCCACCTTAACACAAATCATATTTAAATATATGTGTTCACTAGAAATCTCTTCTATTAATTTTATAAGAATCCTATAAAATAGTTGAAAATATTTTCAAACTGATAAATGTGCATTGAAATAGTTAATATCATTTTATAGTTAAGGAAGTTATTTCTACAAGAATATAATATTTTACTCAGTAAAAATAATAAATACATATGAATAAAAAATAAAAAAATCACTAACAATTAAAAACAAAAAAGATTATGAAGAAATTGAGGAAAAATCATAATGAAGAGGCTTCATTTAAAATGTCTAATTATTTTATCGTATAAATATTACTGAACAGTACAATGTTTATTAGGTTGAATTAGACCAGATCTATTAAGGTCACGTATAATTTTGTCATCTTCTTCAATCCTGAAAACAAGATGTAATAATATAATGTATTAATATCAACTTGTACAATCTTAAATAGTTGATAATTAAACAAATATAAAAATAGATTTAATGGATACATCTCTAATAGAATATTCATACATACGCTCTTTCTTGAGAATCAAGATGGTGAACCAATTCATCTCTTTTATTTACAATTATGACTAATTCAGCTAACAATAAGTTTTCACGTCTTTTTTGTTCTTCTGTTTTTTGCCAATCTAAAATAAAAATAATTCAATTAATTAAAATTAATGAAAATTAATTTTGTTAAAACAAAATACCATCAATTGCGATGATACTTCTAAGTTCTCGAATGAGTAATTGATATTTTCTTTCTAAATCATCCTCTTTTTCCCTTAAAAAAAAAAAACAAAATAATTATGCAGTTTAGAAACAATACACATTTTTTTTATTATTATTATTATTTGTAGTTATTGATATTTTTATAATAAACATTAGAGTTATAAAGTTTAATCATGTTCTGTTTCGCTGCACTCAATTCAACAATTTTAATTTAAAATAATCTTTGATTTGATGTGTAAAATCACAAGAAAAAGTGAAAAGCATTAGAGGTGGATTTAGAGACTCAATGTGGTTACTCAATAGGGTTATTTTTGATTAAAATTGTCTGAGTGAGTGCAGCAAAATACTGGGCTTGAACGTTTGTAGCTCTAAAAATAAGCCAGATAGCCTGATTTCGACTTCAATAAAAAAAACTTTGTTATTAAAATATCAATAATAATAAATAATAATAATAATAAAATGTCAATTTTTGTCCACATTATGGATTAATTTCAAAATGTATGTACAATAACTATAAAAGTAAATATGATAGTTGTTTTGATTATGCCAATTGATTAAGAATTTAAAAACACACATTTTGAAAATAAAAAAAATTAAAATGTTAAATTCCAACTAAGAAATAAGCGAAAAGGAAAAACTCGAAACTTTACTAAGTTTTCCCTCATAACTTCAGAATGAAGTTAGTATTTTATTTTTTTACATTCTTAATGTACATGTAAAACCACACATTTTTTAAAAAAAACTAAAAATTTTGCATAGATGCTCAACTACATTTATGCCAAAACAAATTAATAATAATAATAGTTCAGTTTTCAGAAATGGGGAAATAACTATGTGTAACTTTTAATTTAAACTATATTATTTGTTTTAAGAAATGTGCTCTAATTTTAATATAGAAATAAATAGTCAAATACTTACAGAATGTTTAATTGCATTTGACGGCGTAATAAAGCATTTTTTTTATTAACAAGAGTAAACCATTCTGTCATAAGCATTTCTTCCCTCTCATGATCGTTTTCTACAATAATTAGATAATATAATGAATACAAATATTCAATAAATAATTTATGCTTTTTACCTGTGTTCATAACTCTTCTAAGTTCAACTTCCAATTCATCTGCTTGAAAATCAATTTGTCTTTGTTCACGCTCCAAAGATTCCATTTCATTTTGAATGTAATTAACCTGATTACATTAACAAAAAATAAAAACTGGTAAAATAAATTCTCAGTATACTTTTTTATTTAAACTATGTATATCTTACATCTTTTGACACAGCAAAAGGTTCCAAAATTGATGAAAATGATTGCAATTTTTGGCTTGTATCTAATGATACATTGCTAGATTGGTATGACTAAAACAAATATTATTTTATACTAATTTAATTGCCTATTTATTTATATTTATATTCAATGCAAAATGTATTTATTAAAGAAATCATATGAAGTTTATATTTGTTTAATGTCAAGAAAATAATACCTTATCAAGATTAAATGAACTTGTTTGAGATCGATCAGAAACAGGAGATATTGAACTTCTTGAACTGATATTATCCAAAGCGATTGTTGAGGATGAAGGAGTATTCATATTTTTACGTGCCTCAGCTATTAATTTCTTAGCCCGATCCCGTATCTGTAATTGTCTTTCTTCTTCATTCTGTTGAAAATAAATAATTAATATTTATATTACATAATAAAAATATTAGCCATAATATATGTTTCCCATTCCTCTTTACTGTTTTTATAGAAAATATTATTTGGTGTAATAAAATCATTCATTAGAACATAGGTAAAGATTGTATTTTCTCAATAGATTAACCTAGACATGATGAACATTTTGAAAATTATGAATTCACACTCTCACATTGCAATCAATTTTTTCCAAAGGTGAAACTAATATTTCCCAACCTGAGGGCGTAAACACATTACTGGAGAAGCGCAGTCATATCAGAGTAAAATGTATATTAAATAAATTATTTTTATTTTACATAACCGGGTAAGAGGATTTGAAAATTTAATAGCCAGTTTACACCAAGTTGCAAAGTATACAAAAAAAATGCATTAATTTATGTGCGGTATGAGATTTTTGAAAAACTACAAACGGGTATAGAATAAAAAAGGTTGATACCTACTAGGTTAGAGTATGGTTCTTTTTGTACTTTTTTGAAGTTCTATGAATCATTCAGTTCTATTTAAGTTTTATTTCAAGAGCATGTAAATTTTCAGTGATCAAAGTGATAAAACAATAAATTAAATAACATATTAAAGAAGTGTAGGTTGTAATTTATGTTATGTGTATACATTAGCAAATATACCTATTCACTACAAGGAATATAATTGATCAATTAGTTTTTAACAAAATAAATTATCTCAAATTCAAAAGAATGGCTGTGTTCTACTTAAGTATAGCTAATATCAAGTTTTTAAGGGTTCCTAGTATCAGTGGGTTTTTTCTCAAAAATATGCCTTATGGCAAAAACTTTTATGCCTCATAAAGTGACCTAATTTTGTTGATAAAATAACTTTTTAAAGATCTCATTGAAATCAATTTTCAATATTTTCATATCATAGCTTAATAATATGTACGCATCATATATTTAATTATCAAATATTGAATGGAATTGCAATAAATATTAGAATAATACAAACAAATTAATAACATATTTAATAAGAAAATTACCACAAATGTATATTTCAAAAGTTAAACTTAAAATATTAGCTTTACCAACCTGAGTAGGTGTCTGGGTTCTCCTAGTAGCTTCACGGCGTGCTTGTTCAACAAGTTGACGAGCTCTTTCTCTAAGCTCTATGTGTCTATTATTTGTTACTTTCTACATATATAAAAATCAACACACTTTGCTACTCAATTAGGTTAATAAAAACACAAAATTATTATGTAAAATTAATCATCAAAAAAGCAAATACATTCTGGTATTAATATAATTTTTAAAATGTAGTCATGTTTTTGTTCATATTAGATATTAAATACACAATAGTAGACATGGATAATAAAACAGTTAATATATTTTTACAAACCTGTTTGGGTAAATCTTGATTTTTATAGTTTTCATTTAATGATTTTAGTTCACTATTTTTACCACCAGAATTTGAACTTTTTAAGCTCTATACAAAATCAAAAAATTAACAAATAAAAATTTAAGTAATTGTATTGTAAAGAAAACTATATACCTCACTAGTTGATAGGGATCTTGTTAACTTACGACTTCTTTCACTAGATACTTGACTAACACTGAAATTATAAATATCAAATTTATATTGCAAACATATTAATAAAAAATGATTTTTTATACTTGTCTTCATCAGAAATGATAGGATCAGTAAGCTGCTTTTTATTCATTAATGATTTAACCTAGGATTAGGAAATAATTAATAAAAAAATATTAAATTAGTGGCTTCAATAATGATTGTTCAATATCAATGACTATAAATGTACCTTAGGAAATGATAGTTTTTCTTTAGATGGAGATAATATTTGGTCAAAAATATTTTTTGAACTATTTAAAATTTTATCAGTAATGCCATCTTTTGTAAATGTTACAGTATTTTGACAGTCAGTATCATTTTGACTAAAATAAAACCATGTATTAGTTTTTTGATTTTTTTTATTATATAAAATATTTGTTTTCTTGATATTAGATAGTAAAATAAGAATATTTTATTTATTAGTTTATAACTTAATATTTTACTTTTTTTGGAGATTTTCATTAGAATCATTAGTTCTAAAATTATTAATTTCTTTTTCAAATAATTGAAGTGAAATATTTCCTTTCTCTGAATTATCATATCTTCCAATCATATAAGAAGATTCATCTGTAGTTTTACCAATCAATTGAACTTCTAATTCGTGGCCTAAAATAAATTTAAATTCAAATTAAGACTATATAAATCAAAGTATGAAAATAATATAGGTATTTACCGGTAAAATGGGCTCTTAATTGATATAAATATGTCATAACAGCTAATTTATCAGGAATTGTAAGTACACCCATATCTGATGGTTCAATAACACGAGAAATTCCCAAGATTTCTCCAGCATCAAAAGCAGTTTTGCAATTTTCTCGAATATCATGGGGTTTTAAATGATTAAATTCACTAAAATATTGATAAATTTATTAAGTTAATTTGACTATATAATTAATTATTTATTTATTTTTAATTGATGTTTTTGTCTTCAAAATATAATAATTTGAAATTTTCTTACATAAGATCAGGGCGGAAGTGATGGATTATCGCACAAAATGCTAGACCATTACGCCAAGAAGTTGTTAGGTTAGTAACTTTTACACCAGGATATCCTTTAGTTATATCTTTACACCATTCAAGTAAATCTTGGCCAGGTGTGGTCGTCTCAATACCTTTGAAAGAACTTTCTGTATTAACCTGAAAATTATATATTTAATTTGAGTGTACATATTTTTTTAGATTCTGAGCGGAGAAAGAAAGTATTGGTTTTAAAATCTTTATTTTATTATTGTTATTATTATTATATTTTATTTTTTTTTAGTTTGAACCTATGAACAATTTTTTTATCAGAAATCTACAGATTGACAATTATAGCACTTTTTATGAAAACAAATCTGACTGGGGTAGTACTTTAGGGAATTATTTTTTGATTTCCAGGAGTTTTCACAATAAATGGGAAAAACTGTAGGAAAACAAAAAAATTGATACAATATAAACAATTAATATTATTAAAAGAAATGTATCTTTTATAGTTGTATACAGATATACATTAAATTTTCTTTCTTCTTTCCCAAGGGTGAGAAGTTAGTAAAGAAAAAAGAAAATTTAATGTATATCAGTACACAATGATTAACGATTGCAAAAGATAAATTTTCTTTACTGATATTGTTTAACCCAGCATTGAATCCAAGTATATGATGAGGCCATAGGCCCTTCCCTCAAGAATTTTGTTTGCCCGTGTTAAAAAAAAAAAAGGGCATTACTAAAATTTTAGTAATGCCACCCCTCAGTAAAATTGTCTAAATTCAACACTGTTATTACCTACAACAATGACCTGTCTACTCAGAAGTATGTCTGTCTTTATTATAAATTTTAGATTACACATATTTCATATAAACTAACCATTTTGGATTTAATTTAAAAGTATTTTACTTACATCTGTTAAGTTTAATGGCTTTAGGAATGGCCGAGTATTTTGTACTCCATCTTTAGAACCAGCATTATTCCTAAAATTATTTTAATATAAATATTAATAACTACTAATATTTAAACTAAAATGTATTCTTTGCTATGTTCAGATTCTAAATAAATTTTAATTTGTTTGATGTGGAACTATTACAAAATGCATACAATCTGTTTTTTGTTATATTACAAGTTCTATTAATATTTAATTCCTATAGACTTACATATAAGGAAATTTGTTATATGATGAACCATTTTCTAAACTAGAATTTGGATTGATTGATGAGTTCATATCATCCACCTTATGGCTTTCTTGATCAAAAGAATTTTTCGCTAGCAAATCAAATAAATAAATAAACTTGAAAAATTGGATACCATATCAATTAACATACTATTAACTGAAGTACCAATAAATTCTGGATCACTTAAACTGTTGGTTAAATTTTCAATTTTGTTAGTCATAAATGATACATTGTTCAAATTTTCTTTGATTAAAGAATCTAAAAAAAAAAAAAATAAAAATTTATGTTGATGAAAACATTTTAAACAATAATAATAAAACCATCAATATCTTCTTCGTCAAAATCTTCAAGAGGTGCTATATCACTATTGTTTGTACTAAAAAGGCTGGCTAAACTTAACATATCTTCATCACTGAAAAAGAGTAATATTTATGTAAATGAGACAGCTGTATAATATTTTGAGGTTTATAATAATAAAAGAAATAAGGCTAAATTGAGAATTTTAATATAATCTTTATGCATTTTATGCAGTTAGTTTTTAAATATTTATTAAATTAGTTTTAGGAATACTACTTAATAATATCATTTTCAAAAACAATGTTACTATTATAAAAACTTAAGTTGATGTTAATAAACTGATAGTATTTTAATTTTAAAAATAATTAATTTAGTAAAATTGCTTATCTGAAATAAACTTACGTAGCTTTTCCTTCTCTAAGAAATACACTTGATAAAGTCATTTCCAGTGAGGCCGAAGTGATTTTTTTTGAAACAGGTTTAAATACTAATGTTATTTCACATTGAGTAGAATCTATAGAAGCATACTTTTTCATATTTAACATTGCAACTGCTATTTGTCGATGTTTACCTAAATTATTTACCTACAATATAAAAAAAAAAATCATAGAGATATAAATATAATTAATATAAAAAATAAAAAAAAATTACATCTTCAATAGTTAAAGTCCATTCTTTGTCTTCATGATTATTTGTACGAGGATCTTTGAACAATGTTACACACAGTTGCTTATTTTCTGGTACTGGCCATATTACTACACCTTTTAAAGGATCTTTCATAGTAGGTTCCCAGGGCAAAGCATCACTAACAAACCGCCTACTCCTACGACTTAATACAACAACCAATTTGTTTGGTGTCCTAAAATAACAGTAACAATTTTTTAATTAGATCTTTCTAGTATAAATAGTGTATGTATTTCAGTTTTGTTTTTTTTTTTTAATATTAAATTTATTTAATAAAATATAAACATACCATTTAGAAGTAGTTTCACATATAATTTGATGATAAGACAAGGTAAATTGAAATTTGGAAGCTCGTTTATTGACTCTTTGAAGACGTTTCCACACAGAAGCCATATTTATTGATGCATTTGAAATTTTTTTTTTTAACTTAAATTTCATCATTGTAAAAAAAAAAAAAATTAATTTTAAATAGGTAAATATTAATGATTTTTTTTTTTTAAATAAACAAAATATTCTAAATTTGAGTTGATTACTAAAGTGTTGGAGAAATGAGTTCACTATTATAACTAAACACTAATAATGAATATATAATGTTCTATTGAATAGCATAATTAAAACCTAAAGTAATATTATCTAATGTAACCTTTGACCACTAATGCATAATAGTGTTTATCTATACATTTTTTTTTATTTTATAACAGATAAACATTTTCACAGAATTTAAATAGTTTCTATTTACAAATATAATCTTATAAAAATGTTAAATTTATGAAAAATAAATATATATATATGGTGATACCTAGACAACTAAATAAATAAACTCTTTAATAAACCAAATAATTCAATTTAAATATTAGCCAAAGAAATGTATACAATTTTAAATAAATAAGTATTTAATTAGGTACCTTTAAAATTTAAAAAATCATTTTTTAAATAATAATTTAGTAAAAATTAAAATTAAGACTTACCTGTGAAAAATGTGTATCAAATACCTACTCAAATTTTCTTTTAAAACTTAGAACAATAGTCAATTGACATATATTGTTAATTTAATATAAAAAAAATTTAAAAAAACATAATTTAGGCATTTATCTAAATATTTTTTAATTAAAATCATCAACTATATTTTACAAAATGTAGTACTAGGTATATTGTATTAACAATTATTTAAGTAAAATCGTAGAGTATAAACAATACATTTTGACATCTGGAAAATTGCCAAGGTAAAAATCATAAATGAAATACTCAAATAGACACATGAACAAAAAGAAAAAAAAAAATAATAATTTGGCAATAACATTAAACTAATTTATTTATAAATAGCTATTCTGGATATATATTTAAACGCATTTAAAATCATAATAATCACATAGGTATGCATTAAAAATTAATTTTTTTTTTTCAGTAAAAACATTAACACATTTTATTATTGATTCATCTAACAAAAATCAATAAATTAATTCACAAAAAAACTTACTTTACTATTTTATAATATAAAAACAAGTGAAAGTAATACTCGAATAATACCACTCTGTGAGCGTGATAAATTTACGATGTCTATATTATGTATTATTTATTAATTTTTAAATTAATCTTTTAATCAATGCATTACAGTAAAATAAAATTACAACTGAATGAATATAAAAGATGCAGAGGACAGAAAGTACTTTAGACATGTGTATAAATTAGAAAAAATTTAAGAGTGAAAAACAAATTTAAAAGATAGTTCAATAGAGACATTAATAAAATAAACGGGTAAATGCTAGTACTCAAATTCATTGAAATTACATGTTATGTTAAACTTTTAATTTTAAAATTAATAATTTAGTAGTAAATTAGGAAAATACATTTTAATTACACTTAGGAAACAATTTCTTTAATTAAAAATGCTTATCAAGGAATTGTTTTATATGCAAAAACGTTTCAACAAAATATAATGCACATAGCAAATATAAACCAATATCAAAGAAGTAAGTATCTAAACAGTTCATTATTTTCAATTTTTTAATGATTTTTTTTAAAATATCCTAGGTATGTTATTTATATAGTAAAAACAATGAAATATAAAAAATTAAGTAAATAAAAATAATTGATGGTAAACACGTATTTGTGTGTATATAAGAACATTTTCATTAATATACCTTGATTGCTTTAAACAATCTGTAATATGAAATCTATAATCTATACACTTTTTATGTTGTTAATACCTTGAAATTATGGTACATAATATTAAGTAATTTTCCAAGAGATAGATAGATATCATATTTTTTTTAAATATTATATAGGTAGGTATATCATTTCTACTGAAATATACATTTTTATCCGTCATGTAAGGTTTGTTTTTTTTTATTAATTAAAATAAATATTTACAATCTGTATTCTTAATAATACAATAAGTAAATGTTGACAACTAAGAGTAGGATGGGCAACATGTATGCTTGAGAGAAGGGAATGTCAAATGACACCACTTCATAGTCATATAAGTTATAATTTATAAAATTACCTCATTTTATATAAAAGCACTTTATCAAGCTGCTCGCGATTTTCAAATTTTTTTCTTAAACAGACATGTTTTTTCGAAGCTGATTTTAAACAATTTTTTGTGCAATTTATTATTAAATAAATTATGTTAACAAATTTCAAAATAAATATTAATAAATAACTTAGTAGGAGGTAAGTACCTATAGTTTTACCAACTCTTAGTTAAAAATAAAATAGAAAGTGAAAGATATTAGGATTTATTATGAAAATTGTGCATACCTAGCGACTGCAACTAACTTTGCATTGACTTCAAAATTTACCGAGCGTAGCTATATTATGCATTTACTAGAATTTTTGCATCAATGGGCAGATATGTATGTAGTTTACGAGCTAAGTATGAGGAATAATGAATTTAATTACAACTTACTGGTTAGATTTAATATAATCCGGTTGATTTGTTCTTCAAGTTTTCAATGTTTGATCATAAATCCATCTCGAATCTGGACAAGAATAGATGATAGATATTTAACGCCGCATAGATTTCGAGTACACACCCAACACCATCATAGAAATATTTTGATCATAAATCGCAACACCAATTTTCCACATCAGACAGCGCCGAAAAGTAAATAGGTAACATAAAACAGTTTTTAACTAGGTAGGAGTAACATTATTATCCATTATTTTCTACTGGTGATTACATATAAATCCCAATATAAGATATACCTTAAACATAAACTTATCTATCATAAGTTATAATTTGTATTGTCAAAGGAAAAATACGCGACAATTGATAACAAATAAACGAAATAGAGCAAGGACAACTAGTCCACACCGTCATATGGACACTGACAGCCGAAGTGTTATCCAACTCGATCTTTCAACGTCTCGATACTCGAATACTCAACAGTATTGTTGCTGAACATATCCAGATAATGAGATATTTTAAAATTTGTATTTCTGTATAAGATTGTGTTCGTTATTGGTAATATAATTTATGTTATAATTTGTTATTTGTGTAACAATACAATAACAGAAATAAAAATGTATTATTTTAATACAACGATTAACTTATCCATATTAACATCATTATCATAGTTAATTTATGATAATAGTTATTGTTCAACGAGAATGAATAATAAAGCTTAAAGTTAATTTTATGTCATATCTCAGAAAAAAGTTTTAATTTTACAATACATAACTTTGAAAAAGTTCTTTTATTGTACGGTCAACAACTAAAAATGCCTTATTTATAATTTGATAAAAACAAACAAAAATTTAATACAACTCACGAGTTGGCCACTGTTGAAGGTTTTTAGTTGGGAATGTAGAATTCGTATACAAGGTAATATAGGTACCTAGTTTATAGGTTCATAATATATTATGTGCAAAGATTATAAACGAAAAAAACGATTCCGAGTAGTGCAGTACGAGTCGTGTTTTCCCTTGTTGCCGAGGTATTCCCGAAATCAAAAAAAAATATACGGGTGAACTGTACAAAAATTCGTTACAATTAAAATCCAAGTAATACCAAAATAGGTTTATTTCCTACGCAGCCCATATGCTCAAAATAGTACACCCATCACACGACTACTTCTTAATTCGTAGTATATCGGAAATAACTTTCATCCCGCCGAAACGACATTGACGTGCAATTTATTTCTTCACTCTTTAGTGGCACCACAGATGCTCTTGGTCTCCTATCAAACGTAAGCTTCCGTATCTGTTTTTTCGTCCCCAGACATCACTACCTCTTCCTAGTACCAGTCCACAGTGCATCCTGCGGTAATAACCGCCCCTTACATCGAATGCCTTAGATAGCCTTAATTTTGATTTCAACCATAAGTAATTACGTGTACGACCAGTTGTAATGTTTTTCTATTTAATTTCATTTGTATTTTGTCGCCTCTGCATTGTTTTCGTTTCTACTGCGTATTGTTAGCATTTTATTGTAAATGACTTTCACTTGTAAACCAAACTCTAAAATATGTAATCGTACAATTGCCGGCTGGCGTTAATGAATCAATAAATAAAATGGCATTAGGGAAAAATTCAACATATTTTAAGGTCGGTACTGTATGAATATTCGAAGCATTTCCTACCGAAAACCGTGTTCAGAAAAAAAAAGAATTTCTCGAAGAAAGTATTCCGTCAGCAAAAAAACGGCGTGAAAAAAAAAACCCCCGAGCAATTATTTTACTAGCCGTAAGTGTTAATCGAGTAAAAAAAAAAAACATACTTTCGTATGCCCAATTAATACTCGGAATCGAATCTACAACGACAAAACGGATTCACATGCAAGCAACTCGTAAGTTATAAATAATTATCCTGATTAGCGTGAAATAAAAAAAAAAAAAAAAGGACTTTATACCACAGACAGCGGAGACGTTTCCTAAAATCCGCGCTAATGACGTAGCCGGGAACTCTGGATAATACTCGCGTACATTTATCGGCGCATTCGTGTCCGTGGACAATTATTGTGTCGCGTCCGCGCCGGCGATATTGACGCGCATATAAACGTGTAGGCGTACACGGTATTATTATTATTATTATTATTATTAATTACCTTCCCCGCGGACAAAAACGTACGGACAAATATCGGTACGAGTGGCCGCGTGCGTGCTGTGTACCGTTTGGCCGTTCCGAAATGCGTTTATTGGAAATGAATTCAAAATGATATTGCGTCGTACGTTTGTGCGTGGGTGTTGTTACACGCGTTGGACACCTACCGGCTACCGTGTCAATTATTATTGTTTTTATTTCGTTACGAACGAATTCGATACGTGGTGATATAATCGCGCGTCGTTTCAAACCGGGCCGTGGGATCCTCAGTAAAAATCTTCTCTTTCCGCACCCGCCCACGTTATTTGTTCGGTTGTTAAATTTGACCGTTGCGCTTGGATAATGCAAATGTCGGTTCGGACGGTTTTAACGCGAACAAAATTGATTTTCAACAACAAATCGCAAGGCGATATTTACCAACCTACAATAATGGTATCGATAATCGACGGATAAATATTTACGGGTTTGGTCATCAAATAATGGGAACGGTCGCCGAAAAACCGAGGACGCAACACGGTTGTGGCGACGTATGCTTTCGTTTTTTAGGGACGCGATTCGTACGCGGCCGTATTTATAGACGATGGTAGGCTCCCACCAAAGTTGGTACCCAATCTGCTACATTGCCATAGTGTGAACTCCTAGTAGTTTTAGATTTTTTTAAGTAAGTAAGTAAAATTAGTAAATAGTCGGGAACAATACAGTTATGGATGCTATAAGCCTTTCATCTCCCGAGTGGCGTAAAAACGAGAAAGATATCGTTGTGTTTCCATATATCTATGGAAATAACGTTACCGAAATGTCCGATACCACACCTAAGATTATACCGATATGTTTACAAAATTGTATTTTTGTTATTATCTTAAAATGATGATTTCGATATATTGTATTCAAAATAATGAAAGCATACACAATGTATACGAACTAATAGTGCATGCCGTAGCAGGTATGTATAAAAGTGTTGCAATATGAAACAAACCATTACCCAACTCAAACTTAAAAATGCAATAGGGCCTGCGTAGGAGATTACACTATGTTTTAATATCAGGTAAAACGGTCAGTTTCGTAGGAGTTTACCCGTAGCCATATTCATTATCTAGGCTCACCAAATGCGGGTGTCGCAAAGACATAACTGCCTATACAATGCCTTCGCGTAAAAACGACGGATTAATCGCGTGTCGTGGTTCTAACTAAACTTACGAGAAATTATCTTGCTAATATTATTAATGCGAAAGTTTGATACCTACCCATTCACGCCAAAACTACTGAACGCATTGAATTGAAACCGGTAGTGTAGATACGGTATTTGTCTAGGGCGGTGGAGGGGTGAGGATAGAACTCAAAAGTCAATATTAATTATAATTGTAAATATATTTAATGGAAAATGTAATATTATTATTTATTATTTAAAATTTCATACATTTTTGGTTTTCAATTATGTTAACACGCGGGTTACAGCGTAATATTAAAATCGCAATAAAAAAGTAAAATATTTATTATAATACATAAATACAATATACAAAATCAACCAACGTTTATTATTGGCCAACTCATTATTTAAAACTGCAGGTACTGTGTTCAATGAATAGACAACATTGCAGATCCATTTAATCTTTTCAAAAAAATAAAATAATAGATGTTTATTGCATATTACATGTTTCTTCACTTAATCATTTTTATAAATAATTGAGTTTTGACATTACCTCTGATGTTGTATTTATAATAATATAATTATAACAATAATAATGACTTTATTTCAGAAATACAGGTTACACAATTCAGTTGAAACAAATATATTCCGACCCAACCAATATGTATTTACTTGTTTTAGGTTGAGTGAATCTTATTAATACAAAATAGAAACGGAAAGAAAAGTTTCATGTATTTTTTTTTAAGATAAATACAAATTAATAACGGTCTGATAAACTATATGATAATGGATTTTAAATAAGAGTTTATTGAAACTAAATACATTTGAATTATCTTTAAAGTAGAAAATGGCCTTTCAGTTGTAAATGTTGAAACTGGAAAGATTGTTAATATTTGAAGGAATTTCAATATGTTTGGATGAATGATGCAACAAATATAGCAAAAGCTTCCATAACATTTTTTGGTTTGTGCACTAGTTTATTGATTTTACGCCACCAAAGTTTTAATTCAAATAATAAAATAGCCTTATTATTTTGTCCTGAGTCTTCTTTATAAAAAATTGATTAAACTAGAAAACTATTATTGTTCTTCTGATGATATTTCTACAGGATTTAGAAATAATGCTTGAAAGCTCTTGAGTATTTTTTCATGCATAATAAATTTATGTTCAAGTTTAATTATAAATAAATCTAAGTATAGTATGAAAATTAATACTTCAACATTTTTTTAAATATTTTTTAGTTCAATAAATGTGTCATCAGCCAAATCTACAGCTGCTCTTAAATCAATAGGTAGGTACTTTGAAATTGTTTTGATAATGGTAAGTAATCAAATTGCAAAAACGTTGGATAAAATGAAGTGATACAGTAAATTCGCCTCAAAAACTCATAGTAGGTACCAACAATTTATATTCATAATCATGATGCTTTTTTTTTGGGGGGGGGGGTTAAACTTCCTACCACCTCCATATCTACACCACTGGTTGAAACTTTAAACTTAACATAAGTAGATGTAGTTCTATGACACTTCCTCCACCCATAAATCAGTTCTTGTGGGATGGAAATGAGGTGTCAAAATGTGTACAAAAAAATACATGGCAAGTACCTAGGTATATACATAATAAAATACACATACAATTATTAGTGGTAGGTACGATTAAAAAAAAAAAAAAAATAAAAAAAAATTGACTCTTGGAAGAGGGAGGCGGACGGTATTTTAAATGAATTATTATTAACACTGTTTTGTCCAAATTTTTGGGCTAATTACACTATTAAAAACAACGTTATCTTTTTAACTAAAATTGGTATATTTCGTTACTTACTTCTAAGAATATTAATTATTAAAAATAATTACAGGAATTTTAAAAGTTTATAATTTCGTTATTTATAATATTTATCGTACATCGAGGTATTAGACGTTTTACACGATATCAAAGCTCCGTGCAACGCTCAGCCGGTCTTAATGTTTTAAAGCGGTGTGTCTTAACTTATGTTCCGGGGACCACCAGTAGTCCGCGAGAATATACCTACATTTAGACAGAAAAAAGAAATAACGTAAAACAGTAGTGGTTGTCAGAGTTTATTATGGCGTTTATTTACACATTTATCGCACAGTACGTCACTTATGATTATTTTGTTTATTAAATGAAAACAAATCACAAATGGCATCACAAATTGTGCTCTGCATAATAATCTTAAACCGTGATATTTACCGATTATTTCGATAACGATTTGAACATAGTCGACTGGGTAAACACTCCGTACCAGATCTTCGAAACATTTAGACGAAAAAATGTAAATACTTGCACAGCAATGTATATAGAGGAGCAACAATGAATCCTCCACAGGAGGGACAGTCTGTTGTATATTTTGCCCCCCTCCCCTTATAGTATCGATTACGCATTAGTATAATATACACATATAATACATACTAGTGATAAAAACATATAATACTGAGGTAAACTGCTGTGATAGGAACGGGGTTTGAAACGGGGGATTACGGGAGGGTAACGCATTCGTTTTCGATCCATACCTACTGACACTGAGGAAAAAAAAAAAAACATTTTTAATGTTTGATATTGGTAGTACTTTCTATGTTTTAAAGTCTAGTCAGATTCAGATTGACTCGGGGAAATAAATATCAATCAATGCAATAAAATAAAGAAGCTCCCCCCCCCTTGGCTTCTCTAAACATTTTCTGTAATTTTGTGCGAATAATAATATTCAGAGTTAACTCCCGTCTCCCAGTCATCCATTAAACATAATAATATAATAGGTAATAATCTCCTTTAACATATTATTCTGTAATGTTATAATTTATTAAAATACGTATTCATCATTAATATGCATACAACACGACCCTGACATGAAAGTCGTTTCCGGTTGTTAAATTGTCCATTAGAAAATTGGATTGTTAAATTGTTGATAATAGTTATAATCAGTATATCAGTATTATCATTGTCGTATTAACTCGTACCTATATTGTTCTTTATCAAAATAAATATTGTGAACGAGTTGTGCCATTTTAACTTGTAACGACCATAATAAATACTTGCATACCTACTTCGTATTTTGCAACAAAATTCTATGTGTAGCATCATTACAGCTCTGTGCGATTAGATTGTTTTTTTTTTTTTGCACGTAAAACACCAAGTAAAATCGCGTTAACAGTTTCATGTGCCACTCAAACACTGGAAAATCTGCATTTGCGTTATCTTCAAAGGATTATTGAACTATTTCATGCTTAAACATCCTGTACAAGTACGTACCCATTATATTAAATAGGTATTTATAATGCAAAACCGTTGTATATGTATCTAATTCCATCAATTTCACATAGTTATTACCTATATAATAATAAATAGGGTTTATAGTAATTTGGTCTTCTATATTTTGTAACAAAAGTGTTGTTATCAATTCTTGTTTTTAACTCAGTTATAATTAAGATCACAATATTTTCATTACCACTACGACACACGTTATATTAATATATTATTAATACTTATTCGTAAGTTAAAATATAAATTCAAGTACTTATTAATCTCGTTGTGTGCGTTATGACAGAATGGTGCTTATAGAAAGATATTTTTTGATAGCTACCTATATTTGAATGGGTTTATATGTCATCAGAAATTATTTGTGTTATTAAATTAACTTTGTTTTGAAATTTTCTGTTCAAAATTCAACATTTATAAAATTCTTGCCGTGTTTTGTAACTATATAGTTACCTAAAAGTTGAAGTCTGTCTTTTGGGGTAAAAAAAAAAAAAATTGTCAAAATATCAAAAAAGGCCAAATAGTTTTTTTTTCCTATTTATCCAGTTACCCACTATCGAATTTGATGTTTTCTCATTTTTTGCCAAGATAGAAACGAGAGTATTTTCTATGATAAATATTGACTGCTTACTGATTTGACTGGGGCTGTCTGTCTCTTAGGATCAAAACTAAACATAAAAATATCGACAAAATGTTTCAAAGGTTTTCTCGAGTTTTCTATTCATATAGCGATCTGAATTAAAGTCAAACTGTAAGAATTTTAATTTTTCAGTTTTTAACCATTTTTGTCTACATTTCAAAATATTGCAGGGTGAATAGACCTAAAAAAAAAAATGGACTTATAATAGTTGTTTTCGATACTTTGCTATTTTTTTTTTATCCCAATAGCCAAACTTCAACCTTAGAATTTGGGTAGGTACATATATATTACCTGTTGTTGTTTGTACGTTTTTATCCTAAAAATATTATTTTCAGCTTTTCACCTTTTTTTATACCTTAAATAAGTAGGTATACACTTTTGATTTTGAATAACAACCCCTTTTTTAACAGATTTGAATAGAGATTATTTTTTCTAAAAATGTCTATATAAAGTTTATAACACCGTTTATTTGATATGACTAAAATATTTGTGAAGGTTAACTAAATAATAAACTTTATAATCATTTTTAGATGATAACGATAACTCTTCCCCATACCTTTGGTCTAGATTGTAAACTGTTATTTATTAAACAACTGGTATTGTTATAACTCATAAATAGTAAATCCTATTTAAATGTTATGTATATCAACAATTTTAGAAACCAATTCTTTATTCAAATTTGTGTTTAAAAGGTGAAGCACTATTTGGGTGTACAGTATACACTCTTTCAAGGACAGATTGGTATACATTTAAACTGGTTTTATATTAATTATATAACTGTTACAGTCAGAGAGTAAATCACTGATTAATATTTTGTACACCAAATTCCAGAGTCCAGCCCTATACTTATTTAAGATATAAGAAGCTAGGGGTAAAAATTTGAATTTAGTGTTAACATAAAGCTTAAATGATAGAAAAAAAGAATTTCAATTGCTGGATCATGAAAAATTGATCATCATGTATATCCTTCCTAAATTCCAGGAAGCACCAAGAAACTACAACAATATTTTTTACTAAGTTATTACATTTTGACCATTAAATGCTTAGCTTTTAAGTACAAAATTGAAAGTGTGTTTGTATTGTTTGGTATCATCTTAATTATTTGTTTAATTATTTTAAGTGAGCTGTTACTTATTAGAAGAGAGGGTGTTTGAAATGGAAAAATTTATATTTTATGTGATACACAAGTTTTACATTTTAACAGTTATATCTGTTTTTACTGTTACTTGTTTAATGGAATACAAATCTCAAGTATTAATTAATATATATTGTTAGAAGGTGTTAAGATAACTTGACTATTTTATTAGTTAAAAAGTAAACATATAACTTATCATATTTTAGATTAATTATAAATTAATATTGTTATCATACATCTCCTTCTATATAGGTACAACTACGGTTTTATAGATAGATCCACAGTTGAAATATACATTTATATAATATTTATACAATATATATTTTAATCATGGTAGATAACCACGGAACAAAAATAATATTTTAGTTTATACACAATGTCATGTATATGTCATATAATAATATAATATATTTACTAGTATTATTATAAAACTAGATTTATAAACTAAACATACATAATAGAAGTTATTAACTCAAATTTAAAGTAGGCTTAAGATAAGCAAGTAACAACAAAGAAATATAGTGTATATTTTTATTTTTAAAAAAAAGAAAAGAAATATTTTCAAGTTAAAATAAATCTCAGTGGTTTTCTAACTGCTTTACCCGATTCTGATGTAATTTGTGTGGGTTTAGGTATTATACCAGTGGTTTTCAACCTTTTTAACAATGTAGCACCCCTATTCTCCTACAAAATTTTCGCGGCACACCAATTCATATAATACGTGAAGCATATATTTTTTAATATAATATATATATATTTAGGTACACTGTTTACAATCTACTGTATTAGAGGGTTAATTATTATGAAATAAATTAATACAATGATGAAAAAATGTGTTGGCAGAAATATTTATTTTTAAAAGATAATAATGTTGTACATGAAGTATAAATTTACCGATTAATGAGATTGTTGTGCTTGTCGTGTGGAGCACAAATGTTTTATTCTAGAATGAGTAAAACATGAGAACAGTCGACAAGCTTACTCTCAGTTCTTCTATGGATCTAAGTCGTTTTCTTTTTTTACTTTTTATTATTGTGACTGCTGAGAATCCTTGTTCGCATAGATATGATGTGGAGAATGGTAGTAAAATTGTTATTGCTTTTATAGATATTTCAGAAAATTCTGCTTGAGCATATATCCAAAATTTGTTAACTGTCATTTCTTTAAATTTTAACCTATTAATAGATTTATCTTATCTCGGCACACTTCAAGGGCGCTCGGTTGAAAACCACTGTATTATACTAATTTTAATTTTTTATTGTTAACTGTGGGTATTTCTTCTTTTTGGGTTTGTTTTAAAATTTAAACATTATTTTTTAAACATTTGTTTTATATTTATTATAATGATTATTTTAAGAGTTTTACCTTTTTCTAATAGTATTACATAATATCTATGTCTTTTGAGTTTACAATTATTACACCTCTCATAAAGTCATTCTTTTTATCATTCGCATTAAAATATTTTACCCAATTTAGAAATTTTTATCATAATAATCATAATCTTTATAGTGATATCCTATTATAATAATTTTTTTATTTTTAAACATTTGCTCTTAGGTAATTATATTCAATTTAATTATTAAATTATAAATTATAGTTAATATCTTACTGCATAATTTTAAATTCATTAACAACTGTGTAGGTGACAAATAGTTTAGGTACTTGTGTGTTTCTGTAACTTTAATGATAAATATCAATGTGATCACCCTTTTCAAAATATTTTTGTATTATTTGTATTCTTTTTTTAGCTATACAAACTGCTTTGTCAGTGTTCAAAAGTCCAACTTTTAGTAAAGTTTCACAACTCCCTATTTCTAAATAACATATTATCTGTTATCACCTCCATTGTCATTCTAAATTTACTAAAAATAATTTTCATTTAGGTATTATTGTTGAAGTATCCTTATTTTGGCAATTTTCAGCCAATATAAATAATAGGCAACAGTTATTAAATTATTATAACACTTCAATTCTGCAATATCTAAATCAATTTTGAAAAAGGCCTTAGGTATTTCATGATTTAGTAAATGTAGTTTATCTCAACAATGTAAAAAAAAAAAATCAAATTAAAGTTAATTTAAGTTGTTTAATCTGGATAAGATCTCATTTGAAGCCACCCTAGAGAAATGCAAATCCGTCATTATAGATGCTCCTAACATATATTTTGATGACAATACTATAATCCCCTATGTTTCCAATATTACTTATTTAGGTTTTCATTGGGTTCCATATATCACATCGCTTGCAGCTACTGTTTCTTGATGATCAAACTTTCTTAGGAGCGTTATCACTTATTGTAAATCTTAATCCAAACAGTTACTTAATAGCTCCCTACTCCCTGTCTTGCCTACTATCTTTCTAATCTAACCTTTTTAATTCCAATATTTCTCCCCTTGTTCTTTATATTAAACAACTTACCCTCAATCTTCATCAGTCAAATTATTACATTCAATTTCTTTGGATTCCTAGTCACATAAGAATACATAGAAATAAGGTAGCCAAAATCTACATCCAATTTAATCTGTTCCTCTAGTATCCAATTTCCTCATACTGATTACACCCCATTTATACGTCACCACACAAAACACCTCTGGTCATCCCATTGGTCAAATCTTCATGCAGAATTCACTGTCAGATCTAAATATATTGTTCCTATTATTCCTCATAATACTTTAAATACTTTTACCTGCCCACACATTCAAATAAGACTTCATCTCCACTCTGCACTTAATATTTAACAGAAAGTGCCTGTGACTTTTCCTACATTCTTTTTGATTGTCCTTCCCTGCACATAAAACACACTATATTGTTTAATTTCTTAAAAGCCCTTAATATCACCCCAAAAATTATATTAATAATAATATATAATATTAATTATATTATTAATAATATATATTTTTGTCTTACCATATTTTGTACAATTATTTATAGTTTTTTTTTTTTATAAAACATTTTAGTTGTAAATTTCACTTTTTATTGATATGTATTGCCTGTTTATGACTGTGCCATTTTCATTGGTTTTTATTTAATAGAATACAAGTATTAATTAATATCTAATTTTTGATTTTATTTCCTAATTATTTTATTAGTTAAAAAGTGAACATATATGTCTTATTATATTTTAGATAACCATACATTATTTTAGAAATTGTAATTATTTATTAAATTTATGTTTATAGATTATACAAAACCCCTTGAAATGACAAATCCAGATAAATATATATGTAAATTACGTAAGTATAATTTTTAACTTAAATATAACATACAAATTAATTTAAGTTTACTTTTTAGAAGTAATAATAAATACCTAGACAGTTTTGTGTAAGTTACAGGAATTTGTGTCAGTAGGTACCTATTATTATTTAAAAAAAGTGAATGTGATAATAAATTATTTTCAATAATTATATTCAGTGATTAAGAATAACAATTTAAATGACAGTGCTTTTACTATTATTTTGTTTTAGTTATATGCAATTTAAAGATTAAATATTTTTTAAGTTAGTAGGTATCATAATTTGTCTAATATTTAGAATAACTAAGTACAACTTCCTGTGTATTTTATTTTATTACAAAATGATTGCCAAAACAATCTCTGTAAAACTATTAGCTCTTTAAAGTAATTAAAATCTGTATTTATTAAAATATGATTTTCTTTTGTAGAAGAGTTTGTTGCTCATAATGAAAATGTTACTTGTTTGGCAATTGGAAAAAAAAGTGGGTTAGTTCTAGCAACAGGAGGTTCTGATAAAATCGTAAACCTTTGGAAAGTGGATAGTAAAACATGTTTTATGGTAATATTTTATTTTAAATCTTACGTTTATCAAAATGTTAAAAATAAAAAGTAAAATCTATTTTATGTATTATACATAACAAAATTAAATTGTTTTATATAGAGTTTATGTGGCCATGTAACTCCAATTGAATGTGTCCAATTCGATTCATCAGAATATTTAGTTGCTGCTGGGAGTGAAACTGGAAGTTTAAAAGTATGGGATTTAACAAAAGGGAAAAAAGTTAAGACATTCAGTGGCCATAAGTCAGCAGTTACTAAAGTTGATTTTTTCCCATTTGCATCATCATCTTATTTTGTAACTGGGTCTAAGGACACAAATGTTAAAGTATGCAATTTATTTGTAAAGTATTAAAATATGTTATGTATTAATTCATGATGGGTATTCTACTCAGTTGTGGGACTATCGTTATTCACATTGTATAGGAATGTACAAAGGGCATGAAGCATCAATATCTAGTTTAAAATACAGCCCTGATGGATTATGGATTGCGTCAGGCGATGTTGAAGGTAGTATTAAAGTAAGTAATGTATCATGCGACTGTAGACATGCAGATTACAATTACTATGATTTATGACAAAACAAATTGAATAGTGATCTTTCATGGTTTTATTCAAAATTTAAATGTTAATAACAATTTTTTTGTTATAGATTTGGGATTTACGAGTTGGACGTATGATTCATGCTTTTAATAAGCTCCATAATGGTGTTGTAACATCAATACAATTTCACCCATTAGTCTTTTTACTTGCAAGTAGTGGGACAGATAATAAAATTTATGTTTTAGATTTGGAACAGTTTTGTATAATTTCACAAATAGATACAGAAAAATCAACAATTAGGTAATAATTACCAAATATTACTGTTCATTACAATAATATAGTAATAGTATAGTATAGTATTATAGTACATTTATTTTTAAAGAAAAATAATTTAAACTAAATTGTTACAATTTTTTAAATCAAACTTTTAGATGCTTACAATTTAATGACAGAGGAGATGTTTTATTTGGTGGTGGTACAAATTATTTTGGTGTATTTAGCGTAGAGCCTACCAAAATTTATGATTCAGTTACTACAAAATGGGGAAATTTGAATGAATTTGTTGTTAAGGATAATAAAATCGTATGTTAATCAAATAATAATTTTTCTTTTAGAATTAAGATTTTTAAATTATATAAATATTTAATATTATATAATTTTTATAGTTTTGTGTTTTTATCTATTAATAAGAAGATTAAATTTGTTTTTTTAATTAATCAATTAATAAATATTTGTTCAAGATTAAATAAAAATCAATTTTTATAGATTAGTGCATCACATTCGTCTACAGATGTTTCAACATGGTTAATCAATTTACCTGAAGAATATCCTTTTAAAAACCAATTTTCACCCATAAATAAGTTTTCATCACAAACTAATACAATGTTTACAAGAGATATTGGTGTGCGAAAAAGTTTCAATAAAGAAAAATCTAGAGAAATGATTAAACCTAAGTAAATATTAACAAATAAACTTATTTTTAAATTACAATTAAAAAATATATATTTATATTTCACAATGCAACATTTGTGCTTCATCCCAATGAAATTCATAAAAAAAAAAAAAAAAAAAAAAAAAAAATGACATTCAATGCATTTTGTTTTTAGTATTCTATTTTTATTTGTTTGTTGATATACTGTTAAATAATTAAGAACTAGGAATCATTTAAGCTATAAATCACTCTATGACTCAATTTGAAACTAAAAATATGGCCTCAAAATATGTTTTTTTAAATTTTTAATATGCATCTAATCACAAGCTATCATTAGTTTTGTGTTTATTCAGAAATTGGCCTATAAAAATTGACCCAATATTAAAATTAAAAAAGCTAAATACAAGAAATAAGTATCTAATATTATTTTATCCAAGATATTTAGTTATTATACTATGAAAGTGGGAATTATACAAATATATAATTTAAAAAGGAAATTACTCAGATCAGTTATGATAATGTGCAGAGGATATAAAAAATATTTTTTGGTCATAATTCAGATGCACTGAAAATTTAGTAAAATTGAGACATTTAAATATGGAAAAATAATAGTACCTTTGTATTAGTTAATGTATTTGTATTAAATAGATTTTATCATTATTATTTTATTATGAAATACTTATTCAATTGTATTTGTATTCAATATGTTTAGAACAAATATGAATTTAATTGATGAATCTGAAACTGATATCGAAGATGAAAATCAAACTGTTATCACAAATGTTCAAGATTACCATTCAGTATTTAAACCAAATAGAACATGTATGTATTTTTGAATATCTATGTGTGAATAATCATATTTCATAACTGGAAAATTAATAACGTTGTTTAATTGTAATTTAGCATTTAAACCAAGTAGAATATGTAAGTATGTTTATTTGTCTGTGTGTTACTGTTTATACTTACATTAAATTTAGAAAACATTGTTAATTAAATAAGTATTTAACCTTTTGAGGCATTGTGGTATTATAGTGAAAAAATTTTCTTTTTTTAATGTAATATGAGTGCTTAATTTTAATATTTTCCAAAATAAAATTAATGTGTGTCTCAAAGGGTTAAAATAAATAATTTTGAACAAAATAAAATTACATTTTATTATTTAAAAATATATTGATATTCTATTATGGTTTAAATATAATATACATATTAAAATGTGTATTTTTCAGTAAATAGAAGTCCGCTAATATTTTCACCATTATCTGAAGATGGTAATTAAAGATTTTTAAATTATTTAATTTCAATTCTATTATAATGTTCAATATATATTTCCAGATTTGCCCAGTACAGGCAGTACTGAATTCACTCCTGAGGGTATGCAAGCAATATCAGCTAATTAATATATTTATCATGCACTTCATATATAATATTAAATATTATAAATGTATGTATTTTCAGTTAATACAAATGAACATGAAGTTGAAAGTTCCCTAAAATTGTTAGAAAGAAAACACAGTTATGGTAAATTAATGATAAATATTTGTTTAAATTAATTACTGCTTATATTAACCAGGTATTTTTAAAGGAACCACACAATCCAGTTATTCTGAAAATGAAATATCATTACAAGATTCTCCACCTAGTGATTTATTGACATCCTCCCAGTCTGAATCTAATGAATACCACACACCTTTTTCACCCAACAATTTCACAAATGGAATTACTAATGATATTGTCAATCCTTTTATTTCTTCAATTTCAATGCGTAGTATATCTACTAATGTAGTTAAAGAAAATATATTATCTAAACGACCTTCTTCTTTGCCAGTATTTAGACAAAATGGTTTGTGTTTTATATTAGCTGAATAATATAATAGACATGTTTAATACATTTTATGTGTACTTTAGATCATTTTAATTTTGGAAACAAGTATACTTCACCTCAGTCTCAAAGAAAAATTAGTTCTGATGAAATATCATCATTACCTCAAGAAAAACAAATATTGATTGATGAATCCACAATGTCACCAGAATATCAAAAGACTGATAATATGTCCATGAAGTTTGAGCCTACCCTAGACACCTTTAAAGATTTAAGTATGGTTTATACGAAGGTAAGTTAATTCGATTTAATACTCTTAGGCCTTTGTTACACTGGGGCGACAAAACGTTGACGCAATATAAAAAAATAGTTGCCAAGTAAAATATTGTACGACCTGCATACTAGAGTTTCTCAGTAGTTATCATGTTATCTTCTGAAGATGATGAATATTGTATTATATCATATTGGTATCAAAACCATAAAATTAAAAATAATAGAAGATATTGGATACATACATAATAATGTTAATTGTCAAATTTTTTTTGTCGCTAATGAATTAATACAAGATGAGGAAAAATAGTTAAATTATATAATAATAATTTACATTATTTTTATTAATTATATTATATTTTTTATATATATTATTATTTATATTATATTATTTTATTAATTTATTATAGTATAAAACAGTATTAAATAGTAGTAGTAAAAATATAGTCAGATATGGTACCTATAGTTATTTAATATAATATATTATATTATACAAAAAACATTGTTGACAAGGCAACTTTTACCAGTCGCTTACGATTAGTTGCTTTCATGTCACATCATAATCGCATCCCATCGCAGTGGGAAGTCTCTGATATATTAATCTGTGTTTTATAAAACAAACGATTATCACACAATATTTATTTATGATCGCATTACATCGCCCTAATGGGACAACGGCCTTAGTATTTCAGATCAATAATTAATATAGCTGTATTCTAAAAATTTGTATCATTTTAATCAATCATTTTTAAAATGTTATAACATTAATGTTTTAGAATCTAAGAAATATAAAGTCTGAAGAGGATATTTTGCAATCTCTATCAAGAAATCATAAAAGTATTATGCGTGTGATCAAAGATAGGCAGCACAAACTTAATATTATTCAAACTCTATGGACTAATAAAGATTTTAAAGTATGTATTATATTATATTTTTCTACTTACAATTTAACCTAGATTCATTAAAAACATATTTTCTATACATTTTTAGTCTGCTGTAAATTATACAGTTTCCATGAATGATTATGTAGTGTTGATAGATCTTATATCAATTTTAACTCAGCGCCCGTAAGTATTTTGTGTAATTATTGCATTATTAATTTTAAATACTATGTTTTATAGAGCGAATAATATAATTATAATTTTTTTACAACTTTTGATTATAATAAGTTATTAAAAAGAGTCCAGATTTGTACTGATTTTTTTTTGTAAATATGCAGTTTATCATAAGTGAAGATGTTGATGATTTGTTTAGCAGAATATGCATGCTAAAAAGTATTGTTTTTCATATGTTTAATAAAAAGTTCATTTAAATAATTTATTTTTACATACATATTTCAATGTTTTTTATGCATGAGTCATGATAATGTATATTATTTTAATCTTTTTAAGTGTATACAAATCTTATCATAAGTAATAACTAAGGTAATTTTTCATTATTTCGATTACAAATCACCACACTTTGTTATCACAGCAGTGGAGATTTAGTAGATTGTACCCTTTTAGTGTTATTATTTTTCTTTAAAAATATGATACTATTATAGATTTAAAAAAAAAAATTTGGATCACAGATTTGTTTATTTCCATTTTTAGTAATAAATAAAGTAAATAAATATAGTAAAGTTTATATATAAAAATAAAATAAATAAATAAATATGATAAGTGTATTATATGATCAGTTTTGAATAAAAAATTCATCATCAGGTATATCACAGTCAAAATGTAAAAGGCAACTCATTATGAAAAATTAAAAGAAAGAATACATAGAAAAAAAATTATACAAATTGGTGGTTTTACATAGATACAGAAACAATTTATTTTAATAGGAGAGATTATTTAAAATTAGTTATTAGACAGATATGTTAAGAAATATAAATTATTTGGTTATTATTTATTATCTAAAATGTATTGATATATCTTATATATTATTTTAAAATCCATTCGAACATTTAAAATATTATTAAAATTACTTTTTTTTATTTCATTGTGTATGTGTAATTTTTCTAAAACTTTAATTTTTAACGCCATTTTTTAAATAATAGCACTTCAGTGTGCTGAAAAAAAAATTTCACAATTTCATTATTTTATAAAAACAGAAGACATTTTCTACCAGAAAAAAAGATTTAATCGAAAAATTGCAAATACCTCTTTTTTGTTGTAATTTGGTTATAAATATACATAGAGACTTGAAACTTGGTAACAATACTTACATCAGACTTAAATTTCCAAAATCATCAAATGACTTTTTTTCCTATTTTTAATTTTTTTACAATGATATTTTATTTTTTTACTGTAGACCTCTTTTATCCTAGAAAATTTGCTTCAGTGTATAAGTCTAGCACTTTTTCTGAAAGTTAATTTTATTTTCTTGGTAAATATATAGGTCATTTTTTGATTTTCAAAACAATATTGAAAACAAAAATGATAAACCGAAAAAAAAAACCATTTTTTCATGATTTCATTATTTTAAATAAGTACCCACCACGTTTTCTAGCACAAATATGGCTCCAATTGTAAAATGATAAGAGAACACATTTTATTGAATTTTTTTTTAAAACAATAATATTTAAAAACATTAAAATAAAAAATTATGTATCCTACCTTCTCAACTTCTCACCTATATCAGCTCCCATGCCCAGTTTTATTTCTTTTTTTTATATTCAATCTTTTTTTACATTTTTACTGTGATATACCTGATGATAAATTATTAATTTGAATCTGGTTGTATAATACTTATTATAATACTTTAGGTGCATGGATTCATTTATTTATTTATACAAGAATTAACCATTTTAATAATTTTGTTTTTATTTTATTATTTTATTTTTCATTAACAGTTACCATCACAATTAATCAAAATAAAATATAAAATGTTATAGTAAGACTTTGTGGTAATAAGCCAGTTTTGTTATTAGATAAGTGAGTGACAATTAGTTGTGGCATCAACCAGTAGTCAAAATAATGGAATAGTTCTAAATCTAATTACTAAAAGTTGATTATTTTAGTTACATTTAATATTTGCATATTTAGGTATTTTATAAAAATATTTAATTAAATTACATTTTCTTTGAATTATCATATCATTTTCAATAAATCTACAGTTGTAATAAAGAAAATACTAAATACAATTTTTATTATCATGTTTATAAACTTTATTTTTAAAAATGAATTTTATTTTTATTACAGAAAACTTTGGTCTCTAGATGTTTGTAACATGTTACTACCAACAATTTTTTTTTTCATTAAAAGCGGCAATGAAGAGTAAGTATTCACACAATCATAAATACCTAAGCTTTTATTAAAAAAAATAACAAATTATACAGTAAAATAATTGCTATATTATTAGTTATTTGCTACTTTTTAGAAGATAAAACTGTATTTTTACAGCCTTAAAATCATTTATAAATAGGTTCTTATACCTTGTTTAATTAACCTTTAATTACAATAAACATTTTGTGTGAATTAATAATATGATAAAAACAAATCTTTTCATAAAATTACTGAAGGCAATATTCTGAGCTCTAATTATACAAGAGAAGATTATAAAGTATTAAAATTCAATGAATCCACCTAATTTTGAAATAACTTTTATTCTATTCAATATTTTATCATAATAACTTCTAGAGCCTTGTGCTATGATTCCTTTACTTTTTACAAAATCTAATATAGTATGAATCAAAATTTGGTGTTACAAACATTTATTAATGAAGAAATGATTTTACAATTTTTGAAATTTACAAAAATAGACAAATTAATGAATCTCCATGTTTAAATAATATTAGCATCATTATTTTTACCAAGATTTTACACAGTTTAGTCATATTTTTTGATATATATTAGACTAAATGTTGGGATAAAAAGTATTTTACCTGACTAGGGGAAATAATCCATTTTACTTTGAACTTCTTATAGAAATAGGTTCAGCCATTTTAGAGATTAGCTCAGACAGACACTTTTATTTTATTTATGCCCATAGATTGTATGAAAAAAATACAAATGACATTAATAAAAGTCATAATAAAAAGTAATAAAAAAAGTCATTTTTGATTTCCATTTTTAAATACCTAATTTTAAGACTTATACATAATGAACCCAAATCAAGTGGAATAAGTTAAAAAATATTTTTGTTCCATTTTTAACTTATTCTGGCCCACTATACATTGTTTTTAAACTAATAAAAGACTAAGACAATAAGAAGTAACAGTAAATAAGTACATTAAATAATATTGAGTTTTATAATAAATATTATTTGAAACACTGGTTTAGAAAAAAATAAATATTTTATTAATTTTTAAATATAAATACTATTAGTAAAAATATGCAAAAATTGATGCACTTTTTTTCTAAAATTAATGTAACATGTAAGATATTAATTTTATATGTTTGATTTTTAAATTTTCTATTGTATAGAAAGAATTTCTATCTTGATCTGCTATGAATCCAGTGCATACAGAAAAACATGCAACTCTTGCAATTTTTGAGCCCTAGTAATAACAATAAAATCAATTCTAATAAAATTAAACATAAAAATTTTTTTAGAAAATGATCCATTCATCAATAATAAATATTTGTGAAAATCAAGTTTTTCATTTTGTTTCACAAAATTTAAAAACTATACTCAATAGACAAATAATAGCACAAGTTTGTTGTCATTATTACAATAAAAAAAATAAAATAAAACAAAAGTTATTTCAAGTATCAGATCTGTGTGTTATATATACTATACAATTTTCCCATCAAGAATACCTTAAATGGTGCTAAATAAATTAATAAATAATGTTTATAAATTTTGATTTATAAAATTAATATTAACAATTATCATTTATTTATTGTTGATTGTAATGACATAAAGTGTATTTTAATTCTGTTTTTAGATTCGTAAATGTGAGTTTTAAAGCCATTAGAGATATCTTGCAGTATTTTATGCCAGTCATTATGAATAATATACAAAATCCACCTTCTGGAATAGGAGTTGACTTAATGCAAGAAGAGAGGTTAGTATTTTATTCAAAACAAGTAAGATTATGTTTATTTATTATTTACATCAGCAGATGCAATTCTAATAAATAAAATATACAATGCTTCAATTACTAAAAATATATTAAAAATTTAAAATATATACATTATGCATACTGTTAATGCTGTTCAATTAACTTTTATTTATTATTTAATCAATATTATTTGATATGCTTAATAAAAACTGAAAATCTGCAAATTAATTAGTGAATAAAAATGCTGACGGGTGTACCATTATGATAGGTGGGAATTTGAGATGAATGAATACATAAAATTATTTAATTTATGTCTGTTATCACTGATAAACTATTGCTGAGCTATAGAATTTAGCTTAAAAANATAAAATACAATAGTAAAATATTACAATTTCTTTTTGTAGACAACTTTTCTAAGTTCAATTATGCTTCGATTTTCAATCATAGCACTTTTTTTAAAGGGAAATCTGACCGAGGAGGTACTTTAAAGAGGTCAGTTTTCGATTTTCTCAAGAGTTTCGCCAGTCAATGTGAAAAACCAGAATAAAACCCGGCAAAATCGGCAAAATCAAACAAATTTGAATAAAGAAAATATATAGTCTATTTAATTATTACACTATGAGATGACATATAAATTGAAGGCAAATCATCACTATCAACTGAACTCCGATTACAATATGTTTTTCATAAGCAATGGTTTATCGTTGCTTACAGGTATATATTAAATTATGTATTGCAGCAGGTACACCCGTCGACATTATCCTAGGACGGTTTTTTTTGTATTTAATGATATATTAAATTGGTATTCCTATAGTAGGTCAGAATACCACCATTATTCATTTATACGTACGGGCGACAGTAGATGCGATGTATTTTTAAATATTGTTCGTGTAGGTTGGATATTAAAATACGGATAAACGTCATCATATAATGACGTCATACGTACGAATATAAATACAATACGAAAGACATCCGTACGATCAATGATTCGTATATCTAAATTTCGTATATTCGGTTATACGAGTACCAAATTATGTTCGTATATGAATGACGTAATCGTACGAGGTACAAAAGATACATCGATGTACCAGGAGCGCAGGACTGGGACGTTATTGCCGCGACTATTCGTAACGGTCGTCGCCCGAACGATATAGCTGCGACGAGTCACAGTTGTCGGCGGCTGAACAATATTCCCGCGACGAGTCGTCGGCGGCAGCCTTCGCCGCCGCAGCGCACAGGGACCCTCATGATCTCCTGGTCCATTATAAAATTCTCGTTTCGATGCCGACCCCAGTCGAAATAGTCCGCCCTAGAAAAAAGTATCAAAACGTTAATAATTCTTATTCTTATTTATTATTTGAATTGTATTACCTTGTTATAATATGATGCTGTTTATCGTTGTTTTAATTTTGAACCTGTATGAACAACATTTTAAAATATGTAGCCTACATCGTACCTCTTTAACTTACTCTACTTACTATATGAACACTATATAAACATATTATACATAAAAATATTGTATTATTTACATTTAAATTTCTAAGGATAATGTGTCTATTACATAATTATAAAATAAATAGCTACGTACATCAAATTGTTAAATAATATATTTAAATTTCTAAATATAATATGTCCAACATATCCAACACTATAGCATTGTCGAAAATTATACTTTATTTGAGTAGTTACCAAAAGCAAACAATTGCCAATACTAAATTTGTTGAATTTTAATCTTATATTACTACTATGTGTATTAGAATTATGTTCAAGTTGACATCTTTATCAATAAATGTATAAATGTAAATTTTTAAAATTTAATCTTCATTAATTTCAGGTATAACAAATGTCGTAAGTGTCATAATATTCTTATGAATATTAGGTCCTTTGTGTTGAAGAGGCAAACAGTTCAAGGAAATTTGGGAAATGTATTTAGACAGTTGCATATGCTTCTACAAACAATAGATATATTTTAGAGAAGTAATTGTCAAATTTTTTTTTTGTGACAACACACTTATGTTATTAGATTGTCAATATCCAGTTTTGTTATTAATAAGTTAAAGTGAAGGAATTTGTTTAACAATCTACTTTTCTTCTTTATCTTTTTTTTTAATTTTTAAACCTTAGCTAATTATACTGTCTGTATGTAATATTTATTTTCATCATTAATTTATAATTATTTTTCTAATCCACAGTAACTGAACTATAAGTATTATGTACTAATTATAATAGTATCATTCTAGCTTTTTTACCAATGCTTTGTATAATTTTTTGTTATGTTATTTGTTTTACTTCTATTATATAAACACATTTCACAGTGTTTTGGAAGCCATGCATGAATTTTTGTTTATTGTTAGTTTTTTTTTGTACTAATCACATTAGTCACTGATAAATTAAAAACATTTTTGGATATGTTATATAATACAATATACACTTGTACATTCTAAGATGATAAAATGTATACATTTTTTTCATTTTCTGAAATTAAATAGGCGATATAGTTTTTACATTTATATATGAGTGTGATTTTTGTGCTATTTTAAAAAAGGCCTTGCTATTCACAATTAATAAATTGTTAATAATATGAATTAAAAATGATAATGCACACTTAAGGGATTTCATAAAATAAATTATTAATATTATACATATTATATTTTTAATTTTTTACATTGAATTGCTGACAAATTGTACTTAAATTGACATCAATATTGTACAAGAATTAACATTTTAAGTGTTCTAATATTAAATTTTTTTAAAACAGACTCCGTCCAATTAATAATTTTACTACAATGTGCCTACAATTTGTTATTTTATTTTTATTAAACTACTAAACATTAATTATTTCAAAGAAAATGAATTTCCAATTCTCAAAGCATTATATTATATTCTATGTTTTTATTTAAAGGAAACAATTTTGTACAATATTTTTTATTTGATTGTAGCTTTATTTAAGCGATCTCATCTCAGATTTTAATCAATATATATATATATATATATACATATATATATACATATTTAAACTAATATAATGGTTTTATTTTTTAAAACCAATTTGTAAATATCTGTCTTTGCATTATTGTTTGCATTTCACTTATTAATAATTCTATTTGGTTGCCATCCATTGGTTTTTCTGTACTTAATTAGTTTTAATCAGTATATTACAAAGTCACAGAAATTGGGAGGTTAGAGAGCCCTATTAACAAGTTGACTGCCTTATGCGTCTTATCTAACTCTAACTTATTTTAGTAAAATTTGATACAGAATATCATTAAACTTCATATGAAAAGCATAAGAATCTATTTTTGTTTAAATAATACCCAAAGTGTTTATGACTAAACTTGTTGTATTGACTAGAGCATGGTTGACCCAATTAGGTGAACATTAAAACTAACTGATGCAAGTATTAAAGAAGTATTCTAAAAAATGCAAAGACAGTCCATCTTGTTTACAACTATGAGTATTTATTTTGTAATTCAATCTTGAAATGTATATATTTCAGCTAAATTACAAGAAAAAGTTTGATTTATTTATTAAAATTGTTTTTTTATTCAGATTAATTTCTCATTGTTGAGTTGAAAAAGACTCTACAATTTATTTATGATTAATATTTTGTACATGTCCTTCCAGTAAAAATTCTGGGTCACTGGTCTCAATAAAACAATTGGTTTTGAATAGCTAGGTAATTGTTCGATTTCTTTTAAACAATTCTGGTTTGAATGAATATTTTTATTTAACAAAAACTTTGTTGAACTAGAAAATAAAAAAAAAAAACAATGAGAATATAACCGTTTGTTTAATAGGTAGTTTTGATCAATTTTAACCCTTAATTATTGACTAACAGTTATTACAAAGTTTAAATTTGTTTTAATAAATGTAAATCTAATTGAACATTACCTATGTACTTGTATTTTTCATTAATACTGCTAACTGTTATTCAGATCAATTAACTTAATAATAATGTATAAATTAAGTTTATCGAATAGTTATATGGTTTACATCAAAATGCCTATGTATTGGTTATATTAACTCTATATTAATTTTAACAAACTGCTGCCTGGTTGATTTTATTTAATTTATAATTTAATAATTAATTAATATTTTATTGTGTGAAATGAACTGTACACTATATTATTTAATAACTTATTAGGTACCTAGGTACACAATTAATTTGTAAACATTTTTATACAATTATATACATTAGTGGGTATTTAAAATGTTAATCAGTAAAAAACTTTTATGTATTATTTAAAAAAAATCATGTAATTTTTTTCTTCTGTGAGTTACAACTGTCTAATTTTAACTTGTGTAATTAACTTTGTACAAATGAGACGAGCTTATGTTGCTCTTTTGATTATTGCTATTTATTTAAAAATACAGTAAACTAACAAAATCTTGTTTGTTTTCAAATTAATGGCGATGCTGCCTAATTAACTACCCACTTACAGTTAGCCATATTTTTTACTGAAATTGTTTGATAACTACCTACTCAAATCGTAATTGGTAAACATGTGAGGCGTACTTCACGTATAATTTGTGGAGCTCTAGTTGAATAAATGTTATCAAATACATTTGATACTATTAATACTAGGGATGGGCCGATACAATTTTTAAGATTCATGATATTCTGATAGATTATGCCAATGCCTGATATCCGATAATTGATAAATGGTGAAATTAACCGATATATTGGTTGAAAATTCGATTTATTAATATTTTTTTTTTCATAATACAATGACAATACCACCCATATCAAGTATCAGTATATGTATCGACCCACCTCTAAAATACCTTCAAATGACATGTCAGCAAATATTTTCTAAAATAAATGATAGAACTATTGATCAGTCCCAAATAGTTATTGACAAAGTCGACAGCAGGTACTAATAAAATGTTATGTCTTGCCTGTCCTGCTGTAATAATACAAACGAAAAAGTACCTATTTGAGAAAGGGAATAGATTTTAATATCACAGACTTGAATTGATACATTTCTAATTATATTGTGTTTTTAAATAATTTATATTACTTTATATTTCAAAATAATTTTGAAATTTTCTTTTGTTTTACTTGACAAAATATTAATTGTATACAATAAATATAATATACTTTTTAGTAAGTGCTGAAAACATACATATTTTTACTTACGATTCGATGATCTAAGTTGTTTGTGCAATTAATAATAATATTAAAGTAGTGTTACAAATATATGATCAAATGCACTTTCGAAAATCTGGTTGCCAGCAAACAATTAAAAAATATTTTTCACTTTCGGTTCGGTCTTCGGTTCTGGTTATCAATTTATCAAATACTAAACAGTAAATAAAACGTTTTGGCAATGTTTTAACAAAGTAAGTAGGTACCAGACAATGCAGCAAACTGTTTACCGAAACCACATCGCCAAAATACGTAAACTTCATTTGTTTTAAAGTCAATTCAGAGACTTAATAATTGTATATTTATTGACGAAAAACACGGTTTTCGCTCTGGGCGTTCTGTCACGGCTTGTAATTTAATTTTTACTGAGTACGTTTTTGAGGCCTTTAGCAAACATTCGCAGGTTGATTCCATTTATTTGGACTTCACCAAGGTATTTGATCGCGTGAACCACCGTGCTTTGTTGAAAGTTTTGTTAAATCTGGGGCTTGGTCCCGTTCCTATTTGACGGAGGATACAGTTTGTCAAAATAAATGGATTTTGTTCCAGCTCATTTAATGTAACCTATGGTGTACCTCAAAGAGGACATTTATCTCCCGTTATAATTGCATAAGTTGTTAATGGTATCAAAGATGTGGTAAAATAATCTGACAAAGTGAACAGCAGGTACCGATAAAGTGTTATGTCTTGCGTATCCTGTTGTAATAATACAAACGAAACAAATACCAATTTGAGAAAGGGATTTTAAAATGGATTTTAATATTTTCAGTATTTTATGCCGGTCATTATGAATAATATACAAAATCCACCTTCGAGAATAGGAGTTGATTTAATGCAAGAAGAGAGGTTAGTATTTTATACAAAACAAGTAAAATTATGTTTATTTAAAATGTACAATACTTTTACTACTAAAAATATATTCAATATTCAAAATATATACATTATGCATACTGTTAAAGCTGTTCAATTCACTTTTAAATTATTATTTAAACAATATTATTTGATATGTATAATGAACAATGAAAATCTGAAAATTAATTAATGATAAAAAGAGCGCAAGCATTATTATAGGTGAGAAATTGGGATGATTGGATACATAAAATTAATTAATTTATATCTGTTATCACTGATAAATCATTGCTAATTGAAAACGATTAAGAGTGAAGGTTGGTTATAAAAGCCATTCATGTTTGAAGGCCATACTATGTAGGATATTTAATATAAAAACTATTATAAAAAAAATTACTACATTACACTTAATTTTTAATTTATGTTTTGACCACTAAATATGACTTATAATGTATCTCCTGTTCAATTTTCAATTATGTCTGTAAGTCTAACAAATTTATCTACAGAGTATCTACCAAAACAAAAAAATTATGTAAAAACCTCATAAAGTTTAGATGTCTACAAATAGCTTAAAAATATTTTGAAAATTTTACCACTTATCTTAACCAACTTTTCTACTAAAAATATTGCTCTAATATATATCGAGTGTAACTTAATTTCTAACAGAAACCTTAATCTCAATAGTACCTTGGAAGGTCATTTTTAGATTTTCCGGGAGTTTTCCCAATAAATGGGAAAAGTCGTGAAAAATGGGGTACATTTTCCCCGGGAAAATCGGCAAAATCAAACAAATTTGAATAAAGAAAATATATAAAGTCTATTTAATTATTTTACTATAAAATGACATATGTATTGATGGCAAAGCATCACTATCAACTGAATTCCGCTTAGAATAGGGTTTTCTCAAGCAATGGTTTAACGTTGCACAAGTTGCACAAGCACCAAATTATATTCGAATGACGTACGAGGTACAACAAAGACATCGATGTACCAGGAGCTCAGGACTCGGATGTGATTGCCGCGACTATTCGTAGCAGTTGACGCCCGAACGAGTCGTCGGCGGCAGCCTTCGCCGACGCAGCGCACACGGCACCTAATGATCTCCTGGACCNTGCACACAGAACCTCATGTTTTCCTGGTCCTTAATAAAATCTCGGTTCAATCCGAGTAAACAGTATCTTAAAAGTGAACAGCAGTTATCCGATACCAGTTATCTAACCTTACCGATAAAATGTCTTACGTAGTCTACTTTTCTACCATCAATTTGTTCTAATATTTAATAATATCAATTTTTTTCTAAAATTGATACTTAAGAGAGGTTTTTTTTTCAATTTTCCCAGTTTTCTCAGCTTATATGAATAACTGGTAAAAAAACTTAGAAAACCTGGAAAAACATAGGAAAAACAGGGAAATCGGTTAATTAAATAAATTTGTTTAAAGAAAATACATAAAGTCTATTTAATTATTTTACTATAAAATGACATATATATTTATAGCAGTGCATCACTATAAACTAAACTCCACTTAGAATATGTTTTTCGTAAGCAATGTTGGTAAGCATTTATCGTTGCACAAGTTACCAAATTATATTCGAATGACGTATTCGGACGAGGTACAACAGAGACATCGATGTACCAGGAGAGCAGGACTCGGACGTGATTGCCACGACTATTCGTAGCAGTGGGCGCCCGAACGAGTCGTCGGCGGCAGTCTTCGCCGCCACAGTGCACACAGAACCTCATGTTTTCCTGGTCCTTAATAAAATTCTCGTTTCGATGCTGACCCCAGCTGAAATAGTCCGTGTAGACACAGAAATTTTAAAATGCATAAAACTAAATCTTATAATATACTAATTAAACAAAAATTAGGTATAACTTATAATATTATTATTTTTATTATTAGGTTGTGATAGTTTTTAAAATTGAATTTTTTTAATGTAGTTTCAACATTTGGGTTTTTACACGCATACGCGTACCTATTAGTCATTATAAACCTATCATAAAGATTATTATTGTAAAATAATTTGCTCTGTTTACTATATTTTTAAGGGGATGCGATACCGATGTTTCTGAGGGTCAAAAATACCGAAGGGGTAGTTTTAAAGTTTTTAAAATTTAATTCAAAACTAATTATACTCAGCGTAAAAATGTTTATACAATATTAAGATATCTTAATATCTTAAAGAGAATACCTTAATATTGTTTAATAAATTAATCAAATTCAATTACGCCAGACTATACAATATTCATTTTTTAAAACGTTAATAACGAATTTTGACATTCAGGTCACGTGATGAATAATCACTGATGATAATGTATACCTGAACTACGCTCCGAATCTTTTTTTTATAGCATTGGTTTATCGTAAGTTATAAATTAAACAATTTTATGTATATCACCTACAACAGTGGCCGCAGCCATCCAGTATCGGCAGTATCAACTTTTTTTTTTATCTTGTGAAAATATAAATTTATTATTTCAGATCTAATTGTTTTTACAGTAAATTTTACAATTAGGTGTACCTATGTCATTTATTTCTATCTCAAATCGTGCTAAATTAATTTTGTTGTTGGATTTAAAAGTAAAATAAATTAAAAATAGTAACATCCTGACCTGCAGTTGTGTTTGATTTTAATTTTAAGTACCTACCCACTTTGAACAAGTTTTTTAACACTAATTTGAAAATATGTTGTCTACAAGGCTGCATACCTACCTATGCTTGTTGTTCGCTAATAGCACTTTCGATCTTTAGCAGTTTGGTACGTAGCTATCTACACTAATGCCGGATTGCACCGAACATTTATACAGAGATAAACTCGTTCATCTAGAGTTAAAATAAACTATGTCTTAAATTGTATCTATTTATAAAAATGTACTTTATCAAGAGTTGAATTACAGGCCCATTTATCGTCGTGTAAAAATGTATGAACCTAGGTATAGTTAAATTTCGTTATCAATGTTTTAAGTTACACCTACTGCCCGGTACAGTGGAAATATTTATTCGTTAACCAGTATTCTGGTAATAACATGAATATAAAACAATAAATGAGCAACACTCGTAAATTTAACATGTGTATTCACGAATTAACCTTAATTCGTGGTTAAATCAAAGGCGGATTAGAACTTGAATTTATCAATAGATGACAAGTTATGTGTAACCGCAAACCGGGCATAAGTTTACCTAAAGTTTACCTAAAGACGATAATAGTTATAAAATTGCATTGGCATAAAGGATTATGGATAGGGAAAGAGTATCTGGAACAGAAAGTTGGACCGATGAAATTAACTTTAGGTGGGAGAACAGGGGCATCAACTTTATCATAAGTAAGTTTAGAAAGAAACGTTAGATTATGCTGTTTCCCACTACTAAATAAGGTAGACAAACTGAGACGCTGTAACACTAGTTCACAATCGTGAGGTGCACACTCAATCTATAAAGCGAAAGCGTTTATTATATCTGCAATTAATGAAGATTAAATTTTAATAATTTACATTTATAAATTTATTGATAATGATGTCAACTTGAACATAATTCTAATACACATAGTAGTAATATTAAATTAAAATTCAACATATTTAGTATTGGCAATTGTTTCCTAAGAGCTTCCTACTCTGGTAAAATTTGGTAATTAATCAAATAAAGTGTAACTTTCGACAAAAGCATAGTGTTTGATATGTTAAATTCCAAATGTAGAAAAGGATTTATTGGTTTTAGTAAAATATGGGTTTTTTAATTTTTTTTTTCTTTCACAAAAAAAACTCCAAAAAAATTACGTCCTAGGATAATGGGATCGAATGCAGCCACTGTTATACGTAATTTAATGTATATATCTAAGCAACGATAAACCATTGCTAACAAAAAAAATATTCTGAGCGGAGTTCAGTTAATAGAGATGCTTTGTTTACTATATATATATATATCATATAATAGTAAAATAATTTAAAAGGCATTATACATTTTCTTTAATATTATTTGTTAAATATTCACCTATTTTCCCTTTTTTCCCAGGGTTTTTTCATTTATTATGAAAAACAGCCGGGAAAATGACCTCATAAAACCACATCACCTTTTGGAAAAGGTGCTACATGTAGAAGTCCAAGAAAGTCTTTTGGTAAAAACGTTGCACACAGACAAAAAAAAAAACTTTATAAAACCATGGTCTACTTCACTCCACGCAAAACTCAAAACTATAATGAGCACTATGTATATATTTTCACTATCGTTTTTGGATAAAAATTGAAATATATTGTTAAACAATTTGATGTAGGTACCTATTTATTTTATATTTATGTAATAGAAACATTATATTTAGAAATTTAAATGTAAACAATACAATATTTTAATGTATAATATGTTTATATAGTGTTCATATAGTAAGTAGAGTAAGTTAAAGAGGTACGATGTACAAGGCTACATATTTTAAAATGTTGTTTGTACAGGTTCAAAATTAAAACACGGATAAACAGCATCATATTATAACAAGGTTATACAATTCAAATAATAAATAAGAATAAGAATTATTAACGTTTTGATACTTTTTTCTAGGGCGGACTGGGGTCGGCATCGAAACGAGAATTTTATAATGGACCAGGAGATCATGAGGGTCCGTGTGCGCTGTGGCAACGAAGACTGCCGCCGACGACTCGTTCGGGCGCCGACCGCTACGAATAGTCGCGGCAATCACATCCGAGTCCTGAGCTCCTGGTACATCGATGTCTCTGTTGTACCTCGTACGAATACGTCATTCGAATATAATTTGGTAACTTGTGCAACGATAAATGCTTACCAACATTGCTTACGAAAAACATATTCTAAGTGGAGNTTTTATAGTAAAATAATTAAATAGACTTTATGTATTTTCTTTAAACAAATTTATTTAATTAACCGATTTCCCCGTTTTTCCTATGTTTTTCCAGGTTTTCCTATGTTTTTTACCAGTTTTTAATATTAGCTGAGAAAACTGGGAAAATTGAAAAAAAAACCTCTCTTAAGTACTCCTTTTAGAAAAATTGATATTATTAAATATTGGAGCAAATTGATGGTAGAAAAGTAGACATATGTAAGATCACACACTTTATCTGCTGTTCTTCACTTTTGAGACACTTGCTGTATCCGGACTATTTCGACTGGGGTCGGCATCGAAACGAGAATTTTATAATGGACTAGGAGATCATGAAGGTCCGTGTGCGCTGCGGCGGCGAAGGTTGCCGCTGAAGACTCGTCGCGGGAATATTGTTCAGCCGCCGACAACTGTGACTCGTCGCAGCTATATCGTTTGGTTGCCGACCATTACGAATAGTCGCGGCAATAACGTTCGAGTCCTGCGCTCCTGGTACACTGATGTACCTTTAGTAAAACGTTTGTACGTCGTATTCGTAGGCCGCACATTGTGTACGGTTTTGTATCGTACAAAAACATAGGTATACTGAGTCTCTACGACTCTAGAGCGCACACTCAATGCGTATTTGTCCATGAAATAGTCAGTGTTTTGGTGATATACGAACATGAATTTTGGTATTTTGTGTGTGGTATTTGAAATGAAACATTCAAAATTGTATTTAAAATTTTTTAAATAAAATCGTGATAGCCATTTTGTAAATTCAATTTTTAGATAAACGTTGGCGTCAAAAACTTTTACTAAGGTCGAGTCAATTCATTTTAAGGAATTTTTAAAGTTTTGTAAAATATGACATTTTTTGAGTGTTAAATTTTCAAATGGTTTGTTCGATTTGTCCATGTGTGTTTGGCGATTAACCTANTGGACACGGTTTTGTATCGTACAAAAACATAGGTATACTAGGTCTACGACTCTAGAGCGCACACTGAATGCCTTTTTGTCCATGAAATAGTTAGTTTTTTGGTTATATACGAACATGATTTGGTATTTTGTGTGCGGTATTTTAAATGAAAAATTCAAAATTGTATTTAAAATGTTTTAAATAAAATCGAGATAGCCATTTTGTAAATTCAATTTTTAGATAAACACGTTGGCGTCAAAAACTTTTACTAAGGTTGAGTAAATTCACTTTAAGGAATTTTTAAAGTTTTGTAAAATATGACATTTTTTGAGTGTTAAATTTTCTAATGGTTTGTTCGATTTGTCCATGTGTGTTTGGCGATTAACCTAGTTATATTCGTTATCAATTATGGTTTTATGATTTTGGTTAATAGTTTTAAATTCACAAAAACATACTAGTTCAAGATGTATTATTTTATTATTTATTTATGAATACACCTCGACATAGTAGCTACCACAAATATAGATAATAAACTGCTGTATGATTAGGTAGTAAAGAAATTAATTTAACCGTCATTTACCATCATCTTCGTGTGGAACTAGAGTCTTATCAATTTTATCAATTATAAATGTTTATGTTATTTTCTATTACTTGAATAATAAATAATCTCAATATTATTGGTAAATATGAATAAGTAGGTATTTGTAATAACTGATTTATAATTTTAATTTGAGATAACTATTTCATCTTAAAAGATTTTTTTTAGTTTTTTATTTATAATTTATATTTCAATATTTTTCGCATTGAATTACAGCGATTTTAATAAGTTGTGATTGAATAGTTGATCTTTTCGTATCTACAAACAATATTCAATCTGCTATTTCCAAATTGTTCATAGTACATACCCTACGTATGTGAAAGCTAGTTTTCATATATTACAACAAAACAAATATTATCTCAATCACTGGTAAATAAGGCACTTATTTACCGTTGTCGAGGTGAAGTCAATGCCACTCCGTAAAATCCATATACCAAACAAAAACCAGCAGCCAATGTCACAGTCTAAATTAAAAAAATTCTAATGACATTTTGTCTTTTTAAAGACAAAAAAACACAATCCGATAGAAACATAATCATATAGATCACTAGAATAACACGAGTACGGGAAATAGGTAACTATTACAATATAATATTAATTATCAATACGCTTCTAACTTGTTATATTTTAACCATAAATGGAGTTTCTGTTTTATCATAAGTTAAAACTACTCGTATTACATATCAATCTCGATAATTACATAATTTTTGAATCCCATATGAAATTATAATATCAAAAATAAATTATAATGAGTACTGTGCATATATTTTCACTGCCGCTCTCAGATGAAAATTTAAACATATTGTTTAACAATTTGATATATATATACCTATTTATTTTTTTATTATGTAATAGATACATAAAATTTAGAAATTTAAATGTAAACAATACAATGTTTGGTATGTATTGTAATGTATTCGTGTTCCTACAGTAAGTTAGGAAGTAAGTTAGGGAGGTAAAATGAGGGGTTACATGTGTGTATTTTAAAATATTGTTCGCATAGGTTTAAAATTAAAACACGGATAAACGGCATCATATTTTAACGACGTCGTACAATTCAAATAATTAATAAGAATTATTATTAACGTTTGGAAACGTCTAGGGCGGTTAGGATTTATCGGCTGGGGTCGGCATCGAAACGAGAATTTTATTAAGGACCAGGAGATCATGAGGTTCTATGTGCTCTGCGGTGGCGACGGCTACCGCCGACGACTCGTCGCGGGAATATTGTTCAGCCGCCGACAACTGTGACTCGCCGCGGAAATATCGTTTGGTATTTAATACCCGTATATAGTTGAATTCTGAATTTCGTATAGGATTCAAAAATTGTGTAACTATTATCATATTATTGCGATTGGTTACTGTATAACAGCTGTGACTTATGATCAAACGCGAGATTCCGTTTGTGGTTTAATGGTATATGATAATATATTAAATTAGTGTTTCTACCATTAGTTAGGGGGTATGACGAGGGGTTACGTGTGCGAAACTATAGGTGTTTTTAAAAATATCGCTCCTATGGGTTCAGAATTAAAATGCAAATAAAGCCGCAGATTCGTATTATAATGACATAATAATGTATTTAGAAATTTAAATGTAAAAAATACAATATTTTTTGTAAATTTTAATATAATATTAGTGTTCCTATTGTAAGTTAGAATATGTGAATATGTGAATATTCTTCGTTTATAAAATGTACTGGACGTGAAGTTAGGTTAGGTACCTAAAAATGTACGTTANAGTTAGGGGGGTATGACAAGGGGTTACGTGTGCGAAACTGTAGGTGTTTTTAAAAATATCGCTCCTATGGGTTCAAAATTAAAATGCAAATAAAGCCGCAGATTCATATTTATAATGACATAATAATATATTTAGAAATTTAAATGTAAAAAGTACAATATTTTTTGTAAATTTTAATATAATATTAGTGTTCCTATAGTAAGTTAGAATATGTGAATATGGGAATATTCTTC